AGCAAAATACTATACCCTCCTCATCTTTGCTAACTATATTACATACTTGTAATTTAATAACTGGAAAATAGGGGGCGGGCTGGACTACTTTGACACCTTCCACCGCTTGATCGCTACCGAACGTTCTCTCAGTTCAAGTCGTCGAAAAATAATTGCATAATATCAGGCCCGTAAGAACTGGGGGAGACATGGAGACCAGCCCCCCACCCTTCCTTTTAATTTTGCCGTTATATACTACACAATATAATTAGATCAAAAATATCAAAATTACGGTTATGCCCCTCGTAAGTAAAGTTTGTAGACTTGATTTTTGTTCAGTTGCGACCCATTTCCGTACTGTAATTGCATCATATAGATCAGCCATGTTACATGTACATACATGTATGTACTACATGTAGTAATAAGTGTCTTTTTAATCCGTACGAAAGCTATCAGTTTTGTTTTGTTTTGTTTTTTTTTTTTTGTTCAACTCACTAAATATTCGTTCCTTGGGAGAACTGTGTTCTTTGAGATTTTAACAAGCTACATTCTTCGCCAATCAAGGAAATTCAGTGATTTTAACTAAAAACTTGTAGACATTATGGAAAATCGCCTGCGAGAAAGTGGTCAAGGGGTTGCTGAAAAAGTTATTTATCCGACATAATTTTCAAATACATATAAATAAATAAAATGACTCGTATGTACACATTTACACAAATTATTTTTTTTTTTTAAATAGAGTCCAGAATACGATTCTTGCAAGAAACAAATAATGTAAGTAGGTGAATAATATAACAACCATACCTTTACGAGCAAGTTTTTCCTTGAGTTGAAAGGGTACCTGTTCTGTTTTTCAGTATGTATCCACTATTTTTTTAATGACATATTAACATTGACAATGAATTGCGGCATTAGAGACCGAATGGTAAATAAAATGTACACAAAAAATTAAACTTATTAATTACTTGTATGGCAATTTGTTTGTAAAATGAATATAATTAAAATTATTAATTTATGTGAAAAACACACACACAAAAAAGGAAATAGAACGCGTGTCATTTAAAAAAAAATGCCAAAGAACTGACGTGATTCCACTACAAATCAGGGACACGCCCTTTCCATGATAATGAACACTTGGAGTTCTATCTGGTGATAATTCACATTCGTTTGATTTTGAAGAGTTGAGAAGTAGAAGGCAACCGGAAACAGAAACGTCTTCTTTTTACATGAATTTTACTCATGTTCAAAATCAGCCACATGATTTTCCACAAAAAGAAAAAGCTTTCACATAGTTCAAATTAAATTATAAACCCCCTTCACATGCGTATATTTACAGACAGGGAGCAAATTTTACATACATGCAAAATTTGCACCTTGATGTATTTTATCGAATGCAAACGGGGGGGGGGGGGGGGGGGGATAAGCAAGTTTTGTACGCGAGTATTTTTACTCCTAGTGCAACATTTACATCTAGTCAGACTAGGTTCAAATAAAATTTTATATACGAATAAATTTACTCCTTATGTATTTTCAGTCATCTGAACGCATAACAAAATTTAGATAAGAATAGAAATATTGCAATTATCTAGAAAATACAGCATCAATTGATTTCATTAAAAAAAACTAGGAAGTCCTAACAAGTATATTTACAAAGTACTTCGAAAAAGCAAACTTCATGATCATACTGATGTATTTACAAATGTCTCTGTCCGTGATAAAACTACAAAAATTGAAAAACAGTTTGAGAGTGCACGTGGACCCATCGCAAAAATACGAGTAAATTCTCCATCCATACATGAAAAGTTTACGCCTGTAAGTAAACTAGCGCATGTGAAACTACTATTTGCAACTTTTAAATAATTGTGTACCTCTAAAAATACCCATTATTATATATTATACATTTCAAAATTATAAAGACCAATAGCGCTTTTGAATTAGATTCAGCAGGAAAATGAAAAAAAAAATAAATAAATAAATAATTGATGCGAACACGTACTGTTGAATTGGGTTCTTTGGATATAGGAAAGGGAAATTTTTTTTTCCAGATATTGTGTGTTGTTTTACTAAAATTTACCTTGAATTTGTTACAAAATTTTATTTATACACGTTTTTCTATACATTTGCTATCTCTAGGTCATCGCTCCACGATTTTAAAGTGTTATTTGTGTGTATCAAACTATTGACATTAAAATTTTAGATCCCTAAAAGCCTTTTCTCGACATATTCAGCCATATTTTGATTTTAAAAACTAGAAATAAAATTGCAGTTTGCTAAAAAATTTTATTTGAAACATTTTTGCGTATCGGATAATTCCCTGGTGTTTGGAAACATACTCATGTGATTTCTGTCTTTAAAACAAATTCGTCAAGTTAATTACATACCGGTATCCTTATTATGCTGCATAGGAAAAATCTTTGAAAGAGTATTATGTTCAAATACATTTGTAAATTGTTATACAAACTACATTATGGCAGGTGCGTAGCCAAATAAAAGTGAAGTATACGAAGAGGACGAGGGGGTGGGGTGGGGGTTAATTTCCAGTTTTCACAAAAAACTATATTAAAAATATTAACAAATTAGCATGGTTTAACTATGCTACAACAAAAAGTGGAAGGGGCAACCACCCTTTCAGTGAACATTTTCAATAGTCAAAAGTTAGGTTTGGAAAAGAATAGGCAGGGACCCCCCCCCCCCCCCGATACTACATGCCTGCTGGTGAGGGCCCAGAAGTTTCTGAGTTTTACAAAATACATGTATATCATTCATTTTCTTGCAAAATAAAAATTATGTCATTTATTTTTTGTTTAGAAATAGAAGACATAATATTTATTGTTTTAACGCAAAGTTAATACTTCTACGGAAACTTAGTGTACATGTAGTTTAGGCTAAATATCTAATCGATATTTGGTATCATACTCTTTTCTATCCTTCAACAACTTGTATACTTAATGTTAATTATTAACAAAAAATATCGTATTTTAAATCATATACTACATGTAGTAGATCATGACATTCAAGGATGTGTCTGAAATTTTATTTCTCGAAGATCTTTAAAAAAATATCAAAAATTATCAATGTATCAAAGAACGAATACAAGTTCATGAATGCTTTATTTAAATTTGGCAATGATTTAATAAAGGACTACAAATTTTATTATATAGTCATGATAATATAAAATTCAAAGCGCTCTGCAGCAGTATGACACAAAATAATCCGAATAATCGTTGGATGGTACTGAGATTTTTTCTTCGAATAACTATCTCTCTCTCTCTCTCTCTCCCATAGATTTTATTTATTTATTCATTTATTATATTTATTTGTTTATTTTTTTACAATTATCTGTATGCACTTGCATATTTGCGTATAGGCAGCTACGCGCCTATGTGGGTTTTTAAGAAATCATTAAACAGTCACCCATGCAGTGTAAAGAAATTTATCATAATAAATGGTTTGTGTTAAACAATAAAGAATTCGAATTAACTTGTTTTGCATTTTGTGATAATAGCAAGACATTCGAAACGGTTTGTTTAAAAGAACAAGAGACAGCATAGATTTGCGGGTGAAGTTCTTACCCTGGTACCTTGTTGACTAATTATCTTTTCAATCCATCGCAACATGCAGATCGAAAATAAATTTTCAGTATATTTAGTGAGAAGGACGGAAGCTGGAGTTCCCCAGGGCTCTATTCTTGGACTTCAACTTTTCTTAGTTGATATACAAGACCTACCAGGTGGTCTATTGGGTACCTCTAGGATATTGTCATATGATGCATATTCGTGTCAAACACCTTTCAAAACGTGCAGAATTTAGAAAAGCTGAGCAATCACGACTTATAAATGAAGAATGGCTAAAAACGACTTGTGAAATTTAATCCCAATTACCAAGCTAAAATTATTAATATTTTGCAGCAATGAAGATAAAATATATAATTGCACTTAGTGTTGAATAATCAGCAAATCGATCCTTCTCTTGGTCACTATCATCTTAGACTTACATTCTCAAACCCTGGGGAGTGGACGAACCACACTGACAGTATTATACAAAAGGCTTCCAAAGAAATTGCAGTTTTTCGTAAATTAAAAGGGTTACGTATCGTGACTTCTTAGCTTAAATGTATTCTAGTATTACGTTTATACATGTAAGACCGATGCCACTTTTGGAATATGCATTAGAAGCATGGAACAGCATCTCCGCAGCTGCTCTGAAAGGCCTGATAAACTTCAGCAAGAAGCTGTACATATTGTAACTGGCGTTCCTGTTTATCGTGCCTTGCAAGATTTCAAGTATTTTGTGCTGCCACGGTATATTATTCTTAAATTGAATCATTTAACAATTCTCTGTTAAATTTTAGTTCACTATAACCTTACAACTGTAAGAAAAAAAAAATGTCCACCTAAGCCAGATTTAGTACTTACGAAAATATACACTGGTCACCTTAACTCACGTGAAAGGGTTACAAAATATTAGGGAGACCAATTTTTTTGTATATTTTTACCTACAAGTTTTCTGTAAAATTTAGCGTTAAAATGGTAATTAATAAGCCCAAGTACCAACAAAAATGCATTTGGTTTTTATTTCAAAGCATAGGGGAAAAAGATAAATTTTGTCTACTTAAGCCAGATTTCATGGCATTGGTCCCCTAATCCAGAAATCAGGATTATATATATATATATATATATATATATATATATATATATATATATATATATATATATATATATATATATATATGCAAATATATGTAATTATATATATATATATATCAACGGTAATATAGCAACCTGTCAACTGAACTTATTGAATCATTATCTTTAAATAAAATACTATATTATGTTATGTTTGATTTGAAACTGCTCAGTTGAATGACCGCCCTTATCAAAAGAGAAATTCTAATTATAACAGCGGCCCAGGAAATGAAATATATAAAGCGGAACAATTTTTTAAGACCTTTCTAAAGCCACCTCGTGCCAAACAAAGAATGAATAACCCAGTCTCATATTTGCGAAAAACTGAAAGGTAACCTTTTTCAGTATATTTTGGTTTGAAGTAGGAACAAACAAGGTGTCCATTAGATCTCTAAGATGTTCGCTAGACAGGCTCTCACAAAACTCGAAACAATCCTGTAAAAAAAAAATCCTGTTCAAAATGCTGGTCTAATGGTAAAATTTCTATAGTTTAAATACTGTGTTTGCATTTACATGCAAAACTTTAACCCCCCCCCCCTTCCCCGAAAAACACTCTCTTACACACACTTTCCATATAAACAAAGTTGAAGGTTTTACCATGACTTAATATAATGTTTGAAATGATTTTCTTCGACTTGTTTTAATATACCGGGTACTTGTCCTAAATGATGATCATTAAGCGTCAAGATGTTAGCTGTTGAACTACCACCAAGACCATAGTGCTGGGTTAACGAAGGTAAGGTTCACACCAACAATGTCGGCAAAAATATCTAAAGAGCCTCGACATTTTATTCATACTATCTTCCAACAATTTTTTATTAAAAAAGAAAATTTGGTGGTATGACTAACAACAAATTTTCTATTTTGATAAAAATTTGTGAAGACAATACTGTGTGAATCTATAAGGGGCATTTGACGAACACATCTCTGTGTATATTTATACGTATATACCGGAAGAAAACACATTCTATTAAATATATGATATTGTGTTTCTTTTATGTCGTAAATTCTGAATTTAGTTAGATGGGGTTGATGTAAATGCAAAATTTATATGGTAACTAAGTTATATAGTTGTAAATTTTGCACTACTCTTACCGCCACTTAGTTCCTTCAAAATTTTCATGATAATTGACTTGAGTATTTTGAACAAGTGACCCTCCTCCTTTTTATTTTAAACATGTTACGGTTTCTGAACAAAAGGACTATCGGATACTCTGATTGAGATGTTAAACAAAATGCTATTATCCTGTTTGATGTTATGAACATTCTTCGATAAGACACATTATGTTGGAATTCATACAGTTAAGTTTTTATCATGAAAGGGAAAGGTCAGACAAAAAGAAAAATGAACATAAATGAAAATGATTACCATAAAAAATTATGCTTACCATTTAAATTTTATTAACATAAACACAATTAAACAATATTCACTGATTAAAAGTCCGAATTTGAAAACCCATGCGGGCTGCCATTTTATATGTCTCGTATCATCTAGCCCAGTGGTTCTCGAGAAGATTTTTAAAAGACGTCACCATATTTTCACCAATTCTTATTAATAATTATCTCCCATTGAAAAAAAAAGAATCCCCTACACCCAAGAATGCTTTTGGCAAGTTTTGTTGATATCGGCCCTGTGGATCTTGAGAAGAAGTCGAAAATGTTAAAACTTTACAGATGGACAGACGAACGGCAGACAAAATGGGATCAGAAAAGCTCAATTGGGTTTCAACTCAGGTGAGCTAAAAAAGAGCCGAAATAGGAAATCATCGTTTTTCATGGTATATATAGGAAAAATCTTCAAAACTCTTCTTAGAACGACCGAGCCATGATGCGCCATATTAATATAAAAACATCCTCATGTAGTGTAGACTGAAGTTTGTGTGCAAGCATTCTCGAGTTAGTACAGATTCATGGTGTTTTAGATCAGGGCCCAAAGGAATATGGTACCGCTTCAATAGATGATCACAATTATGTACGAAAAAATCTTTTTCAAGAGCATCAAGGCTATACTATATCATTATATCATATCAATATGTAAACATTCCTGTTTGTTGATTCATTTTCTTATTCAAATCATGGACCCTGGGGTAAGGGTGGGACTAAAATCAGAGATCAGATTTTACATAATGCTAGCTGTGTACAGAAGAAAAAAAATCTTGTACAGAACAGGCAAACCCATGTTGGACATGTTAATATTAAAGCATCCCAATGTGTGAATTCAAGCTGGTCAAATCACAACCTCTTGAATCTAGGAAGGTGCCACAATATAGAGTCAATTTTTTTTATAGGGATAAAGAGGGGAAAAAATCTTCAAAAGTCTTTAGAGAGTCTTTCTCTAAAAATTAGCAGGGTCAAGGTGACTCAGGTTAGCGTTTTGGTATATGGGCCTCTTTTATAACAATTTTATCGATAGTGTGGACTTTCAGTAGGCGGAAACGAGCTAATGCTCGCGTCACACAGAACACTCAAAAGTGACTATGCTGTTCATTTCCCACGAGAGTTTACAAAGAAAAGTAGGATAAATTCAACTGAATTTAATTGGGACGTACATCATTTTTCCACCTTCAAATGAAATAAGCTGATGTCATTGTTTTGTTTGACAGTGAAAAGGTGAAAATGTCCTTTTCATGGGCCATACATGTAACTTCGTTTGTAACCCAGTTTGAACCGATGCTCTCTCTCTCTCTCTCTTCTTCTCTCTCTTTATATGTGTGACTAATTACAAGCATAAAATCATTTTCATTCAACAAATAAGGATCAACGCCATGTTAACTAGTACTTCCACAAATGTATGTATAGTACTTTACGATTTTCGTTGTTGTATCGATTCGTATATAATAATGAGTTTTTGACATGAAGGAAATCAACCTTCAGAATTGTAAGCAGTTCCTCCGTTGCCTCTCTTTCTCTGAGTTTTTTCTTGTAAATGAAGAATTCAAAGGCAGGCTGCCACTCTATTTTGTATATTTCTGATAACAATTCAGCAACATTTTCGGGTCTATCAGAAAACAAAGGAAATAATTTTAACGCAAATTTTGAATTTAAAAAATGTTACAAACTGTTTACATTTAAATACATTTTAAGATTCATTTCTTTGTATCAATATTACATAATAATACAAACTACAATTTATTTATCCAACTAAAAAGTAGGTCAATAATATTCACCGCTTACACGGATGTTTAATTTAAAAGAGGTCTTCTTCAAAAATTTTGAATAGCAAATGCCAAAATTTCTGTAAAGGATATTATTATAATTTTACCCTGAACAATTGCAAAAAATAAATACATAACCACATAATATTACTATATTGTGGCTTAAACGATCGTACACTAACAACATCATATTAACCTATCATTATTCACATTCCTACCTAGCAGTAGTGACCTCGATCGGATGGAGTACTGGGAGAACTTTAGCACTCCTCTCTCTTTCTAGGTCAAGGTTTGCCAACCTTAGCCTTTCTATTTCTGATTTTAACTCAGAAATAAGTTCTTGTCTGTGAATAAATTATTCTCAAGATAAGAAAATGTTTTCATGGATAAATTATATAATAAATGTGGCAGGGCTTGAAACAATTATAAATTGATACAGAGGTATTTTTCAGAATTTATCAGTATAAGCTATGATAAAATTAAGTCTTGCCTTGATTGGTCCCCTTTCTTTATGTTCTGTAATATATGGAGTACATTCAGCATATTATCTTTGAATATTTAGGAAAACAATATCTACATTTACGTTGAAATATTTTTTTTAAGTTAAACACTGCTACTTTAAGATATCACTCTCTTAGTTAACCTTTAAAAATCACATTATTGTACAAACATAATATACAACATATATCAGTTACCTAGAACTCACCTGTGGCTTTTCCTCTTCTGTCTTGTAGTCTATGTTTGTTTCTACCCACTGTAAAAAAAAATCACAAGCACAGAAATGCACATATGAAGTGTGAAAGCCCTAGCAGTAACTATTCAAAAGTTATCTCCAAGGTTAAAAGTTTGATAAAATTTTGCAAAAAAGGGTCAAACTCCAAGGTCAACGTCAAGAGGTCAAATATGTTTGTACCCACAGAAAAGTCTTGACACAAGGAATACACATATAAAATATGAAAGCATCGCTCCAACCAATCAAAAGTTATGGGTAAGGTTAAAGGTTTTGAGGAATAATAGACAAAAAGATTAACAGACAGACAGATAGAGCAAAAACTATATGCCCCCGAATCTTCAATTAAGGGGACATAAAAATTAAAAGTTTATAAAATTCAAAATTTCTATTTTTTGTGACCTACGTCATCAAAGCTGTCCTCATTCTTATCTACATACCTGCTTATTATAGTACATAAAGCAGCTATATGTAGTGCAAACCATTCATTTGAAACTATCAATGATGTCATTAATTTAATTTATTATATGGATTTCAGTTTTTTTAAAGGGCCTTACATAAATCATCTAATGTGTGAACTACGTTACAGTCGTTTATATTACATTTGATGCATATTACATGCATGCTGTATCCATTTCTCTGTTTGCAATTAATATTTAATTATATCTTCCATCCACATAACTTGTATGCCCCCTTAATCGAAGATTCGAGGGCATATAATTTTTGCCCTGTCCGTCCGTCTGTCTGTCTGCAAAAACTTTAACCTTGCCCATAACTTTTGATTGGTTGGAGCCATGGCTTTCATATTTCACAAGTGTATTCCCTGTGACAAGACCTTTCTCTGGGTACCACTTGACAATGGTGTTTGACCCGCTTTTGCAAAATTTTACCAAAATTCAACTTTGGCCATAAATTTTTAACAATTGGAGCTAGGGCTTTCGTACTTACCATATGTATTTCTTGTGACTAGACCTTTCCTTGGGTATAAATATTTTTTTTTTTACCTTTTGACTTTGACCTTGAAGCTTGACCCACTTTCATAAAACTTTAATCTTAGCCATTATTTTTGAACGGTGAGTGCTAGGACATTCATATTTCACAGATGTATTTCATGTGATAAGACCTGTCCTTGGATACCAAAATTTTGACCTTTAACGTTGACCTTGGAGTTTGACTTATACTTTTAAAAAACTTTAACTTTGGTCCTGACTTTTGGACAGTTGCTTTAAGTTTGAACATATTTTATTGTATAATAAATATAAAGGGATTGGTACAAGTTCTAACAACTTAGGAAAACCTTTCCCTGGTGTTAAGGCTTTTATATTTCACATATGTGTTCTTTGTGACAAGACCTTTCCTTTTGCACCACCAGTTTTGACCTTTTATTCTTGACCTTGGAGTTTGACTCACTTTTAAAAAATCCTAACCTTGGCTTAACTTTTGGATAGTTGGTGTTAGGGCTTTCATTTGTCACAAGTGTTTTTCTTGTGACACATTTTTCCCTTGGGCACCATTAAGTTTGACCTTGACGTTTGACCTACATTTGAAAAATTTTAAACATTTGCCATAACTTTTCAACGGTTGGTGCTAGGGCTTTCATATTTCACAGGTAAATTCCTTGAGACAAGACCCTTCTTTAGGTACCAACATTTTTGATCTCCTGACCTTAACCTTGGAGTTTTACTTCCATCTGAGAAACTTTCACCTTTGCCATGAGTTGCCATACGGGGACATCAGAGTTTTACAAACACATCTTGGTTTTTTTTTTTTCATCATGCTTAACTAATTATCTTTACTCGTTCAGAACGGATAAAAGGTTTATCAGAAAATCAATGTTATCTTTCACCATTCGTCTCTCCAAAAACTACTTTTCTCTACACGAGCAGTACTGTGGGTGTCCAAAATGTCAGCCTCCATAAACCCTACTTTTGATGTTTGTTTTCTAATATCAGAGGAAAAGTTAAGGGTCGCAATTTCAAACGTTTCTTAAATTACCACTTTGTTCATTATTAATACTGTTTTTATTTTATTTATTATTTTTTTTTAACTTATTTATTTATTTATTTATTTTTTTGAGCGACATATGGACATGCTCCCTCCTCCCCCAAGAAAAGGTGAAAATGTGTCGTTGTTCTATGAACTCTTAGTTCTAATTTAAAACCTGTAAAATTTAGGATAAATTTTGAATGAAAAATGAAACTTATCCATTTCACATATGAACATACGTGATATTTGTCATTTTCATGATTTTTGAGAAAAAAAACCCCTCTGTATTATCTGTCCTTAAACACAGGCAAATTGACTCTGGGAATCACATTAACATATCCAGGCTCTCTAAGGCATGAGTATAACCATGGAAATACTTACATTTCTTTCGGCCTCTAAGAGGGCGTCTCTAAAAGGTGCGCTGTTCACAATCAGTGTGCCACCTTTGAAATTTCTTACGCAAGCAACAATAGGTTCTGCCCAGTCTGCAAAAACGTCATCTGGACTTACACTTTTCGAGGATCGCAGGTCGTCGCTAGGTTTGCGACTATCTAAAGAAAATAACATATACTTGAAACGTTGCTTTAGCGGGGATTTCTGGCTGTCAAAAACTGAAAAGTGTTCACATGAACGATAATAGAGATTTTCAATAAAAATTACCACGGGCATGGAATTATTTAGGAGTGGATAGTTTAAAATGGTTCAATTTTCCATATTTTACGAAGTGTCATAAATGGGTTAATTATAACTTAATACATTAATTACTTTTTATTGTTGATGTTACTGTAGTTTTCGTTTTAAACGTTTCATTACAGTATGATTGTATGTTGTTTACCGTCCCATTCGATAATTTTTCACTTATATAGAAACGTCACCATATACCGGTGAAGGGCTTCAAATTTTGACCTTTACTCGGCACTCAGGGCCATTGAGCAGTGAGGGATCTTTATCGTGCCATCGCCTGCCGTGACACGGGGCCTCGGTTTTTTAGGTCTCATCCAAAGGACCAGCAACTTTCACTTCAAAGTGCCGTGCGCATGGCGAACGAACAGTTGCTACCCATTTTTCATCGACTTAGGTCAGTCGCGGCCGAGATTCGAACTCACGCCCTCCCGAAAAGATCGGAAATAAATACAACGCAAGTAACATTTTCCAGATAACTCTGAGCTTTTTTCAATAAAATTTAATATCACAACTCATCACGGACTGAAGAAGACCCCTTTTGATTTTAACGTCAAAAGATCAAAGGTCAAGGTCATATATTCATACATTTTGTCTCTGTGTAACACATTCGTTTCCAGATGATATATTAAAAAGCCTTTGAGCGTTTGCAATGAAGTTTTAAATCACAACTCTTTATGACCTTAAATAGATCCCTCTTGATTTTGAGGTCAGAAGTTCAAACGTCAAGGTCAGAAATTGATATACTGAAAACAAGGTCAAACGTCAAAGTAGGAAATTTATATTGAAAAAAAATTATGGTTTCCAGATGATAACTTTGGTTCTCTTGGAACTTTTTATTGAAGCTTAATATCATAACTCCTTGTAACTTAAAGAAGACTCTTATTGATTTTAAAGTCAAAGGGTCAAAGGTGAAGTTCAGAAATTCATACAATGCATAAAATGGTTTCCAGATGATAACTTTAGTTTTCTTTAAGCTTTTTCTGTGAAATTTTATATCATAACTCCCAATGGCTTAACGATGTCCCCTTTTGATTTTTGGGTCAAAAGGTCAAGATGAAAAAAAATCATATCTTGCATAAATTGTTTTCCTTGTGATAACTCTAGATCTCTGAGAGGCTTTGGAATGAAATATATCTTTAGACAATATGACTTAAATAAGACTCCTATTAATTTTGAGGTCAAGGACCAAGGTCAAAAATTTATATATTGCATACATAATTTTCAGATGATAGCTTTAGTTCTCAAAAGGAGTAAGCTTTTACAGCCTAAAAAGACCCCTATTGACTTAAAACCGGTTCTTCTTGGATGTTTTCCACAATCGACAAGCACGACCTCCTAATTAGCTGCCAGTGAAAGAAAATTTATCGTGTTTAGCAAATAATCGACAATCTACATGTACCTGTATGACAAATAAACATCTTAACCGTGTATATGAACAGGAGAAGATTGTAAGACATCCTCTCCCTGATATGTTTCTCGCATAAATTCCATTGGTAATACTGTATTTGAATTAAAAAAAACTTCAAGGGGACCCCTGATTGATTCTGACCTTAGTATTTTAGCTCACCTGAGCTAAAAGCTCAAGTGAGCTTTTCTGACCACATTTTGACCGGCGTCTGTCCGTCTGTCAACTTTTCATTTTTTCGACTTCGTCTCTAGCTGCAGAATTGTAGCTCTCTGGTTGAGAATATTCGGATAGACAAACCAGAGAGCTACAGATCTTAGGCATTGTAAAACCTTTCATTTACGCCGCGTTTTTTGTTGTTTCTTGTATTATTTCTTATATGCGTTCAAAGCATGGTATCCGTTATTTTACTCCTATTCCTGATACTTCATTCACCTCTCAACGGTTCCAAACAGCCCTATATCCCCTTGGAATGTCAGTTTTAAAAATTCGCATTCCGACGTCCATGTTGGGGTCATGCTAGAATAGGTAACGCCCGAGGTTTACTCATGTATATCTAATTTCTTTTTTATATACATATTATCTTCCTTTATAGACCCCAAATAGATTTTCTCGGCATATGTATGCTTTTTGACGGATGTATTTTAGCACAACCCCAACATGAACGTCGGAATGCGAATTTTTAAAACCAGCATTTTAAGGATTGTTCAAATCAAAACCCTCTGAGATAGGCTGGGGTCAAAATAGGAAATCAAAGTTCTACATACCAGTTTCGAGATCAGATCTTCAAAACATTCTTTTCAAGAACAACAAAGCCATAATCAGGCATATTAATATGGATGTAACCTCAGGTACTGGTAGTGTAGATTCAATTTTATTCAAATCGTTGTCCCTCGGGGAAGAGTGGGGCCACAAAAGGGGATCAAAGTTTAAGAGTTTATGCGAGAAAATTTTTAAAAACCCTCTTCTGATGAACAGCAAAGCCTAAGTAGTGATATTATTATGGAGCCATCTATTGACAGTGTAGATTCAAGTTTGTTCAAATTATAACCCCCTGTAAGGTAGAGCTACAATAGGAGATCAAAGTTTTACGTAAGAATATAAAGGAGAGAATCATTAAAATTCTCATCTGAAGAACAGCAAAATCTGAAGAACTGCGGGACCAAAGTGATTCAAGCGAGCGTTGTGGTCCATGGGTCTAGTAATAATGTACTATTATCAGATAAAGGAATATAGGCATAATGATGGAATAGGCATTCATGCCTTTCTTTTCATATGTTATTGGGTCTAATTAAAATTCTCAGAAGGTTGAGGGTGGGGTGGGGGTTACACCATCTATACGCCAAGGGGACTGTCATAACACAAGTTGGAATCTACAGCATTTCTAAAGAACTTCATAGATCTGCTTTCGCTCTGAAATCATACGTATCTGTTTGCTTGTTGAGGATTGAAGTAAATTGATTGATTGTTGTTTTACGTCCCTTGCAAGATTATTTCACTCGTATGAGACGTCACAAGATGCCATTGAAGGTTCATTACTCGGCACTCGAAGTCATTCACTGTAAGACCAACACCTGCTGTAACACGGGGCCTTGGAGAGAATTCATTATTATTTAATTACCGGTAGATAAAACTGACTTTGTTAGGGTGATAAGAAATGAAAATAAAGGGTGGGCGTGGCCACAATCCACTGAAGAAAAACTTCAGGTTTCATTCCTGCCAAAGCTCAAGTGAATAAATGAGAAAATGGGAGTGGTGGTTTAAAATGAAATTAAACATCGATTGTCTGATTTTATCATCTTAACATACATATGTACAGATTATAAAAAAAATCAGTCAACAACCTTTATATATTTACCTATAAAAATTGGATTCTTCAAATGGTATAAAAATGAATCTTTTTAAGACTCCGACAACTGACCGCATAGACCTTCATCATAGAGTTGAAAAGATTATAATATTTTTTTTTAAAGAACTGAGTAGAATTGAAAACTAGGTATTTGAGGTGGGTTCATTAAGTATGCAGGCCTTATTTTGTCCAAAGGTTATTTCCAACCATAAGAATGGTTTTCATGCAATTTGAACGAAGTATGTGCCCTTAAAAGGAAAGGGTTGATTTTTTTTACACAAATTTCGTCAATTGATGAGAATACAGCCAATTGCAATTTGATTAAATTTTATGTTCGATATAGATGTACTTAGAAGGAGTCAAGTTGTCAGATGTGGCTAAGCATGCAGGGATTTGGACGTATTTGCTTTTTAAAGCATCCTCTGCAAAATATAAATTTTCTTCAAACTCAGCTTTGATTGATTTACTATAAACAGTAACTGAGCAATAGGGCTTATTTGAATTCAAAAGATATTTTGATTCGCCCATAATTGTCCCATTTATACGACAGCACGAATAGGGTTATTTTGTAGACGAAATACCGAGACAATTTGAAAATAATCTTGTCACCATGCGATTCCTTACTTAGAAAGAAATCATCTAAATGAATGTCTTCTTTTGTCATTTCGAAACTATTGTTATTCTTAATTAGGAAAAATCTTACCTTGACATCCCAGGCTGATTTTTATATAATATAATAAATTTGAAACCTAATTAAATGACGTACGATACTGCGTGTATAACTTCTCTTCCTCTGACATATTCCTGTAAGACATCGAGTCAGTATATAAAAACAAAGGGATTTAACATGGTAGCTACCTCGTTTAGGGTGATCCATCCTTGTTTAACAGGAACACACCCTTGTATCTTTCTATATCACCATTTCTGGCCTTGGATCAGTGATTTTCATGCTCTATGCACTTGTTCCTTTTCAACACTGAAATGCCGAATTCTATCTACCCAGTGTGTAATTCGACACACTGAGAACAATCTAGTTCGTTACCAACACGCACCTTTGTGTATTTTTTTTTCATACACACTTATTATCAATTCATGCTGCAAACTCACGAGGCTTATGGTAATAACGCTCACCTCAATCACATTTGCCCCGTGTTGAGGAGCTTTTTACCTATCTAAACCTATGTCGATATTGATAACCTCTAACTCTAGGTACAAACGGCTTCCCCAAACTTGAATCTACGCTAATTCGGGAAGATTTTATATCTGACAATACGAACATTTTGGCTCTGCTGTTCTTTTTCAGATTTTAAAGTGTCCATATATCTGGCCCCCTTTTGTGACTCCAGTTTAGCCTCATGATGCATTCACTACAAAAAGGATTTCCCCCTAAATATTCCCATGTCGAACATAGACCTCCCACTGTTCCACCCTAAGGCACGTAGCAACAAGGGGGGGGGGGCTGCCCCCCCTTTTTTCCAAAGACTTTTTGTACTATTTGAAATGTTGTCCTCCCCCCCCCCCTTCACTTTTTGTTGTAGTATAGTCAAATAAGGGTTTTGTAGTAGTGTGTGAATAAAATTTGGTACTGAAAGAAGTTGGAACACTACCCCCCTCCCCGGGAATAGGATTTTCGAGTTCGGACAATATTCCTTTTTTTTTTTTTTTTTGCTTGTCAAGTTTTTTTTTTCTGCCCCCCCCCCCCCCTCACTTTCAAAAACGATGCTACGTCCCTGACCCTTGACCTAGGTGTATGGCTTCACCCTAGCCCAGGGGTCATGAAACAATCTACAATCGACATGAACTCAAAGCTTATCTGTGAATCATAGATATAAATACACATGCCAAAAATCAGCTCATAATCTACAAGCACCGTGGGAAAAAAAGGGGGGAACAGTGAAATTAAAAACTTTCAAAGTCCGAGGGCAATTACTACCGTGTGATGGATCAGTCATGGTGAAACTAATTTAAAACTTGATCTACCTCCCAAAAAGAGCTTATTATCTAAACGCACAGTAAAACATAGGCCCATTGGCCACAATGCCCACCTGAGCCACTTATTTGTCCCGTTACTCTTCATCAGCAGATTTTTAAAACTATATATTCCTATGTAAAACTTTGATTGCCCATTATGGGCCCTATCGACTCCTGGAGATCAAGATTTTAACAAACTTCTTTTTAATCTTCTCTAATAAGAATGGTTTGATACAGTCCGCCTTTTAGCTCACGTGACCTTTGGTTCAGGTGAGCTAAAATGTCCTGAAAAATGGAGGAAATTTCATTTTCGAAGTAAAAGGGCAATAACTTTTTGTGAAATGGGCAATCAACACAAAACTTGATCTTCAATTATTAGCAATTATTTATTTACATAAACCCTTTGTTCTGTATAACATTCGCATCCAAACATGCCTTAATCGTATATTAACTCCACTCTTAATGACGTACATTGTATGTGGTCAAAACTATCAAAACTAATTCAATCTTTCGGTGTTAGAATATTGTCAGCATGTGCTGCGTGTGTTGGAATCTTAGTTACTATAAATTACTTTCTATATTAAGAACTTTATTTCCCTTGATATATGAAATCTTTTACAAATCTTTTCTATGCATATTAGTAGGTAGTGTTTATACTCTAATGGAAGTCATTAAAAATCTAAATAACACATTTTTTAAGAATGACAATTTGCATAAAAATTAATTTTTGTGGTGTGTGTAATTTAGTGATAAAAAGAGGAAAAACTATGCCAGAAGCAGAAGGACAGACAGATCCATGATTTGATCAAACTACATTACCTTAGGATGCTTGCATATTAATATGATTGACCCTAACCCCTTTGTTCTTCAGAGGCTGATTTTTAAGGAATCACTGTCTAGTTAGTAGAGTATGCCAGGGCATCAACGATAGTTGGAAACGTGGGATAATTTGCATAACGGGCTTCGCCTACTACTAACTAGACAGTGATTCCTTATATTTCCATTTCATTGTGAAATAAAATTGTAAATTTAGATTTTAAAGATTTAAATTACACGAGGCCTCACATGTCAATTTCAATAGTCCCCGCCCACTGACGTCAAACACAAAGACAGCCGCACGAGAATTACATGCATATTAGGCCTCCTTAGAGTCAGACACAAAGACAGCTGCACGAGAATTACATGCATATTAGGCCTTCTTAGCTTCTGACCTTTCGCTTGGCAAAATTTGCATTCCTTTAGAATGATCAAGAAATCAACTCTCCTAACTTTCAAAGAGATATCACAGAGAAAACAAATAGAAATGGAAATATTGTCCTATATATTCCTAAGTAAAACGTGAGTTCCTACTGAGACAACATGGGTCATATTTAGAACATGAATCCACTATGTAAAGAAACTTTCACATAAGTATCAGCTTTACTTGCTCGGTGGTTTTTCTTGTTAAGATTTTTAAAAGATGTCAACAAAATTACTAAGTTCCCTTGATAGAGGATGGGACTCAAATTGAATCCCCTTCATCCATGGATGTTTTTTGACAAGTTCGGTTGAAATTGGCCCTGTGGATCTGAAGATGAAATTGAAATGTTACAAGATTAAAAATGGTCAAAGAGCTAGATGGTTGCTGAACATTTTGTGATCAAAAAGAGATCATATCTTGTAGTGATAAAAAAAACCTCCACTTGAAATAGTATTAAAAATGCAAGATTCTTTCTTTGGAATTAAAATTTTTACACACTCCATCTGGGGTGTAATAAATATCCTGATTTGAATAAACTATCTCATTAGAAGTATAATATCCCAGTCTGGATATATCCCTGTGAACTGAATATAGTCACTATGCTAAAACAATCAGAGTTATGACATGTTGCCAGTTGGATGCATGTGCACGGTAATTATCATGGTGCAGCTCATTTAGACAGAAGCTTCGATAACCTAGGATTTCAGCCATTTACCAAGTTTAGCTAATAAGGCACATTTTACTACATGTATTACAGCAACAAGATGTATACAAAGGCTAAAAGAAAAAATTGTACAAAAACTGCTCTCCTTCATAAAAAGTATTTATTTTCTCGTGCGTAGTTCATTACATTTCTTTCCCGTTTTAAAACAATAATCAATTACTTGTAATAAATTTATGACAAATGATCTGATATAATCATTTAAATAAATTAAACTTAACATTAGTCTCACTGGATAAGTTGTCGATCTCATTGATCTTATGTAATAAAATATAAAAACCCTCCACTTTAATAGGGAAAAGGCTTCTTTTTTTTTTGCAACTGAGTAGTTGCCTATTTCAACACCTTCTAACAACACATAAAGTATAGAAAATACAGTAGTTACAAAACTTCATAACAAGAAAATTGTTGATTACACTCCATAGTCATACAAATCAAAAATAAAAAATGTATACATATAAATATGTGAAAATAAAAATTTGCAAAACTTTTCACTTCCACAAAAAATAACAGGTGCAAATTAATTTGGATACCTGCTGTACATACTTGTACCCCCTACTTCAGAATCTGCATGGCACTGGGTTCAGTCTCTTACATAAGCACTTACAAATGCAGTACATTTTATTAAAACCTAAACATTAAAAAATCTTAAGTTCTATCTCATGTCATGTGTCAAAATAAATCTGTATCTGTTAATACGTGATTTAATTTTAAGTCAATGCATCACTGTATTTCAATTCCCTACAATTTTTACAACAAATTAGCAATCAATAATATATCAATAACACAACTTCTAGATCTCAAACAAGTATATACAAGAATATACCACTTAAATGCTCCTTCTAAACATAAACCACATAACAAACCTTCTACCTAAGATGCAATAACTGACCCAGTCTGATGATTTTAGGCCAAAAATTTTTAAGTTATAAGGCGGACAGGGTTTTGACATACCGTATAAGCAGAAATTTTAGCAACAGTTCAACTTTGGCATTTTTAGTGAGGGTGTTGACTGCTGAGATCGCTAATTAAATACCACTAACAATTTATTCCACACAAGAAGTTACTGTTGTCTTTCTATGAACCATAAAATTACTTCTCGCTAAAATTAAATACTGATTTTTTAAGGACAAATTGCTAAATTTGAGTCTTGCTAAAATGTCCACTTACACGGTATTTGGCCATATTATTTTACTCATTTCTTAGTTATCTAATTTCTACTAAAGAAGCATTAGATAACAAAGTTTGATGATTCTAGGCCTTTTAGTATTAAAGTTATGACTGTAAAATCCAAAGTCAGGAAAAATGAAAAAAAAAAAATGTAGAAATGAAGAAAAATTGTCCAATCATGATCAAAATACTAGGTGCACACATATATATGGTGAATAACAAGTGTACAGATTTTATAAACAAATCCAGAAAATAATTTCTAAAAATATGTTCAGACAAAATCATGTCTACAGACAGACAGAGATATACCCCTCCCCAAAACTTTGCTTGTGGGAGTATAAAAAAAATTCTTTGGCATAAATTCACTTGTGCAGAGTAAATTATTTTTGGACAGATCCACTACCCTTATCCATTTAACTTATGATGAGAGTAGTGAATTGACACCTTTGTCGTGCTAAGATATATATATATATATATATATATATATATATATATATATATATATATATATATATATATATATATATGCTCAAAAAAGGAGGCCCATAGGCCACAATGCTCACCTGAGTAACTATGGCCCTTCTGTTCTTTATCAGCAGATTTTTCCCCCAATGTAATCCTATGTAAAATTAAGATAATACATTATGGCCCCACCCTAACCTTATCCTACCCTACCCTCAGGTGTCATGTTTTGAACAAACTTGAATCTGATCTGAGGATGCTTCCATATATAGATGACTAATCATGGCTTTGATGTTCTGAAGAATAAGACTTTAAAATATTTTTCATATATATTCTTATGTAAAAGGAGATGGGTGAACATAGCGTGCAGAAAGCCTATAGCTTCAGAAATATAAAAATCATGTTCAGTTTGTGAATTTAGTATTTAGAGTAAAGTTCTCATTATTGAAATTTATGAAATTGTGATAAACAAAACTTTTCTGAGGGAAATTTTCTTGGCAAAATTTATTCTTTTATTAAAAAAATTAATGTGGTATTCGTGGGGTTCGAACCCTAGCAATAAAAATACTCAAGGTGGAGCGAAGACCCACTCATATCGAAAAATAGTGTTATAGTATGAGAAAATGACTCTTTTTCCCCGCTTTAGTGTGTGTCTAATATTTCACAGGCAAATAATTTCAATCTTTGAGGGATTTTTGCAAATTGTAGAGATTTTACATAAAGTATATTTTAATGTTAGAGGAAATATCAAGGAAAATTTTGATATAATTGAAATTTAATTTTTCATCTTCATGTTTGTCACACTATAGGCTTATTGCTCGTCATGTTCACCCATCTCCTTTGATTGGCCATTGTGGCCCCATCCTAACCCTGGGGGTCATGATTTGAACAAATTAGAATCTACATTACCTGAAGGGTACTTCAGAAGAGTTTTAAATAACCTCACCTAATTTTCACTATTTCTTAATTATCTAACCTTGGAAGAGGGTGTGGCCCTTTATTTGAACAAACTTGAATTCCCATTAACCAAGAATACTCTGTGGCAAGTTTGGTTGAAATTGGCCCAGTAGTTCTGAAGAAGAAGATGAAAATGTGAAAAGTTTATGACAACAACGTCAGACAACAGAACAAATTTCGATCAGAAAATCTCGCTTGAGCCTTTGGCTCAGGTGAGCTGAAAAATTCAACAATAATAATATAAATCTGTCCCAGTGATATAAAACTTCTCCAATATTTAAATAAACAGTAATCAATGGAGAAAATAGTAAGTTCAATAACTATCTTTGTTATAAAACCTAGCTATGGCAAAATTTTTACAGACAGTAAACTCTTGCAGTTACATATCAAAAAGTTACATCACAATAGTATACTATTATCTATATACATGTAAGAATGAAGGTACTCATGTTCTTATTCATATAAAACTCAGCATGAACAATTCCATTAAAACACAACTATTAACAATTTTTCAGCAAGATTGATTTTTCAAACACAAATGTTATGTAAAATGTCTGAATATCTACACTAATTGGACAGGAAATTTCTTTGCAAATTCATACACTATTACAAAAGACATAGAAAATAATTATATACAATTACACTTCTTAAATGTCAATTAAAATATGTTTAACAATACCTACAACCTAGTGTGATTTAATGTTTGTGGGTGGGAAATACATGTATTGTAATTTTTATAGAAAAAAAAATTCAGCACCAGAATATTTAATTTACTCAAGATGCCTTAAAGACATACTATAAAACAATATAGATCATAAACATGTTTTTAAAAGAAGGCATATTCTTTTAGAATATCAGATACAAGTATATACTATATATAAAACAAAGATGAAAATAAAGACATCAAAGAACATGCATTGCATGCATGTTTTCAAAGTAAAGCAATTTAACAGTGACCAACTTCTGAAAAAAAAGGCACAAGTTTGTCCTCCAGTTACCACCTCACACCTCTTTATTTCACAACAAACGTAGCTTTAACAGACCCTCATTTACCTCAGCAAAACTGAAAAGAATGATGCAAAGCTCAAAAGATTGAAGCTAAAAAAAAAACAAGAGGCCCTGGGGCCTTAGCGGTCACCTGAGTATAATGTAACGATCCATAGATTAAAAAAAAATAAATAAAATGATATATAATATAACAGCTATGTTGCCCAAGAGCAAGTGAGTGACTTAGGTGACCTAAAAAGAAATGTTCATAGGGCATGAATGCCCCCGCCCAAGATACCATAGGACATAAATGTCCCGCCAAAGGTACATTTGTTATGCAACATAAAAGAAATGTACCTTCCTTCTTTGGTCAGAGATAATAGTAAAATATGATAAAAGAAGGTATTATTTTCTTATTTTTTTGTATATTTTACGTGTATACAAAACTGATATCTCAATACAGCTGTCCTTTATAACATGGTGTGTAGTGTTGATTCATCCCATAACAGCTAAATTAAGTCTCACTGATTCAAGTTCATTCTTTCATATTAAGCAAATATTTATCTCTTAAAAATGTATGGTTAAAATGTTTTAACAGAGATTTATCAGTGTGTGGAGTTATATGAAGTAATTCTTTATGAAACTGTATTAGATGAATTAAGAGCAAAATGAGGAAAAAAGTAAATTTACTTACAAAGTTTAAAGAAACTAGTGGTACTGTGTGTGAGCTAACAATAATAACCCCCACTGCAAGTTTTTTTAAAGTGTGTAAAAGTGTGTAAATATCCCCTTGAACTTGCCAAAAAAGACCCTTGGTTAAAAAAATCCTCTGGTCATAAGTAATCTTTTAGTGAAATATGGACATGCAATATTTCTCCATTAGAAAATTATAGACCTCATGCATTTAATACTTTTTATACTAGTAACCTTGAACTTGCCAGCATGACCTTGAGTCAAGGTTATGACACACCCTCAGGTCATAAACAATATTTGTACCGAGTATGAGCTTCCAGCCTTCCAATGATTCTCCATTGCTAAGTTATAGCTCTTTCTGCCAGTTAGGGGTGAAACGATATGCCTTCTTCATGATACAATATGTATCCTATAATTTTGTTTCGGCAAGATTATTTTCGATACATTTTGATTGAAGGAAACAAACTCAACATTGTTTTGTTTTCTTTCACTAAACCTAGTCACTAGAGGCCGAGTCTAATTATTTCTACCCTAAAGATTTTGATAAATTTTCTTGAATTAATTTTTACTATAATATTTAATTTTTTTAGATTAAAAAATTGAATGTTTACCATCCCGATTTCTTAGAGGACCATCTCAAAAGTTGCTATCACATTTTTTTTTTCCATATTTTTTGTATTTCTGCCCTTGAGAATTCTTTTTTAGTCAAGTACATGAAAGATATTGTTAAACGTCACCAAATTGTGAAATTTCAAAAAAGCTGACCATCTATGTTGGTCTAAGAATTATTACAAAGTTTATTTTTTCAAGGTCCAATACTTCTAAATTTGCCACATTGCAGTATATCTATCTATCGGTGCAGATGAATTATCGGTGCATATGAATTATTTTGGTAAAAAATAACAATTTTTAGATTGATTGTACGTTTATTTTGATGTTCTGTTAACAGTTTTTAGTAAAATGTCCATGGACGTCTTGTATACTCAAGCGAGTTATGTGTTATTCTTCAGCGTCATGCATTGCTAACAAAATCAGAAAACAGTGACTTCGTTAGAGCCATTCCAGTGTGTTTTTTTTGTAATTATTGTCTGAAAAGTACATTTCAAACCATAGGCATTACAGGTAATGTTAATTTTGTCTTTAAATCACAATAATTGGGAAAGGTGTAATGTAGCATATAACAGCTGCATGAAATTAAAAAGCTGCGCAAAGTCATGCACTCAAATTAAACTCGGCCTCGTTAATTTACAAGCAAATTGACTAGAGGAAAGTGATTAGAATGAATTGACTGTTAAAGATAATTTTACAAACTTTCAGTCCTAAAAACTTTACGGTTTTATTACTTAATTATGCTGGGTAGCATGTTTTTACCTATGCTAAACATGACTGAATAATGATCTCGACAGAAAAATGGAGATTTTGCACTGTGTATCAGACCGAGAAAATAATACCTTGGTGAATCGATACCACGGTGAACCATGTCACTCGTACTGCCAGTGACCTTGAACTTGTTGGAATGACCTTGGGTCAAGGTTATAATACAGCCTCAAATCATAAACAATTTTTGTATGAGTATGAGCTTCCAATGATTCTTCACTGCTAAGTTATAGCCCAGATAAGAAACTAATACCTTTTATTCCAGTGACATTGAACATGTTGAAATGACTTTGGTCAAGGTAATGATATACTCTCAGGTCAAAAACAGTTTTTGTACCAAGTATGAGCTTCAAATAATTCTTCATAACTAAGTTAAAAGCCTGGAAAAGAATTCATACTTTTTCTGCCAGTGACCCTGAACTTGCTGGAATAGCCTTGGGTCAAGGTCATAACAAACACTATTGTCATTTACAATCTCTCTACCAAGTATGAGCTTCCAATATTTGCGATTACAAAGTTATAGGCCAGACAAGAATTTCATATTTTTTGTGACAGTGACCTTGAATTTGTGGAATGACCTTTGATCAAGGTCCTTACATACCCTTGCATTATAAGCAATCTCTATACCAAGTTTGAGCTTCCAATGATTCTCCATTTCAAAATCATACTTTGAACAAGATTGCATAGACAGATGTAGACGGACAAGTTGATTCCTACATACCACTAAACATGGGGATATATATATCATAAACATTTTTATGACACATAGATAAATGCAAAATGATGGATAATAAGGTCACTGTCATTTGAAAAGTCAAGGTAAGAAAATAAGTACTCAGTTAAATTTCTCTTACCAATATGCATCTTGATATATGAAGTTTGTTTGAAAAATGGTATATGAAGTTTAAAAAATCTTTAAACTTCAATGACTTCAAAGTCGTACGTAAAGTCAAGGTCAGAAAATTATGCCCTTTGTATAAGGTTTGATTAAAAAATCTTGAAAAGAAAAATTTATGATGACTGAGGTCACAGGGAAGGTCAAGGTCAGAAGATACAGTTGAACAGCTCTTACCAATTTGCATTAGTGTATGAAGTTTGATGAAAATATGATGAATGGTTTCTTCTAAACTGTGCTTAACGCAAATCAATTTAAAGTCAGATTAAGGTCATATGGAAGGTCAAAGTCAGAAAACTTAGACACAGTTGAATGTTTCTCATCAATTTGTATTTTTATGTGAAGTTTGATGAAAATATCTTAAACAGTTTCTTTTCAATTGAGATAAACGCAGAAGTCTAGAAGGGTCAAGGATAATAAAAACTTGACACAGTCAAATAGTTCACATCAATATGTATCAAAGAATGAGTTTTGAAAATTCTCAACTGTGCTAAATGCAAAATGACTAAAAGTGAAGTCAAAGTCATTGGGCAAGTCAAGGTCGGAAATTTTTTTTACAAAGTTGAAAAGCTTTCATCAATTTGTATCTTTGTATGAAGTTTGGTGAAAATATCTGTTTCTCTGTTAAATGTAAAATGAGGAATAGTGGCATCAAGATCATAGATAAGGTCAAGGTCAGAAATTAATGACACAATTGAAAAGTCCACCTATACACATATATCTGTGCACAAGATTTGTTTAAAATATTTTGAATAGCTACTTTGAAAATGACCTAAATACAAAATAAGGAATAGTGAGGTCAATGTCACAGGGAAATCAAGGTCAGAAAATAATGACACTGTTGAAAAGTCCTCACCAATATGCATCCATGTGTGAGTTTTAATAAAAATATCTAGAACACTTACTTTGAAACTGATTTTAATGCAAAATAGGAAATTGTGAGGTCAATGTGAAGCACAAGTTCAGAAAATAATGACACAGTTGAAAAGTTCCAACATATATGTATCAGTGTAAAAAAATATAAAATAAAAATAAAAAAATATTTTGAACAGTTGCTTTGAAACAGAGCTAAACACAAATAAGAGAATACTGATGTCAAGGTAACAAGGAGGATCAGAATAGAAAATTGTGCAATGATTGAATACCTTTCACTTATCATTGTATGATTTTTGGTTCATATATCTCGAACAGTTTCTTTGAAACTGAGCTAAATGCAAAGTGTGACAGACATGCAGAAGGACAGAAGTCAGAAAGACGGAAGATGGACATGACAAACACTATACTGTAAACCAACTTTTATTCACGACGACTTTATTTCGTGATTTACAGGGGGTAAACTAGTTCGCGACAATTAATTATCGCAATCAAGCCTTTTTTTGGATCTGTTGTTAATAGAAAGAGAGACTTTAAGGACCGGTTTGTGGCGAGAAATATTTGTGATAACAAGGCTCTCGCGAACCTTGCGAAAATTTCTCGCACGCGAATAAAAGTTGGTTTACAGTATGCCCAGGCCAAAATCATGGTGGGCATAAAAAAAGTTTGAAGAGGCAATGAATTCATATTTCAAGCATTTTTTTCACACTGAAATTGATAATAAACATTGTAACTGAGTCAACATTCAGAGCTCAATGCTATTAACTTTGCAATTATCTGTAGTTTTACAACGATACTGATGAAAGTATATTTACTTGAAGCTGTTCTGTTTGAGCCATCTCATTACAGCAGGTCGAATTCTTGCCACACCACCTCTGCTATGACTACCCCTACCTGTTATGATGAAAAGATCCTTCTTTTTGTCACCTCTACCACAGAGCTCTACAAAAGATTAAAAAACTAGCAAATTCAGAGATCCCCAACTTTCAGCACCTTATTGGTTGGGGTGCAATAACTTATGGCATATTGTAACTGGCTAGCCTGTCCTGGATTAAATGGCCATCATGTAAGAAAAACGTTTCATATTTTGAAAGCAATATATTCTGGAGCAAAAGTTATGATCAAGATTAATACTCTTGAAAGTCAATTTGGTGTAAGCCATGAGAATTTATAGTACATTCCCAAATGTCACAAGTAATGCACATGGGAAAAATATCATTATGAAAGCCCCATCTCTTCAGGTGCAAAAGTTATGACCAAAGTTATAATTTTTGAATGTAGGTCAGATTTCAAGGTCAAGAGGTCAAAAATCTTTTTACACTGGGAAAAATCTTAGCACAGGTAATGAACATGTAAAATATGAAAGTCATGTCTAAAGCTACAATTAAAGTTAAAACAAGAGGCCCAAGGGCCTTGAATCGCTCTTCTGATAAACTGTACAACCTATCACTTCTATTTCAAGTCTCTAAGTATCCTGTATACTTAGATAAACCCTTGAAATTCCAAAGGTAGGTCATCATGAACTACATTTTAGATGAAACACTCTGAGAACCCAAGATGATTCTAAGCCAATTAGTACCTGAGAGTTGGTCATGGTGACCTCTTATCACTTGTCATTCTCTGAGGACCCCAAATTGCATCAACTAAGCTTGATGATTTTAGGTGAATTAATACCTAAAATATTTTTGAAATTATAACCATAAAATTTCAAAAGTAGGTCACAGTGACCTACTTTTCAGATGACATACTTTGAGGACCCAAGATGCATCAACTGACAAAGTTTGATGATTCTAAGCCTGTAAGTACCTGATATATATAAAGAAAGCCATAAAATTTCAAATATAGGTCACAGTGACCTTCTTTTAAGTTGAGTGACTCTGCAAACCCAAGATACATCAACTGACAAAGTTTGATGATTCTAAGCCAATTAGTACCCAAAATATTTAATTAAAGCCATAAATTTTCAAAAGTAGGTTATGGTGACCTACTTTTCAGTCAACCTACTCCAATGACCCAAGATGCATCAACTGACAAAAATTGATTATTCTAAGCCAAATAGTACCCCAAAATTATTAAATACAGCCATAAAATTTCAAAAGTAGGTCACGGTGACCTGCTTTTCAGTTGTCATACTCGAAGGACCCAAGATGCATCAACTGACAAAGTTTGATGATTCTAAGCCAATTATTACCTGAAATACTTAATTATAGACATATAAATTGAAAAGTAGGTCATGGTGACCTACTTTTCAGTCGACTTACTCCACAGACCTAAGATGCATCAACTGACAAATTTTGATGATTCTAAGCCAATTAGTACCTGAAATATTTAATTGAAATCATAATTTTTCAAATATAGGTCACAGTGACCTACTTTTCAGTCGACCTTCTCTGAAGACCCAAGATGCACCAATTGACAAAGTTTGAGGATTCTAAGCCAATTAGTACCCAAAATATTTAATTAAAGCCATAAATTTTCAAAAGTAGGTCACAGTGACCTACTTTTCAGTCAACCTACTCCGAAGACCCAAGATGCATCAACTGACAAAGTTTGATGATTCTAAGCCAGTTAGTACCTGAAATATTTAATTATAGTCATATAAATTGAAAAGGTAGGTCACGATGACCTACTTTTCAGTTGAAGCTTTTTGAGGACCCAAGATGCATCAACTTACAAAGTTTTATGATCATAGACCTTAAAATGTCCAAATTATGCCTCTAAAACGCTTTGAAATCGAATGCCAACAAAGTTCAAAAAGTAGGTCACTGTGACCTACTTTTTAATAAATATGTTTAACCTAAATATGTTTTATGGCCCCAAGATGCATCATCTAACAAGATTTAATGATTCTAAACCTCTCAGTATTTGAATTATGGACCTTAATTGTTTTGAAAAAGATTAGCCATAAAATTCAAAAAGTAGGTCAAGGTGACCTACTTTTTAGTCGACATACTCCGAGGACCCAAGATACATCAACTGATAAAAGTTTGATGATCATAGGCCTTAAATTGTTCAAAATATGCCCCTAAATCAATTTGAAAAAGAACAGCCACAAAATTTAAAAAAGTAGGTCACTGTGACCTACTTTTGAGTCAACGTGATATGAGGTCCTTAGATGCATCAACTGACAAGATTTGATGATCCTAGTCCTTATAGTAAGCAAAATATCAACATTTTAATAAAATGTAATTTTTGGTCAACTTTGAAGTGACCTTGAGACCACGCCCTCTGCCCCAGGGTAAATCCCCGTGCAAATTTTAATCTACAACATATCCTTATCCTTTTGTGTATGTTTGGTGATAATCTGCCCAGTGGTTCTTGAGAAGAAGATTTTTTAGCAACCAGTACTTTTGTTTCTATTTTCCTAATTATCTCCCCTTGTTTAAGGGTCACAACCCTAGTTTTAGTATAAAAGGGAGCCCTTGGGCCAAGGATGCCCTGTGATAATTTGACAATAATTGGCCAAGGGGTTCTTGAGTTATGGCCCATATTCTAAAAAGTTTACGCACACCGCACAAATGGCCATAGCCCTAAATTGATATTACTGCCAGACATATCATCAGATGTAGAACAGATTCCACTAACAATTGCCCATTTGTATTTATTAAAGTGACATTATGATGGACAAACAGGAAAATTGACAACAGTAGAATTTTTGCATGACACATGCAAATTTTGTTCAGTTCTTGAAGATATTAGGTTTCAGAAAATTACAGGTTTCAGAACCTAAACAAGAGGCCCATTGGCCTTGAATCGCTCTTCTGATAAACTGTACAACCTATCACTTCTATTTGAAGCTTCGAAGTATCCTGTATATTTACATAAACCCTTGAAATTCCAATTCACACTCTGAGAACCCAAGATGATTCTAAGCCAATTAGTACCTGAGAGTTGGTCATGGTGACCTACTTATCACTTGTCATTCTCTGAGGACCCATCAACTAAGTTTGATGATTCTAAGCCAATTAATACCTAAAATGTTTTTTTAAAATTATAATCATAAAATTTTATAAGTAGGTCAAAGTGACCTACTTTTTAATTGTTTAATTGTTTTATTCCAAGGACCCAAGATGCATCAACTGACAAAGTTTGAGGATTCTAAGCCAATTAGTAATATTTAATTAAAGCCATATATTTTCAAAAGTAGGTCACCGTGACCTACTTTTCAGTCAACCTACTCCGAGGACCAAAGATGCATCAACTGACAAATTTTGACGATTCTAAGCCAAATAATTCCTGAAAATATTAAATACAGCCATAAAATTTCAAAAGTAGGTCACCTTGACCTACTTTTCAGTTGTTGTACTCCGAGGACCCAAGACGCATCAACTGACAAAGTTTAATGATTCTAAGCCAATTAGTGCCCGAAATATTTGATTAAAGCCATAAATTTTCAAAAGTAGGGCACGGTGACCTACTTTTCAGTTGTTGTACTCCGAGGACCCAAGACGCATAAACTGACAAAGTTTTATGATTCTAAGCCAATTAGTACCCGAAATATTTTATTAAAGCCATAAATTTTCCGAAAGTAGGTCACGGTGACCTACTTTTTAGTCAACCTTCTCCGAAGACCCATGACGCATCAACTGACAAAGTTTGATGATTCTAGCCAATAAGTACCCAAAATATTTAATTTCAGCCATAAATTTTCAAAAGTAGGTCACAGTGACCTACTTTTCAGTCAACCTACTCCGAGGACCAAAGATGCATCAACTGACAAATTTTGACGATTCTAAGCCAAATAATTCCTGAAAATATTAAATACAGCCATAAAATTTCAAAAGTAGGTCACTGTGACCTACTTTTGAGTCAACATGATATGAGGTCCTTAGATGCATCAACTGACAAGATTTGATGATCCTAGTCCTTATAGTAAGCAAAATATCAACATTTTAATAAAATGTAATTTTTGGTCAACTTTGAAGTGACCTTGAGACCACGCCCTTTGCCCCAGGGTAAATCCCCGTGCAAATTTTAATCTACAACATATCCTCATCCTTTTGTGTAAGTTTGGTGATAATCTGCCCAGTGGTTCTTGAGAAGAAGATTTTTTAGCAACCAGTACTTTTGTTTCTATTTTCCTAATTATCTCCCCTTGTTAAAGGGTCACAACCCCAGTTTTAGTATAAAAGGGAGCCCTTGGGCCAAGGATACCCTGTGACAAATTTGACAATAATTGGCCAAGGGGTTCTTAAGTTATGGCCCATATTCTAAAAAGTTTATGCACACCGCACAAATGGCCATAGCATTAGCTCTTTGAGCCTTTGGCTCAGAAGAGCTAAAAATCTAATTCAATGGAGAAAAATAAAATTAAAAAAAATCTTTGTATAACCCATCACAAAAATATTGCTTCACTTCTTCCTCTTTACTGTACGCATGCGCTGAAAAGTTGAAGAATTTACCATGGTTTCAATTCAATAGATATAAATGTTGGATGACCGAGAATTTTGATACATCTTCAAAAAAGATGATCATAACTTATTCCTTACTTCTGCTTGCCCCAATTCAATGTTGTTTACAAGTTTCACGCTAAAAATAAAGGACGCCTGACCTTGACATTGATGATAAAAACAAAGCGATAGATACAACATTTGTTTTTCTGGCACTTATATTATGCAGTTTTTTTTCTTGCTTTACAGTGCAGTTGAGTTGTCAAAACTTCATTATATTCATATTTCACAGAAATCTTTTGTTTTGTGATACAGTTTTCTGAAAAGAAACACATGGTTTTGACTCATTATGCAACTTTAAAATGAGTTGAAAGCATTCATGTAAATATTCAACCACAGTTTTATGCAACTTTAAAATGAGTTGAAAGCATTCATGTAAATATTCAACCAGTTTTTCATCAATCACATTGCACTAAAGATGGAACAATACTTAACAAACTAATGGACTTACTTTTCCTCTGATCTTCTATAACCTTTGCAAGCACAGTAACTGCCTCGTCTACATGCAAACCATGCAAATCTAGTGTGGACTTTGCTTCAAGATACTCAACTCTATATACAAAACAAAAGAAGAGCCTATGGACCACAATGCTCACCTGAGTCACTATGACCCTGCTGTTCTTCATCAGCTGATTTTATACCCTACATATTCCTATGTAAAACTTTGATCGTCCATTGTGGCCTCACCCTACCCCTTGGGGTCACGATTTGAACAAACACTACCTGAGGATGCTTCCCTATCAATATGACTCACCATGGCTTTTCTGTTCTTGAGAAGATTTTGAAAGATTTTTTCCTATATATTCTTACATAAAACTTGATCCTCCATTGTAGCCTCCCCCCCCCCCCCCCAGGTCATAATCTGAGCAAACTTGTATGTACACTATGTGACGAAGCTTTCACAGAAGTTTCTACTACTCTGGCCCAGTGGTTCTTGAAGATTTTGAAAGATTTTTCCTATATATTCCTAGGTTAAACTTTGATCACCTATTGTGGCCCCACCCTTCCCCCAAACAAACCTGAATCTACACTTTGTAATGAAGCATTCACATATTAAGTTTCAACTTTTCTGGCCAAGTGGTTTCTTGAGAAGATTTTTAAAAGATGTCACTAAATTTTCACTAATTCTTAATGATCTCCCCTTGAAAGAGGGTTCACCCCTTCATTTGAACAAACTTGAATTCCCTTCATCCAAGGATGCTTTGTAGCAAGTTCCGTTGAAATTGGTCCAGTTGTTCTTGGCAAGAAGTTGAAAATGTGAAAAGCTTACAAATGGATGCACAAATTGACACCAGACAAAATTTGATCAGAAAAGCCCACTTGAGCTTTCAGCTCAGGTGAGCTAAAAATGTCAAATAATTGTAGATACTTTCTTACAATTCAAAACTGACATAAAAACTGCTAAGAACAAAAGACAGAAGCCTTTAAAAAATTTGCAAATTTGTTTTCAAATGTGATGGTAAAAACCTCAGCAGAAGAAATATAATGGCTGATGATAACTAATATAATATTTTATCTAACATATTGATTCATTTCAGAATATAATAAAAACTTACATAATATTTTAAAGTGTAGAAAAATGTATCATCTAGCTCTAAGTTTTCATACCTCCGAGATAAAATCATTTGTGCAGCATTTTCATTTGCCTCCTTGATTTTCTTTGTATGCAAATGGCCCTGAAAACCGAGCAAATTGTTAACTGAATTCATGTAACAAAATTTATGATAAATGTAATTGTAACAGCTTTTGATTTACAAAAATAGACTAGTGTTAGGAAAAAAAGACCAGTGTTAACTAAAAATATTTATATAACAAATGTATATCCACTTCCTCATTGTGTTCTTAAAGCTGAACATGATTAGTAAAAGGAATGTGTCTGCCATATTCGAATGGTCTCTCGCTATATCTGAGGACCCATATATAAAGCCGCTCACTTAGTCACTGTTCAGTGTAATCAATTGTCACCGGTGAAGACGTATGTATGCTTATACAGCACTTGGTAGCGACAAAAAATAACTGAAGAAGTAGGCGAGTAAGATACCAATGAAACTTACAACAGTTGCACAGGTCAGTGCAGTATACAAACAAACACAAAATACACGTTACTGCAACAAAATGTAAACAAAGGTAATGCAAGATTACCAGCACAAACATGGGTCGCCATTCTATGCCGATACCCGTGACAATAAAGCAGTCAGGTGTAACGAATGCGAAGAGTATACCCTGGTAATGATATTGTAGATAGTACTATCGAAAATGGTGTATGCCTATTTACAAGTCGTGTTCAGCTTTAATTAGCTGCCAGGGAAACATCTTGTACTAACTTCAATCTCACTTTAGTGGGAAGTATGTGTACCAAACTGGATTTTACATAGTTTGCTAATTTAATTTTTTTAGGGGGGTGTGTCTGAGGTAAAAATTTAGACTCACTCTTAAGAAATCAGTAAGGGTCAAATTTTGCTTCAAGTGTACATTTGCTCAGTGGAGATTAATATTACAAAAAAAACCTACAGGTCCATGGACATGTGCTTACAAGTGGTCCTCCACATTCCTTCAACTTCTGTTCTGCTATTACTGTGCAACATCACTATTAACAAGCGTATCAACCATTGACAAATGGTCAGGTATTGAAATATTATAATTATATAATAATTTTTTTAATTGATTTCACAAGCATTAATTTTTTTTCCTTCTAGTTTTGATAAGCAGTGCAGCAAAGGACAAGATAGGCTATGACCCCTTTTTGGCCCCCGGTTCGGGGTGTCTTTTAAAATAATACAACAGTTTATCGGTTAAAAACCTGCTGTCACCCCTGCCACAAAATGAGTATTGGTTCTAAGTTATGGGATACACAGAGGTCACAGGAAGGTTGGGAAATAGGTCAATTTCCGAATTTTCTCATTTTTATGGAAATTTTCATTGATTTTACAGCAAATTTTGGTTAAGAAAACATAGAGCACAAGCTTGCCTATCTATCAAATTTATATATTTCATACACTAGTATCAGATGCATCTTATGTATAAAAATCTCAGATAGGCAAGCTTGTGCTCTATGATTCCAGAAGTGAAAAGTATCTCAAATTTCACGAAATTTGATCAGAATTGAGGAAATTCAGGAAAAATGTCCTACTTTTGCATCCTCTTGTGGCCTCCGTGTAAGCCTTGAATCAAAATTAGTGCTGGTTTTAAAGCAAGCATCATTTTAAGTTTTTAACTACAAACTATCACAATTTTAACTGTGTTCTGATTTTTACATCAAATAAGGGGCCAGATTCAGCCGTTACCATACCTTGTCCTTTATTTTTTTGTTTTTGGACATATAGCAGTAGGACCACAAAACACCAACAACTTAAGAAGTCATCAGATATTTTTTGAAGAAATCAATAAATGTTATAAAACAAATAAACATATAAAGCATGTTCTCTAAAATCTGTAGATGAAAACCAGGGAAAACTTATGACAGTATAGAAGAAACAGCAATGAAATAAATCAAAACCAAAATTGCATCATCAAATTTTTTCACTTTGTTTACATTTTGTAAAACAATTTAGATCACAAGTTTGCATGGAAATGGAAAATAACAATCAAGCACTGCAAGGCCTGGACTAGGACTTTTTTTTAATTATGGTAGTGAAAACTGAATTCAGACAGCTATTGAACAGCTATCAGACAGCTATTGAAATTCTTGTATCTTAAATTTTTGACTGAGAAAATGGAAATTGGAAGAATAAATAAAGAAATCATATGGCATATTTTACACTCTCAATTTGAAACTCTTACACCAAAATCACAAGGATTTGCAACTCTGTCATCATACACATCTTGTTCAGTATTCATTTATTGACTATTAAAGCTGAACACTACTCGTATAAGGCATTGTCCGCCATATTCCTCTTTCATCGGCGCTATCCCTACAATCCCTATATAAGTCGCCGAACTCCTAACAGTTCAAAGTATTTCACTGTAGAGGTCTCACCTGTGTAGATGTATACCTTACATTGCCGTGTTACTCAGCTGCAACGAAATAATCGAATTTTATGCACTTTTTCAGAGCCAGGAGAAAAGTAACATCAAATATACAAGTCGATGCATTATTTACATACAGAAAATGCACATAAAACGGAACAAATACCCAAATTTAAGACCACGAGAGGCATACTGCAACCACAAGTTTCAAGTGTGCAATCAGGTGTAACAGAATCGAAAGGTTTATATACATGTGTGATAGTGCCTATTTATGAGTAGTGTTCAGCTTTAAACGGGATGGATGTCAATGAGCAGAACTAAAAATGGACATCACTTGTCAATTTTTCTGAACATACATTGAGAATGGTTTTATTAAAATGGAATTGCACAATAAAGCATTTAAAAATTACTACTTTCATAGCATTTTGTTGACAATAATATGATTAATTAGCCTAAACCAGAAGTCTCTGATGACACTGTAGCTCTACTGGTTGTACCTATAAAAGAAGATAAAAGTAGCACTTGGACTTGAAACTTTGCAACAGCAATAAATAGAATAATGATCCTTGGTTTAGTCTCTTTTTGTGGCAAGATTTATTGCAATCAGACTAAAACTGTAGGAGTAGTCTTATAAAACAATTTTACAGAAATTTTGATTTAATAACCATGGCAACATCATTCAACAAAATCAAAAACCAATAACAACAATTACGCATCTCAGTGTAGTCTACTTGTATGCCAAGTTATACTGAAATCAGACAAAAAGTGTAGGAGGAGTAGCGTTTTGAAAGTATTTCAAGAAAATTCCTATTTTTAGTAACCATGGCAACAATGTTCATTTAAATCAAAAACCGATAAAAAAGAATTATGTATCTTAGTGTAGTCTCCTTGTGTGCCAAGTTATACTGAAATCTGTATTGTACAATAGGGCATCACTCTCAATTTATTGCATAATTTTCTATTGACAAACCATAATTTCTAAAGCATATGCATGACCCTGCATAGAGAGCTAAAAAGCGGTCTCAAGAAAAATCATCAGTATACAAACTATACAAAAAGGGAAAAGGTAATTTTTCTTGATATACACAGGTCACAGTGTGTAGAGGGCAATGAATCATACTTAAACTGGCCCCTGGCAATCTATTTTTATTCAGCCTTGCAACCATACTTTGAAAAAATTTGACATCCTATCAGGAACATCCAGTAGAGCCTTCTTAATCAAGACAGGGTTCTCATTAACGCAAGAATCTGCGTCCTAGATGCAGAAAAATTATTTGGGACACAAGATTCTTAAAAACGATGTGTCCGCGGACTCATGAGTGGATACGTCCTCGTCAGCGAGAAAATTCGGGTGCTTTCGAGAACCGGAGATTTCAGATGTTAGAATTTGTCAAAGAAATATTTAATCGAAACCTTTCTCAAACTATCATAAAGTTTATCCAAGAAACAACTTTTCTTGTAACCTATTTCTTTTTTTAAACAGGGATTGATTACAAGATATTTCATGTTTATTAGTCCATAGTCATAATAGTGTCACATGCCAAACTTCGATAGCTGTAAACACACTGCAGCTTCTTTTTAAAAACACTTTTGAATCTTGGATTTTACCTAAAAACCATAATTACTGCTTGTATACACAATGCGGCTTGATTATCTCGTGAATTTCACCCCGTGCTGACGACCGACAGGATTAGTTACGCCTCATTGCAAATGACACCTGTGATTGTATACAGTCAACTTTAGAGTACTAATTGATTATGCAACAGTTAATTTTAGCTTTAAAAACACCAAGTTTATTTTTATGGCAATTGATTACGCGTGTAATTTAGATGCATCACCAGTTTACATATTTGAATACGTTAATATTTCGTAAACAAACTGTTAAAATAATAAAGATTTTTTTTTATGTTTGGATGAAAGGATACTGCGATAATTCAGTTGGGACTCAACATAATTTTTCTGGGACGCATCAAATTTAGCTGGGAAGCAGACCTTATCAGATATCTTGAGTCCTGGGACTCAAGTTAGCAAAATCCTAGTGAGAACCCTGCAAGATGTTTGCGTTTCCCAAGCAAAGAAATGGATAACTAAAACATTCCTATATGTTTATTTGGTAGATATAAAAGTAAATTCCATTCTCCAAAAATTTTGGTGATGCATTTGGATTATTGGCATTCAGATTAACAAGGCTTCATTGTATATTATTTAGGTACATTAACAGTAATTTTTGTATTCATAAAATGGTTTTGAAATTATTTCCTAGCATAAAAATCTGGAGTCCTAATATGGTCCCTCCCTGATTCCAAAAGCCATACCGTAAAGTCACATGTATTATACACATTTTTTTTCATCAGCAAATCGTTCAAAAGTAGGAGGTCAGTAAATTACAAGTTTACCCCTTTTTTCTGGACACTTTTCTGAGCACTAAGGAATTATTTCACCAACATCATGTTGTTAGTATATTGCATATCTTGCCATTTTGAACAATTGTCATGAGACACATATATATCTTCAAGTGGCAATTAAAAGAGTTTGTTCAATTTCAATGGGACACCTGGTGCCAGTCTAATTAAAATCAGATCCTTTGATCAACTCACATAGATCCCTACACAAGGATCTGAAGAAACCCCATTTGGAATTTCGAAATGACTCTGAACAAACCTGTGCTCTGTGTTTACATAAGCTCTGAAGTGGGGCATGATTTGAAAAAAAAATTTAATTTACACTACCTGAGGATGTTTCCATATAATATGCCTAAATATGGCCTTGCTGTTCCAGAGAAGAAGATTTTTAAATAATTTTTTCCCCTTTATATTCCTTTGTAAAACTTTGACTGCCCACTGTGGACCGACTCTACCCTTGAGGGTCATGATTTGAATCAATTTGAATTTACATTGCCTGAGGATGTTCCCATTTAAATATGACTTACCATGGATTTGTTTTTCCTGAGAAGATTTTTTAAGACTTTTCCTTTCCTCTCCTATGTTAAGCTTTGATTGCCAATTGGGACCCCACCCTACCCCCAAGGGGTCATGATTTGAACAAACTTGAATCTATACTACCTGAGGATGCTTTTTTATAAGTATGAGCAACCATAGCCTTGCTGTTCTTGAGAAGATTTTTATTTTTCCATTGATAAACTCTGATTGCCCACTGTGGCCCAACCCTACCCCAGAAGGTCATGATTTGAACATAATTGAATCTTAACAAACTCATGAAGCTTTCAAATAAGCTTCATCTTTCTGGCCCAATAGTTTCTTAAGAAGCTTTATAAAGATGCCATTTAATTTTCACTAATTCTTAATTATCTCCCCTTGAAAGAGGGTGTGGCTCTTCATTTGTAATAGGTAGATCCCCTTCACTCAAAGATATTTTGTTGCAAGTTTGGTTGATATGGGCCAAGTGGATCTGGAGAAGAAGATGAAAATGTAAAAAGTTTTTCAACAACATTGACAATGACAGACAACAGACAAATTTCGATCAGAAAAGCTCACTTGAGTCTCCGGCTCAGGTGAGCTAAAAAAGAATTAACAATTCAATATAAACTACCTGATTAGAATAAAATTGGGCCACTTGTTTCATGCCTCTTCTGTAAGCTTCTTGGGCTTTTTGAAAACATTCATGGCGCAGCCTGTAATGTAGATTGGCTTCTCCTCTAATGTCTTCATATTCTGGGTTCTCAGCACTCTGGTATTCATTCTTCACTTTTGGATGGTAAGTGTATGAATCAATCTGTAATTCAAGTTAGAAGTGCACTTGCAAACTGGAATAAATTGTAACATTTATTTGAATTTGTAATAGGATAGAAGAAAACTCAATAAACAGTAATTTACCATTTCTTGCAAACTTTGCTGTTTTGCAGCTTCAATCAATTTTCTTTCATACTTGTCTGCTGCTTCTGCTGTCATCACAGTCTTTGGTGGTTCATTGCATCCCAGTGATCCTTTCACTGCTCTCACTGTGTCAGCATAACTGAAGCTGAATATCTATACATATTACTGAGGCATTTCGTGGAATAGACTCATCTCCCACAAAATTTCAATCAAATGTGTCTTAGAGACAGCAACAACAAAAAAATATACAAAATTTGCCAAAGGAATGTCTCATCTGACCTTAAACAATGTGCTAATAGGCACTAACATTAACTAATGTATTATACAGCTACTTTTGTGAGACTTATCCTTAAAACATTTTAAATAAATTACATGGAAAACTATTCTGGACCTCTATCAAGTTGGGTATATGCTATATTGATGAGACTTACAACGTGGAATCATTTCAATTCGTGAAGGTGGGGTGGGGGTTCAATGTTCATGGGCAAGCAAAATTTTACTGGTTGATGGGTACCTAATTTCGTGGGTAACTCTTTTATACAGTTGATTCAATGAATCAACATGTTGACAAAATAATCGTTCATAGGGATGTAAATTCTAGGGTAAGGGAACCCATCAAATCCACAAATGCTGATCCCCTATGAACAATGATGATTCCACAGTATTCATTCTCATCAGCATAAGGGAGATGCTTGGAAATTAAATTTGACAAATACAGTGAAGTAGTCTTGTCTCTGAGAAAAATTTTAAAAGAATTTTTCTACACTTTAAAACTCTGGCCTTTAGTGGGAGCCATCTTTAACCAAGGGTAATGAACTCAGCAAACTTTAATCTACCATATTTGGCTGAATATAATATGCACTTTTTTCCTAGAATATTTTTTTGTGAGAAATGGGTGAGTATTTTACACCACAATAGGATTTTGATGGGTTTTTCTTTCAGGTGAAACAAAGCTTTCATACAGACATACCGTAGTATTTCCTAGAGACACAGCCAATTTCTTGTTGTTTACCGCTACATTTAAAACTTCAGAAAATTATTGTTGGAATGCAAACTTGTTGAAAATGTTATATTTATAATCTGATGATAGTTAAATGATATTAAAACATAGGTAATCAGAGATTACAGAGCTCACCTCAACGAATGTTGTCTTTAAGTAAGGCAAAGTCCCACACTAAACTAATAATCTAGGAGTGTGCATCCCTAGATGCAACATTTATGCAATTTTGGTCTGATAGGGCTTGCAGTTACTTGGGAATAGACTCATCTGAAAACTTAAAACTAGTCACTCATCCAGAAAATGTAAGTCAAATCTAGCATCCAAAGCAAGTTTTGAGATTGTTCGTCCCTTGATGCATCATCCATGCAAGTTTGGTTCAAATAGGCCTTATAGTTACTTGGAAATGAGATCTGCTCCAAAAACTTTAACCTGGTTACTCATCTGGAAAATGTAGGTCAGATCCAGCATCCGAAGCAAGTCCAGTAGTGTGAATCCTTAGATGTATCATCCATGCAAATTTGGTCAATATAGGGTTTATAGTTACTTGGAAATGAGATCTGCTCCAAAAACTTTAACCTGGTTACTCATCCGGAAAATATAGGTCAGATCCAGCATCTGAAGCAAGTCCAGTAGTGTACATCTTTAGATGTATCATCCATGCAAGTTTGGTCAATATAGGGTTTATAGATACTTGGAAATGACATCTGCTCCAAAAACTTTAGCCTGGTCACTCATCAGTAAAAAATATAGGTCAGATTCAGCATCCGAAGCAAGTCCAGTAGTGTGCATACTTAGATGTATCATCCATGCAAGTTTGGTCAATATAGGGCTTTTAGTTACTTGAAAATGAGATCTACTCCAAAAACTTTAACCTAGCCACTCATCTGGAAAATGTAGGTCAGATCCAGCATCCGAAGCAAGTTCAGTAATGTGCATCCTTAGATGTATCATCCATGCAAGTTTGGTCAATATAGGGCTTATAGTTACTTGAAAACGAGATCTACTCCAAAAACTTTAGCCTAGTCACTCATCCGGAAAATGTAGGTCAGATCCAGCAATCGAAGCAAGTTCAGTAGTGTGCATCCTTAGATGTATCATCCATGCAAGTTTGGTCAATATAGGGCTTATAGTTACTTGGAAATGAGACCTGCTCCAAAAACTTAACCTACTCCAAAAACTGTAACCTGCTCCAAAAACATTAACCTGGTCATTCTTTAGCTGAAATTGCAGCATCTGAAACCTTGACTGGTACAATGAAACACACTACAAGCATCCTCCATGCATCTCTGACTAATATAGGCCATAGAAGTACTTGAAAAGAAAACTGCTCCAAAAACCTTAACCTGGGATGCCGACACCGACACCGACACCGAGGGTATTACATAAGCTCCCCCAACTTCGTTGAGGTGAGCTAAAAAGCAAGTTAAAATTAATTTCAGCCGCATATTCATTGTCTCCGTGTATTTGTGTGTGTTGAATACAACACATTAAACTCTTGTTAAATGTTATTTTATTTTATATTTATCAGCTTCTTGTTTCAAAAGAAATATCAAGTCTGTTAAAACTTGAGTGTTATAATTACTCGTGCTCTGTAGAAAATAAGATATCTGCGAAGATTACCGCGATGTATAAAATCATGATTAACATACTGTTGCTAAATGAAAATTTAAGTTGATCTGTTCAAACTGTAATTCAACATTATCTCATGCATTGTTGAAATAAAATTATTTCTGTGAGGATAAAGACGACATGTAATGTATAGATTGTCGTTAGTTAAAAAGAAAAAAAATTAATTCAATGAATAATATCTTGTGCTTTGTTAAATAAAATCGTTTACACACTAAGATTACTGCAATGTTTAAGTTCCAGATTGTCATTAGCTTAAATATATATATATTTTATAAATATAATGGAACAATATCTTGCTTTGTTAAAATAAAATTATACCACGATTTTTAAAGTCAACATTGCACTAGCTTAAAAAATTATTTATAATGCAAAATTTAATTTTTTCTGTGAAGAATATCGCTATGCATAAAATCAGGAGTATCCTAAGCTCAAAAATGAAATCCGCGTATGAACAGTTAATGTGCTTAAATTTTCAATACATTATTTCCACAAAGATTTTAAATAAAAATTACTGCAATGTAAAAAAAGTCAAGATTACCGCTTGGTCAATTTTTTTACTGGGTAAAATACAACTGCATATTTTCCCAAATTTTGAAGCCCCAAAAGGGGAGTGCCTATTTTACACCAATGCGTATTATATTCAGCCAAATACAGTACACTTCATGAGTTTGAGCTTTCATTGTTCCTAAATGATTATGAAGTTAGGCCCAGACATCTGCGTTAGACCTTCTCTATATGACCTTGGCTTCAGGTCATGACACACATGGCAATCTTGAGTCATTCTTGAGTCAAGTATGAGCTTTCAATGTTTCTCTGTGATTATGAAGTTACGACCCAGACATCACTTTTTCTGCCCGTGACCTTGAACTTTTCCAAATGAAGTTTGGTCAAAATCATATCTAAAATTCACAGCCTAGGCAATTTTTGTTTCAAGTATGAGCTTCAATGTTTTTCAACTATGAGGGTGTGGTCTGGACATGAAGGTACATGAACTTGATCAGATAGGGAACATAAATCAGGGCTCAACATTAAATGCTTGTCTGATTTTGAGTGTCCAGTTCATTTTGTGATCAGACAAGTCTATCCCCAGACATACTTGTCTGATCAGACAAGAACATGGAATGGTGTGAATATAGGGGGGAAAAAAAGCAAATTCAAAGAAATTTGGTCCCCTGCTTTCAATGTCTTAGTGGTTGGGATGCAATTATTTATGGCATATTTATGGTATATTGTAACTGTCTTGTTTGTGTGTCCTTCAAAGTTTTAGATCAAGGTCATGAAGTCAAAAATGACATATCTTTCTGAAAGGTGTTGTCATAGGTAATATACATGTAAATTATGAAAGCCCTATCTTCTCTCATTCAAAAGACTGTAGGTTAAAGGTGGAGGTCATAAAGCAAAGTATATTTGGAAAGGTCTTGAAACAGGTAATGCACATGTCAAATATAAATGCCATATCTTCTCTCATTCAAAAGATATCAGCAATGTTAAAATTTTTGAAAATTAAGTCAAACTTCAAGGTCATGGGAGTTAAAAATCATATAGCATTTGGAAAAGTTTTCTCACATTTTGTTCATTTTTATGAACGGAATTGAGATTTACTTTTTCCAAGATTTTCTATGTTTGAAGACATTCTTGATTAAAACTTTGTAAAGTGTCGCAAAGACTGAGATCATGTAATATTATGACAGTGTGCTGTATTATACGGCTGCCAAATGCCGTAGACAAAGTCTTAGCTCAGTAGTTTCCACCTTATGCACTCATCAGTCAAACTTGTTGCAATTTCATTGGAATTAATTTCAATTCAAGGATAAAATCATTTGTGTTCTTCTGTGTACAACCATACAGGTGGTTCTATGCAATATTAATATTTCATAAGTGGTTCCTTCAGCCTAGCAAATTGTTAATAAGTAATCTTTGATTTAAAAAGACATTACATGAGTGTTTGTTCCTTGCTTTTATAATATACAAAATGTGTTATCACAAAATGTTTTCACAATGGCAAGTGAAATATTTCTTAATGGTGACCAGAAATTATGAAATGGCGACCAAAAAAATTTTCAGGTCACCATTTAGCAACCTGATAGTAAGTGTGACTTAAAGCACTGTTGTGAGAGCAGGATATTTTTTGTAAAACTGGATTCCAAACAAAATTTACTGGAGCTGCTGACAGATTTACACAATTTGATCAGAAAGTATAACTTGAAATTTCCAGTTCACACGAGATCATGAAAGCAACAGATCATTACTAAAGTCAATTAATTATATTTAGCAGTGAAAAATGATAATCTAAACATACCAATTTGCTTGAAATATTTCATCGAGGACAGAAGGGTCAATGGCTGGAAATTCTTCATGCAGCTTCTGCTTTTTCATTTTATTTCCAATAGTATTATGAAATCCTGAGGCCTTTAAATCTTCATTCTGAATAAAAGTGTGTGAGGAACAATTAATTAGAAAATTGTTGTCCCCTACTTTCGGAGACTTACAGGAGCAGAAGTTAAGACCAAGGTTAAAATTCTGAAAGTATGTCAAACTTCAAGGTCACAGGGTCATTCAGACATATTCAGAAAGATCTTGTCACGGGTAATGCACGTGTGAAATATGAAAGCCCTATTTTCCCTTATTCAAAAGTTATTGGCAATGATAACAATTCTGAAAAGTAGGTCTTACTTCAAGGTCAAGGTTAGGTAATTTTTTTTAGCTCAGGTGAGCCAAAAATTAGAAATTTTCAAAAGTCCAAGGGCAATAATTTTTGTGAAAATGTGGCAATTAACGTGAAACTTGAACAAGATCTGTAAGTCATCAATATAAAGACACATTCAAAAATCAGCTCATAATCTACGAAGTCTGGAAACAGTGAAAGATAGAAATTCTGAAGTTTATCAGGGCAATAACTTTCGTCAAAATGGGTTGATCAACATGAATCTCCAATCTGATCTTTAAATCATCAATATACAGACATACCAAAAATCAGATCATTATCTACAAGCTTTGCAAAATTTTTTTTTAAAAAATTCCCAAAATAATTTCTGTAAAATCACTTATTTTTGTGGGGTAAAATTTTTGTGATTTGAGCAAAAATTTTTGGATTGAGGGAATTTCATGGTTAAAGGAGAATTACTTTTGTCTTCTTTATTTTGATAATACAGTGCGAAGAACTAATTTTGATATAAGTGGTTCTTGAGAAGGAGATTTTTAAAGAATGTTCCTATATATTTCAATGTGAAAATTGGACTCCCTTTTTGTAACCCTGCCCTACTCCCAGAGGTCATGATTTGAACAATTTAGAATCTACACTACCCCAGGATGCTTTCACATAAGTTTCAGCTTTTTTGTATATGTGATTGAAGTTTGATTTTCAAACAAATTGGATACAGTTGGTATGTTCTCACCAATATGTATCAGTGCATGTGTTTCAATAAAATTCTCTTTAAAGGTCATAGGAGACAATTACCTGAACATATTGAGTTACATACGGGAATAAGTTCATATGAGCTGGTTAAATATGACTGACATTGTTTTTTGGATTTATTACGCAAGATAGCTACAGCACAGTCGATCAAAATTACTCAGTCGTGAAAATTCACTTTGACTAAATTGCTTATCTCCCTTAGAATATGACGTCAGTAAGGCCCAATCGCTGTTCAAAGCTTTGCAATGTTTACAAACTATTATGTCATTTTGCAGATTAATTTTAAAGAATATCATAATCATGGCTAAAACCTAGTATAAATATACGATCTTCAAACAAGCAAGTATTTCTTTTTAAAAATTCCATTGCATATTTGCAAGATGTTTATATGTTTTATCAATCAAAATGTGATCATTTTCATCGTTTGACACTTCAATCTATTGAGAGAAAAATAAAGCAATCGGAAGAGAGAAAGAAGGGAGAGTGAGAATGAATTCATTTTTCATAACCAGGGCAGTTGTTTTTATGAAATCATTTATTTACAACCTAGTTTTACTTTCACACAGAGTCCAACACTGTCAGTATGACACTTTTCTTGACAAACGATACGTACCTGCTGCGTTAAGTATACATGACTTTAAAAAAAAAACAAGAAAAACATTTCTTGTGTTACTGTTTTATATAATTAAATCAATTCTTATCATTTGACACTGTCTTAATATTCACTTACTCGGCATGTACAACATCACCACCAATACCCGATCTCTGCCCCCCCCCCCCCCCCCATCCCTCTTGTTATTTCTTATTTCTTTCTTTTTGTAATTGAAAGTTCTTGAAATAATCGTGTCGTTTTTAAACACACTGCAGATGGGTTAAAACAACTCTGGCAAGAACTAAACGTTAACTTGTATATATGGGAGTTAGTACAAACGACGTTTAAAAAAAAGCAGCTCTAACATATTGAAATATTTCTATGAAGAATAAGGATTCTACCAAATGTAGATATTGAATGAATTAGAAATCGACATTTTTTTTTAATTTAGTAAAATTTAATATACATAAAATACGAAAAAGGTAGGTATCTTTCCAGTCAATTTGTTAAAATATTTATCAAAGATCAGTACTTATCATCGTATACAAACCTGTTTTTTCCAGTGTGTATTATATTTATGTTTTTTTTCTGTAAAGGATATAATTTCAAAAGTTTTATCATCTGTTAAAAAGAACATTAATATTAAAATTGTAGTCTCGCAAATGATGAATGGATTTGCAAACTGATCACGGACTGTACTGTTTACTATACTACATACCGATTATTTCAAAATTCGATATTGTAGAGTCAAACCATGTCTGCACAAAGTATCGGCATCGTAACAATCTCATTTCCTTTGGGCTCAACATTTCTTCTTTATATATATATTTTTTATAGAAGAATACGATCATGTCATAAACTTAGGGATTCTACTGCTATATCGTTTTTACAGCAATATGTGTGTTGTGTTTCGGATCAGGGAAAACGAAACTTCAAAGACGCTGACATTTTCAGTGGTTCAATCTTATCATGGACTTCAATACCACCGGCCCCGTGTTTATTTTGGGGATCACATTAGGGATATTCCCCATATAAGTGTTATATTCTTTCTTTAACAGAATGTTATAGGCTTAATCAAAATTTTTATTCATATCAGAAAAGGTCACTTTTAATAAATTATTCTATGTTGCATTATGCGATTTTTCTTGGAATAAAAAACGACTCATTAACTTTTTTTAATGATGATGGAATCCTTTTGGAATGTCGTATATGTGTATTAAACAGGGAAATTTTTTTGTTTCTAAAGGTTTGATGCAAAGTAAGTAATCGAAGTTGTAGCTTAATTTAAGCGTAATTTTATATAGGATATCCATCAGGATCATCCTCCGATAAAAAGCCCCCGTTTTGAGTTACCGTGCCTTATTAACGACTCGTTCAAACTGAATTGACTGAACTACGAAATCAGATAACTCACCTGAAAACATTGACACATTTATATTTAAGAAAATAGCTTAAATTAACTAGATAAAAATATGGTAGAAATACATTAGTCTAACGCTCTGTTTACATCAGTGGGCTCTTGTGACGTCATAAAACCACAAAATCAAGAACGATAAGCGGGTAAGAAAAGTAACAAGTGGAAAAGTTTTCACCTTTATTTTTCAGTAGAACAAAGGCCAAAAAATATTACTACTCGTAATTTAACATTCTTTCATATATAGCTTTAGGTTTAAAAAGTGAAATCCTAATGTTAAGAATCGTTTCCTATGACCTTTAATAGTTTCTTTGAAATTGAGCTAAATGTAAAATAAAGTTAAAGTCATACATTTTGGACACAGTTGAATAATTCACACCAATATGCATTAGTATCTGTGTTTAGATAAAAATATCTTGCATAGTTTCTTTGAAATTGAGCTAACACAAATTTTAGAATAGCAAGGTCAATGACATAGAGAAGGTCATGATAAAAATTTTTTGATGCAGTTGAATAGCTTGTACCAATATGTATCAGCATATGAAGTTTGATAAAAATATCTTTAATAGCTTCTTTGAAAATGAACAAGAGGCCCATGGGCCACATCGCTCACCTGAGTAACTTTGGCCATGCTGTTCTTTACCAGATTTTCCCCTTGTAATACTTATTGTGGCCCCGCCCTACCCCGGGGGTCATGATTTTTACAATTTAAAATCTACACTATCCCAGGATGCTTCCAAATAAGTTTCAGATTTTATGGCCCAGTTGCTCTTGAGAAGAAGATTTTTAAAGATTTTTTTTACATATTTCAATGTAAAACTTGGATTTTCTATTGTGGCCCCGCCCTACCCCGGGGGTCATGATTTGAACAATTTAAAATCTACACTACCCCGGGATGCTTCCACATAAGTTTCAGCTTTTCTTGCTCAGTGGTTCTTGAGAAGAAGATTTTTAAAGATTTTTCTGATATATTTCAATGTAAAACTTGGATTCCCTACTGTGGCCCCGCCCTACCCCCAGGGGTCATGATTTTAACAATTTAGAATCTACACTACCCCGGGATGCTTCCACATAAGCTTCAGTTTTTCTGGCCTACTGGTTCTTGAGAAGAAGATTTTTTAATGACCCCATCCTATTTTTGTCTTTTCTTGATTATCTCCCCTTGTAAGGGGACTTGGCCCTATATTTTAAAAATTTTAACTCCCCTTCACTCAAGGATACTTTGTACCAAGTTTGGTTAAAATTGGCCCAGTGGTTCTTGAGAAGAAGTTGAAAATGTGAAAATTATACAGACGGACATACAGACAGACGGACAACTGGTGATCAGAAAAGCTCACTTGAGCTTTCAGCTCAGGTGAGCTAAAAAAGGCAAAGTGTGATGGACGGCAGATGAAAGGACAGAAAGACTGAAGACAGGCATGACAAACACTATATGCCCTGGCCATATTCATGGCAGGGCATAAAAAAACAATTAATGACTGTTGTCCAAGATGCTGAGTATCTGATGTTTTATTTACCAGATTGGCTTTCCTTTCCTCCTCTTTTAACTGTTCTTGCATTATAAGATGCATGGACTTTTGAGTAGTTTTACACGTGGAATTATTCATCTCTGAATGTAGTTGTTGTGCAAAGGCTTCATCTAAATGCAAAAATTAAGACATTTTATGGAAGTAGTTTGCATATAATTCTCTCAGTTTTTGTTTTCCTAATGATTTGCTTACTGACCAGTTTCCCCAACAGCTGTATGATAATGGTAATAGCTTTCTTTCTTTTTTTTTTTTTTTTTTAAATTTTCCCAAATTAATTTTTCTTCACAGGGAAGATTCATTTTTATCTGTTTATTTAAGTTAGTGACTGTCTGTGTTAATTTACCATCTGAAATCTGCTGCCTCCGATTGACATGAATTTCTACATGTTCTGTCTTCAAACATTGATGAAGTCGCTGTGCTGTTATATAATCTACTGGAATTGTTAGAGCTTCTGCAGTTACTACATAAAGAAAAAGGACCTCTGTACAAACTGTAAACTAGTACATTATGAGGATCTCCGAACAAAACTGCTTTGTCTAAAATGGTCTTTACACAGTAAACTATTACATATCAAATAATACCTGACAGTGAATAAACTATTATATTTATCAGGAGTTCTGCACAATCTGTAGAGTTTTATGCCTATAAGGATCTGTATAAACTTGTCACAATATCAAACAAGAGACCCAAGGGCCATAAGGCTAACCTGAGTTACTTTGGTTCTGCTGTTCTTCAAATTGCTTTTTAAAAAAAATCCTCTATACAGTGTATTCCCATGAACATTTGACCCTAAATTGTGGCCCCATCCTAGTCCCTAAAGGTCATGACATAAACAAAACTTTAATCCATACTACAGAAGCATTCTGAATATGAATATCACTAAAGCAGTCTTGCTTTTCAGGAAAAGATTTTTCCTATATGCTGTACATATATAATGTTTTATTTGATGCCCAATTTTAGCCCCACCCAAGCAGGGTTCTCCACAAGGTTTTTAAAATGGTGGCCCACCATGGTTAAATTTATGTTCACCATGGTTAAACAAGCTATGCCATGGTAGAAATTGGTGGCCACCATGATTTAATTTCCATTGCATTTCAGTACTGAGCCTACTTTCTGATTTGAATAGTTAATTGTGTTTATACTATGACTGGCTTGCAAATCCCTCTTGAGAGGAAGATTGTGCTAAATAAACACGGTCGTCATGATAGTTGTTTTGCCAATACACGAAGCATGTCAATTGATAGTCAATCAGCTGTTGATTGATATGAGCACATATCTCCTCATAAGAGACTAAAACTGTAAGAGTAGCCTTTTGAAAGAATCTTACACAAAGTTCTATTTTTAGTAACCATGGCAATATCATTCTTCGAAAACAGAAACCAATATATACTGAATTATGTATCTAAGTGTAGTTTATTTGTGACACAAGTTATATTGAAATCAGACCAAAACTGTAGGAGGAGTAGCGTTTTGAAAGTATTTCATGGAAATTTCCATTTTTAGTAACCATGGCAACATCATTCATCAAAATCAAAAACTGATGCATAGGATTATGTACATAAAGTAATCTACTTGTGTGCCAAGTTATACTGAAATCAGACTAAAACTGTAGGAGGAGTAGCATTCTGAATCTATTTCAGGAAGTTCTATTTTTATTAAGATGGCATCACAGTTTATCAAAATCAAAAACTGATATATAGAATTATGTATCTTAGTGTAGTCTACTTGTGTGCCAAGTTATACTGAAATCAGACCAAAACCGTAGGAGGAGTTGCATTTCGAAAAATTGTTTACAGATAGATGGACAGACGGATGGAAGAAGGGATACCTTACTATCGCATAAGCTCCTCTGGTCTCTGACCAGTAGAGCTAACAAGAGGCCCATGGGCCACATCGCTCACCTGAGCACATTGGCTAGGAAAAAGCACAAATCACCAAATCACTTCAGTATTGAAAAATTTAAAAGGGGGAGGGGGGGGGGGGGGGCTTGGATTTTGAACTACCTGAGGATGCTTCCATATCAATATAACAAATGGCTTTGCTGTTCCTGAGCAGAAGATTTTTAAAGATTTTTTTCCTATATATTCCCTTGTTAAAATTTGATCCCCCATTGTGGACCCTCCCCTCCCCCCCCCCCCCCATTTGAACAAACTTGAATCTACACTACCTGAGGATGCTTCCATATCAATATGACTAAACATGGCTTTTCTGTTGTTGAAAAGATTTTTTCCTATATATTCCTATGTAAAAATTTGATCCCACATTGTGGCCCCACCCTACCCCTGGGGGTTATGATTTGAACAAGCTTGAATCTACACTACCTGAAGATGCTTCCATATCAATATGACAAAACATGGCTTTGCTGTTCTTGAGAAGATTTTTCAAGTTTTTTCCCCCTATATATTCCTATGTAAAACTATGATCCCTCATTGTGGCCCCACCCTATCCCCTGGGGTCATGATTTGAACAAACTTGAATCTGCACTACCTGAGGATGATTCCAAATCAATATGACTAATCATGGCTTAGTTGTTCTAGAGAAGATTTTTAAATATTTTTTTTCTATATATTCCTATGTAAAACTTTGATCCCCCATTGTGGCCCCACCCTACCCCTGGGGGTCATGATTTGAACGAACTTGAATCTGCACTACCTGAGGACGATTCCATATCAATATGACTAATTGTGGCTTTGTTGTTCTAGAGAAGATTTTTAAATATTTTTTTTCTATATATTCCTATGTAAAACTTTGATCCCCCATTGTGGCCCCATCCTACCCCTGGGGGTCATGGTTTGAACAAACTTAAATCTACACTACTTGAGGATGATTCCATATCAATTTGACTAATCGTGGCCTAGTTGTTCTTGAGGAGAAGATTTTTAAAGATTTATTCCTATATATTCCTATGTAAAACTTTGATCCCCCATTGTGGCCCCACCCTACCCCAGGGGGTCATGATTTGAACAAACTTGAATCTACACTATGTAATGAAGGTCTTACATAAGTTTCAACTTTTACAGCCCAGTGGTTCTTGAGAGGAAGATTTTTAAAAGATACCACCAAATTTTCACTAATTCTTAATTATCTCCCCTTGAAAGAGGGTGTGGCCCTTCATTTGAACAAACTTGAATCCCCTTTACCCAAGGATGCTTTGTGGCAAGTTTGGTTGAAATTGGCCTAGTGGTTCTGGAGAAGAAGTTGAAAATGTGAAAAGTTTACAGACGGACGGACAAATGGACGACGGAAAAAATGTGATCAGAAAAGCTCACTTGAGCCTTCGGCTCAGGTGAGCTAAAAACCTAGACAATGTTAAAAGATGCTGGTGTTTGTTTGTCTGTTCGTTTGTGTACCTGTAAACTTTTTCCTTTCAAAATACTACTCCATCAGTTTTGGTCTGATTTAAATAAAACAAAATATAACAGACACCACCTGTATATCAGAATTGAATAAAATTTGATGAACATTGTTGCCATGCTTGCTAATTAAAAAAAAAAGATTCTATGGAATTCTTTAAAAAACTGCTCGCGCAGTTTTGGTTCAATTTTGATAAAATGTGGTACATTTGTAGAGTACACTACGATAATATAATCCTGTATATTGGGATGTTTTAGTTAATATTTCAACTTATTGTGTTGCCATGGTAAATAAAAAATACTTGTGAAATCAACCATTGATTAATGAAGCTTTAGTTAGAAGGTCGAACCCGCATTCGTGCTTTCAATCACATTTCGCTTTTGCACAGCTTCCTCCATGGATATATTTTCAAATGTAGAGAACCCTGCCAAAGTGTATATAATAAGTATAATATGAATGAACTTGAACCCACACAGTGAAGAATGTTTACATCTCAATATAATTAGGTTTGCCCTGCTACTTTGATATGAAATAGCAGATAGTTATTTAGCTTGGATTTCAGTAGATATTCTTTTAAGTAACCTGGAAATTGACCTTGTCCAGATGATCTTGGTTTAAGGTTATGAGCAATCATTCCCATGATTCCCATTTTTCATTACAAAGTTATAGTCCAGACACAATTCCAGGGGTATTATTGTGTACATATTGTATACCTGGAGTCAAGTTTCCAACAGATCCGAAGAGGCTCAGAAGAGCCTGAATAAAGTCACTGGGGAGTTCTAAGGAAAGTGTCAGATTAGCTGGGGATTCCATAACTGGAACAAAGCCAGCATCACTCACTGTGCCTTGACAAGTGTCTACCACCTCTTCAAAAACACCACTTTGTGGAGAGTCTACATATGATGAATTCAAGCTCTGGTCTATTTTTGACACATTTTGTACAGAAATACTATCAGTGGCAGGCTCATCTTCTGCTATAGCTTCCAATTCTTGCAGAATCATTCTGCTGAATTCTTCATCTTCAATAAATATCTCATCTCCTTCACTACCTCTGGAAAATTGTTGACATATACGAATGTTGGATTCATAGGAGCGCATCCTTTTCTCCGAGTTTGCAATCAGTTGATTTTCAATGTCTTCTTTGGTTGCAATATTTGTGTCTTCTAAGTATTTCATACATATGTCTATTAACAAGGCAGGCTGATTAGATTGCTCCCCTACACATATGCTTGAAGAACTTCTCGATCTTGCAGGGATGGTTGGAGATTTTGGCAAATGTTGTACCTTAAATATTGAGTCTAAGTATTTATTTTTGTCCTCTTGACTAAGAGATATGTCATGAAAGTTCCAATCCAAAATAATGTCTGCGGCCCATTCTACATTATTATCACAGCTCTGTAAAACATCCTTTAAGTCAACTTCTGGGATTGTGGGAAAACTGTTCTTCAAGAATTCAATGTCTGCTTCTAGAAAATCTTCTGTCATTGTACTGCGATGTACTGTCATAACATTTGAGCTTTTTGAATTTTTTTCTGAATAATTATTAGATGAATTAACTTTCCATTCCTTGCCTTCAATAATCACTACATTACAAAGTTTTGTACTGCTCTTTGTCATTCCCCTGCTAAGATCATGCATAATGTTTAAATCCTGAGGTGTTATTTCCGTCTCTGAATGCACTTTTCTGACTAGATTATTGTCATTAACACTAAGTCTTTTCTCAGCAATGTCACTTTTTACATCATCAAGAGTGTCCACTTTAATGGCAGTCCAGTCATTTACAGCTAGCTTGGCCCTGTCACTGTCATTAAGCAGTGGGAATCTGGCAGCCATTTTCCTTTTGTTGTTTTTCTTAAGTGACCTTGCTTTATCTTTCTCATGAACATTATCTTCTTGTAATGATATCTTGCTAGCCTCACATACTACTGAGCTTGGTTCTTTGGGAGTAGACTCGCTAGTTTCTACATTTTCTCTTAAAGCTGATGCCCGAGGTTCTGTGGAAGGGTCAGCTAGAGTTTTTGAGAGGTTAAAAGTGTCTGAAATAGGTTCCACAACCTCAGGCTTGGATTTCATGGCACTCAGAGAAACAACGTTATGCATTAGACTTTGTGCATCAGATTTCTCTGTGACTTCATCTTTAGCATCTGAAGCCTGACAATTTCTTTGTGTAAGATTACTGACCTGTCTCTGTCCAAGGGGTTCTTTATTTTCCCATGAATCACTGGACACCATGATATTACAGTCAATATCTTTCTGTGTTGACCAGTACAACTGCTCAGATGCTTTAATGTTGCTTAGTTCTGATGTCATATTATTTTTGGGAATAGTTTCAGCCATTTGTCCTTTGTTACTTGATTCAATATTACCCTTTTCTAGTACTTCTTCACGTGTTAAATTATCAGCACTCCAACTGTCAGGTTTTAGGTCCTTATCTAAGTTAGCATTTTTGTGCAGATTTTTCTTCTTGCTTCTCTGATCCATGGGTGTATCCCAAACCTCTTCATTCTCAGACACAGCTGTTTCCCTGAAATCACTTATAACATTGCTTTCATCAGCAGAATTCTGTTCCTTGATATCACTTTGATCATTATCACAATTTTTTGATAATATTTTGATTTTTTCTTCTATCATTTTCTCAACTTGCATGTGCTGGGTTGGATCAATGTCCATGAAAAGGATCCAAGATTTAAGTTCATCAATTATCTTATCTTGATCAAAGTCACTATTCCAAGAGCTCCCCACATTCTCCATAATAAGACTATCCACTTTCCCTTCTATATCATCCCCTGCTGTTTTTGTGTCAGTAATGTCAGTTGTGGAGAAAGACACTGTGAAATCTTCCACAGTTTTTTGACACATGTCTTCCTTCTGTCTAAAACCTTGAGAAACAGGTGGTGACATAAGAGTTTTTCGTTTTGTGATAATTTCCAGTTGTTTGTGTATATTGCTGGATGACATTGCCACATGAGACCTAGCAACATATCCTATGGTAGTAGGGATAGGACTCTGTCTGTTATCGCTATCAAATTCCTTTTCCACTCTCTTCTCAGAATCTGTATCACTACCAATAGTGGAACACTCACGACCTGAATCCCCACTGTTTCTCCTTAATTTTATAGTGCTTTCACTCTCCTTGAAATCATCAGGCCTTGTCAAGAAAACTTCCTGGTCCAATGAATCTTTGCGTGAAGAATTAAATGGACTTCCCCTGTCCGCCTGTGAATTTCTTAGCTCAGGAAAATCTGCTGGTGAAAACTCTATATCCTTTGGCTTTTCACCATTTTCTCTGTTGAAAAATACCAGCACTTCAAAATTAACAAATTCTAAGTGAACTGAAAGAACAAAATCTTAACTATTCAAAAAAAAAAAAAAAAAAAAAAAAAAAAATAGTGTAGAAATTCTACTTCATATACAAAAGTCACTAGAGACTGAAATTTCAGACTAAAAAAATTTTTCTGATTTTCTTGTAACTGCCAATCATTTTCTTCTGAATAATTTTTTTTTCTGTATTCTAGATTCATTGCACAATAAAAGATAGAACATTATTGAAACAAAGTCAGATAGTGAACACTTACATTTTTTTCTTAAAGGGCGACCCCAGGATCAGCTCTACTGTTAAATCTCTTTGGTACCTTTCTTTCATTTTTTGAATATGTTCTTTTGGCACACCATGATCATTTCTCCTAAAGAAATTTCAATTATTTTGTTGTGTATAATTTTTTTTATTAATTGCTGCAACATTTCTTAATTTGTAAATTATATTTATGTTCTAATAAGACATACTTTATTCAAATGTATTTCACCTACGTTATGTACTTGTTATTCTGATAACTGAACCTTTGTATTTATAATTGTATTATATATGTATAGAGGGTCCCGAGGAGGATAGTGCTTTGCAATAATCAAGTTAATCTCTTTAAATAAAGTTTAATTATTATTATTTTTACAATCCTTTGGGTTTGAACTGCATGTATCAGTAAAATGTTCTACATCAAACTTATCCTTCCCAGTATTGACTTTTAAACATATATATATCAACAGATGAAATAACGCAAATATCTCTAGACTAATTTTTCCTACCTTGCTAACTCTTTAACAGAATATTTCCATGGTGTATTGGGTTCTAATAATTCCATTTCATATGAAAATGCTTTACCCTGCAAGAAGTAGTAAACGATTTTAAAACATGATCATCATGGGCCAATGGACAGCTTGTTAATGAGATTTGATTCGATATATAATTATATACATTGACAGAGTTGGGAAATACTATAGAACTAGTCTATTAGCAATTGATCATTTGAGTGGCTCCCCTAATAAAAATTTACTATAGTTAACTATAGTTTACTATAGTTAACTATAGTAAATACTTTGATACTTTGATTTACTATGAAACTTTACTCAAGAACTTTTTTGAAGATTTAGAGTCTTAATATTTCTTAAATTACATATCAATGATGTAATTTTTTGAAATAATATGTAAATATACAAGAAATATTTCTTTTTAATATCTCTGAAAGCATTACTGTATACAGGGAAATTTTTGCCCCTTTCGCCCTACTCACAGGATGGCGAATATAAAATGGGGTAAATTCAAAGACAGTATATTTTCTTAAACAGAACTGTGAGTGGGCGAATTTAAAATGGGGCAAAATTGTTTGAATGTGTGAAAGGGCGAAAATAACGCAGGGGCGCAAAATAACCCTGTATACAGTATTTTCTGAGCATGTATAGGCTCTTTATAAAAAGAACCTTAATTACTTAATTTGACAGAATCTTGGATGCCACAATCAGTAAACTTCTGGGATCATAATCCCTTTCCAGAGAGATAAATGGAGAGACTGAAGGATTAATACCTTGCTAGAAAACAGAGAACAATCAATGAGTGAACTCTTGATTCAACTTAAGAAATAAGAAAATTTCTTAACCAGTTTTAGATATGGCTTGATTTCCCATGATTGAGTATTTGTGTTGTCTATAATAACAGGTGTACACTTCTCCTCCATTGCTGCAGCAACTATTAACAAAAGAAATAAAGTAAAAGGTCTATCAAGTGAAATAGAAAATTGTCATATGATTTGTTATAGCATTGCATATCAACATAATGCACAAAATGGACTTTTATGTGATAAAAAAATGAACACAAACACCTTCTTGCCACTATTAACAAGTAATGTCCTAACATGACTTATACCCCTTGCAGGACAGTCAAAAAATTGTATACTACAGTACTTGAAATTTACCTGTAAAACCCTAATTTTACAAGAACTTTTTTCCCATTTTAAAGGACATAGATCTTATTGAAGTGTGATTAGATCAAAACAACAAAATCCCCTCCCTCTGATCACAAGAAACCTTATTGTCAAGTAAAAGCTTATAATATGCAAGTGTGATACATGATATCACTGCTAGCACTGATGCCAGGGGTATAACATAAACCTACCTCAACTCCACTTATGTGAATTAAAAATAATGTCTACTCATTCAGCTACCTCTTCAACATTTATCAATTATTAATCTAAATTGTTAGTAATTTTTTTAGTCTGTAAAACTTCTGCACTGAAAATTTATTCAACTTATTTCTGTTAAATATATATATACCTCTTTTGCGATTCCATTCATGAGCATCTGCAAGTTTACTGACATCAAAGTTGTATATTTCATTCTCCCAAAAATAATCATCCGTACTTAAAATTTGTCCATCTCCAACAAGCTGCCTATGAACATTTGTTAATAAGTTAAGTATCATTCCATTATAAAGTTATTCCACAGAAACACTTTCACCAATTTCACATTAAATAAAACAAAAGAAGAGGCCCATGGGCCATTATGTTCACCTGAGTCACCTTGGCCCTGCTGTTCTTCAGAAAATTGGCCCATCCCTACCACCAAGGGACAGGAATTGAACAGATTTTTCTTAAATATTCCATGTATAACTTGAATCCACCTACCTTTAATAGCATGCTTTTTATTAATATAATTAATCACTGGCCTTACTGTTCTTGAGCAGATTTTTTTCTTCAAGTGTTTAAACTTTGAGCTCCTATCGTGGCTCCATCCTACCCCAAGGGGCCATGATTTGAAATAACTTGCATCTACACTATGCCAAGAAACTTTCACACAAGTTCATCTTTTCTGGTCCAGTAGTTCTTAGGAAGTTTTTTTTGCCTTACCTCCCCTATCTAGATGGTGTGGCCCTTCAATTGCCAAAAATTGAATCCATTTCTCCTAAGGATTAACTGTGCAAAGTTTTGATGTAATTGGTCCAGTGGTTACGCATAACAAGTAAAAAGTGTGAAAATTTTACAGATAGACAGATGAAGGACAAACTTCCATCAAAAAAAAGTTCACTTGAGACTTTGGCTAAGGTGAGGTAAAAAAAAACAACAACAACAAAACTAAAAAAAACAAACAAACAAACAAAACTTTTAACAGAAACTATAATCAACCAACTTAAGAAAATATTGATAAAGAAAATGGCTTGGGCAATTCAAAAAGATCAACTGGCTTACCTTGCTAATGTAGATTTCCCACTTCCTGGAAGTCCCCTTAAAACTACCAGCACTTTAGCACCACTTGCAATCCTTTGCCTCACTCTTTCAATTTCCCTCTCATTTGCTTCTGCTGTAGATTTACTACTTCTTTGGACAGGAAGTACTCCACCTGGGGGTAGAAAAGGAGGAGCCCCTCTTGGTTCTGGAAAACTGGGGAAATGCTTCATCCATGGAGGCATTCCCCTTGGAATTGAGCCCCTACCTCCTCTAGGTGGCCAAGGTGGGCGCATCTGCATACCGAAAGGAGCTCGTGGAAGGCGAAAGCCTGGAACAAACTGATTCGGAATTCGAGGTTGTGGAATGGGCATCCCCCCATCTAAAGGTTTCCCCATTTTTGGCATCACAAAATGAGGCTGTGACTTCTCTGACTGCTCATCAGCTTGTTCAAAATCATCTTCTTTTTGCAATCTTGGAACAAATTCTTTTGCAGTGACAGAGAGTTCAAAAGATAAAACTGGTAACTGCATTTCTGTTGAATTTGGCCTTTCTGCTGCTTCACTGTTGTCTACACTTAACTGATCTGAGTAGTCTTGAGAAGCACGACCTATTTCTTTTAACTGATCTGAGTTATATTGGTTATGGCTTGCTCCATCAAGTCCATTTAGACTACCTTCTTTTAACAAACTATCAATATCAAACTCTCCCGAGTCATGTCTTAAATTAAATGCATTTTTATTGGCAAATGAATATCTTGATGTTCCATGTGCTGAAGACTGGGAGAAATTTGACAACACATAACTACTTTCTTTTTCATCCAGGCTTGACTTACTTCTGTCATTTGTGTTATGTGGCCATAGAGAAGATATAGGTACGTTACTTCCAACCAGTGCTGGAGATACTTGATGTGGTAACTGCTTTGTGCCAAGCATTGGACGTTTTTCTCCTACTGAAGTGGGCATTCCATTGTCCTGAGAATTGGTCAAATTGAGGGCACCTGCAAGAATCGAATGTCCAATACCTTCTGAAAAGGGAACTAATGAAGGTGTAGATACTTTCTTTGAGAATGAGTTAAAATCCAATTCTTCTTCAAAATTTTCATCAATATCATCTAGAGAATTATGTGAAGATTGTAATTTGTTTGATTTTCGTGGATCAAGTTGAGCAAAATCTAATGCTACATCAGCACTACCACTATTATCATGAAATGAAGGAAAACTTCCTCCTTGAACATCATCATACTTGGCAAGTCTCTCTGACCTATAGTCAGTAAGTTCAGGCTTTGGTAATCCATTCTGGCTTTCAATATTTTTTCCTTCTTCAGAATATTTAGATGGACTTTCAAAACTGCCAGGAGATAGTGAACTGTCCCTTGATTTTCTGTTTAATTTTTCACCAATTACACCAACATGTCTTGGGCTAGTTTCTGCTGGAGTTATACTGCCAGGTGAGGATATCCCAGCATTATACGCAGAAGAGGTTGTTAATCTTATAAATTCATTGCCTGAATTTACATTTGTAATAGCATTTCCCACCTGGTCTTTTTGTTGACTCACAAGTAAAGATTTTTTATCTAATCTTTGTGCATCTAAAACATTTAGAGTGGACTCCCTTGAGTTTGGTTTTTCAGAACTTTGAAGCGAACCCAGTGCAGGAAACTCAGAGGGCATAAGATTCTGTGTTGATTGGTGGGAAAACTTATTTTTCTTATCCAAGCACAGGACATCTCTAGCTATTTCAGTTAACTTGCTTTTCTTCTTGGTTGCATCTATCTGGCTTCCACACATAGTACACAAAGTATCTATTGCTTTTTCCACTGAATAAAATGAAAATGGAAACAATTAATGTATACAGTGTAATAAATGTTAATGTAAAAAAAAATCAAATTAACTGAAAAGTCAAATTTTTAAAAATTGAATATCATTTTACATTGGAAATGACCAATCATTAAAGTAATATCCAACCAAATTTATCTTTTTAGATTTGGCTTGCTTGGGAAAATTATACAGCTGATTTAGCATATCTTTTTGTAGGTATATAAGCATGAAAACTGCTTTTATGATAACTGCATTAATATTTAGGTGATAGGTTGATTCTAGGAAGCACTGGTCTCATCTTACATGTCTTAATTGATAGATCTTTTCTAAAACTCAAGTTTAGAGATTGCCAAAAGGTTAGTGATAAAACCTCAATCTTCATTCAAATTAGTATCAGTTAAATTTCACAAATTTTGTTCAGAATGTTTGGGCAGTAACAGAATATGTTAGATTGAAAACAAGAGGCCCATGGGCCTTGAATCGCTCTTCTGATAAACTGTACAACCTATCACTTCTATTTGAAGCCTCGAAGTATCCTGTATATTTAGATAAACCCTTGAAATTCCAATTCACACTCTGAGAACCCAAGATGATTCTAAGCCAATTAGTACCTGAGAGTTGGTCATGGTGACCTACTTATCACTTGTCATTCTCTGAGGACCCATCAACTAAGTTTGATGATTCTAAGCCAATTAATACCTAAAATGTTTTTTAAAATTATAACCATAAAATTTTATAAGTAGGTCAAAGTGACCTACTTTTCAATTGTTTTACTCCAAGGACCCAAGATGCATCAACTGACAAAGTTTGATGATTCTAAGCCAATTAGTACCTGTAATATTTAATTAAAGCCATAATTTTTCAAAAGTAAGTCACCGTGACCTACTTTTCAGTTGGTGTACTCCGAGGACCAAAGATACATCGACTGACAAAGTCTGATGATTCTAGCCAATAAGTACCCAAAATATTTAATTACAGCCATAAATTTTCAAAAGTAGGTCACGGTGACCTACTTTTCAGTCAACCTACTCCGAGGAGCAAAGATGCATCAACTGACAAATTTTGAGGATTCTAAGCCAAATAATTCCTGAAAATATTAAATACAGCCATAAAATTTCAAAAGTAGGTCACCTTGACCTACTTTTCAGTTATTGTACTCCGAGGACCCAAGACGCATCAACTGACAAAGTTTAATGATTCTAAGCCAATTAGTACCCGAAATATTTGATTAAAGCCATAAATTTTCAAAAGTAGGTCACCATGACCTACTTTTAAGTTGTTGTACTCCGAGGACTCATGACGCATAAACTGACAAAGTTTTATGATTCTAAGCCAATTAGTACCCGAAATATTTTATTAAAGCCATAAATTTTCCGAAAGTAGGTCACGGTGACCTACTTTTTAGTCGACCTACTCCGAAGACCCATGACGCATCAACTGACAAAGTTTGATGATTCTAAGCCAATTAGTACCCGAAATATTTAATTAAAGCCATAAATTTTCCGAAAGTAGGTCACGGTGACCTACTTTTTAGTCGACCTACTCCGAAGACCCATGACGCATCAACTGACAAAGTTTGATGATTCTAAGCCAATTAGTACCCGAAATATTTAATTAAAGCCATAAATTTTCAAAAGTAGGTCACGATGACCTACTTTTTAGTCGACCTACTCTGAAGACCCAAGATGCATCAACTGACAAAGTTTGATGATTCTAAGCCAATTAGTACCCGAAATATTTAATTAAAGCCATAAATTTTCAAAAGTAGGTCACGGTGACCTACTTTTTAGTCGACCTACTCCGAAGACCCAAGATGCATCAACTGACAAAGTTTGATGATTCTAAGCCAATTAGTACCTGAAATATTTCATTATAGTCATATAAATTGAAAAGTAGGTCACGGTGACCTACTTTTCAGTTGACCTTTTTTGAGGACCCAAGATGCATCAACTTACAAAGTCTTATGATCATAGAACTTAAAATGTACAAATTATGCCTCTAAAAAGCTTTGAAATCGAATGCTTGCAAAGTTCAAAAAGTAGGTCACTGTGACCTACTTTTTAATAAATATGTTTTATGGCCCCAAGATGCATCATCTTACAAGATTTAATGATTCTAAGCCTCCCCGTATTCAAATTAATGACCTTAATTGTTTTAAAAAAGATTAGCCATAAAATACATAAAGTAGGTCAAGGTGACCTACTTTTTAGTTGACGTACTTTGAGGACCCAAGATGCATCAACTGACAAAGTTTGATGATCATAGCCCTTAAATTGTTCAAAATATGCCTCTAAATCATTTTGAAAAAGAATGGCCGCAAAATTTAAAATGTAGGTCACCGTGACCTACTTTTGAGTCAACATGATATGAGGTCCTTAGATGCACCAACTGACAAGATTTGATGATCCTAGTCCTTAAAGTAAGCAAAATATCAACATTTTAATAAAAAGTCATTTTTGGTCAACTTTGAAGTGACCTTGAGACCACGCCCTTTGCCCTAGGGTAAATCCCCGTGCAAATTTTAATCTACAACATATCCTCATCCTTTTGTGTAAGTTTGGTGATAATCTGCCCAGTGGTTCTTGAGAAGAAGATTTTTTAGCAACCAGTACTTTTGTTTCTATTTTCCTAATTATCTCTCCTTGTTAAAGGGTCACAACCCCAATTTTAGTATAAAAGGGAGCCCTTGGGCCAAGGATACCCTGTGACAAATTTGACAATAATTGGCCAAGGGGTTCTTGAGTTATGGCCCATATTCTAAAAAGTTTACACACACCGCACAAATGGCCATAGCATAAGCTCTTTGAGCCTTTGGCTCAGAAGAGCTAAAAACAAGAAGTCTGTGAACCAATGATCACTTGTAATACCCCCGCTTTAATGTGAATGTACAAAAGTTCAGTTATGGACAGACACAAGGATGAACAAGAAGTTGACATCAGATTCGTACAAATATGAACCCCACCATATTGCAGGCCTAAACAAAGAGTGTGCTAAAATTTCAAGCATCTGCAATTAGTAGTTGCTAAGAAAGCTGTGACCAAAATTTGTTGTGTATGGTACGGACAGACGCATAGATAAACAGGAAGTTGACATCAGATTCGTACAGTAATGAATCCCACCATATGGCATGCCTAAACAAAGAATGTGCTAAGATTTCAAGCATCTGCAATCAGTAGTTGCTGAGAAAACTACGACCAAAATTTGTAATGTATGGTATGGACAGACGCATGGATAAACAGGAAGTTGACATCGGATTCATATGAAAATTAATCCCACCATATGGCATGCCTAAACAAATAATGTGCTAAAATTTCAAGCATCTGCAATCGGTAGTTGCTAAGAAAACTGCGACCAAAATTTGTTATGTATGGTACGGATAGAAGCATAGATAAACAGGAAGTTGACATTGCCTTCGTACAGAAATGAATCCCACCATATGGCATGCCTCAACAAAGTGCGTGCTAAAACTTCAAGTATCTGTGATGAGTAGTTGCTGAGAAAACTGTGACAAAAAATTTGTTACGGACAGACAGACAACTAGACACACAGACACAGGAGTAAAACAGTATACCCCCCTCTCCTTCGGAGCGGGGGTATAAAAAGTTTTTTAATTTCATATTTTGCTAAATACAGAGGTAATACATACTTTAAATTAAATCATGTGGGAAATTCATCACTGTATACTAAATTAAAAACAAAACTGGATCTATGGTGAAAATACTGAAAAGTTGTCACAGTTTGATGGTAAAAACAACACACTGTGGAGATTGATTATTTTCATACTTTGATGAAAAAGTTTACTACTCTAATGAAAAAAACAAATGCTATTTTTGTGTCAAAGTAATAAAAAGAAAACTCCATTAATTACCAATAGATTTTTTTTCATAAATTCATTTCAAGTAATTAAAAACAAGAGGCCCATGGGCCACAATGCTCACCTTGGCACACAGGGTAGGTATTCAGTATTGAAAAGTTCTTAAATTTATGTGGTCCAAACCTCCCATAAAGGGAGGGATAATTTGAACAAACTTGAATCTACACTAAAAGAGGATGCTTCCATATTTCTTTGACTAATCATGGCTCCTAAGAATATTTTTAAACATTATTTTTTCCTATAAGTTTTATCCACAGGCACCTGTAAATTATTTTGCATTGAATAATGTAATCGAACTATGATAGAATTATTCCTACTAAAAAAAGTTAAGGAAGTTCAAAGAAAAAAATGAGTCTTAACCACTTAAATTCGTCTGAAATGAATACTTTAAGCATTTGAAATGTTACATTAGAAAAGACTTCCATGTGTAAAAGGTGAAGATGACGAACAGTGATCAATGTCAAAACAGAAAGGAAACAGAAAGCAGAGGTTTTTTTCTTTTTTGCGGTAACTTCAAATTAGGCTTTCAAACATGATCAAGGGAGGATAAAAAAGAGAGAGAAACCATAAAAATATGGAGAAAAAGAATAGGAGAGAGAAATTAAACCAACAGAAAAGGTGGAGGATGAACATGATGAATGAAAAGTTTTGCAGATTGATGATGTTGACTAAATTCTATATTATTACTTTCCTCCTTCAATTTATAATTGTTTCCAATATTACCAACAACGTTTAACAATCTTCCTTGATATAAGATATTTTAATGAAAATCTTAAAAATGTTTGGTATGAATCAAAATCTATCTCTAAAAGAGAAAGACGAGAGTGATTTGAAAAAAAACAATATCTTCAGAAGTTTGTCTATTAAATATGTTAATGTCATGAAAAGCATTTCCTATCAACAATTATGTAATTCGTGCGACTCTGAAATGGCATTCAACTTCATATCTAGCCGTTCGACTTGCGGTTGAATGTGTACTACTTGCGATCTATTTAGTATCTTGCCGGGCTTTTTCCTTTAATAACAATTGTTTCATTCAGTTGCCACAGTAAACAACACACTAAAATGAGGCTTTGGGTACACATTTCGATACATCTCTGGGTTTATGACACGCATAATGTCCCCTGTTGTCAACATTGTCGGTGAATATAAATAGGCGTTCGACTTGCGATCAGTTTACCCTAACTGATAATTAATGCACTGTTTCTGCATTATCCGCGGAGAATATTGACTTTATTTAAATCCAGTTAAAGTATGTACGCCTGTGTGTGTGTGTGGGGGGGGGGGGTGAGGGGGTCACTCTAAAATTATTCCAGGAATTGTTGAGATCTGCAATTTTAAGTATTGCAATAAAGTAGTGGCATGGCAACATTTTTATCTTTATTGTCGGATCCATTTTTTTTTGTGTGACAGATATACACATAACATGTATAAGCTAATATTTAAATATTATTTTTTAGTTTTATGTGACCCCCTCCCCCTTTTTTCAATTAAGCATATGCCAGGTATATATATAGTTGGGTGGTTTGCTTTTAAAGAGCTGTTCAATAAACTCTACATGATTTGTGCTGTCTTTTTTTTTTTTAAATTTCAAGCACCCTTCTTCTTTTATTAAAGACTGTTAAATGCAACGACCTGTATAGATTGATACAGTATATTTTACAAGGTATATTTACAAGAAGTGTTAATTTTTTCCCATTTTGCATTTTATTTTTCATTTTAATATCAAAATACACGACTTGTTAAAATTTCAAAGAAATTACAGCACGCCGCTTTAGATCCACCCAAAAACTGACAAATACAGAATTCCCATTAGCATATTGATGTAAACTTCCTGCCCTCCTTTAGCGATTTCTTGAAGCAGTAGATGGAGTTTGACAAGAGATTTTTAATATTTGAAAGTGTGATGCGCCCTTCTGGTTGCACCGTCTGTAAGTTGAGACCTGGAAAGACTGACCACAGAAGGAATATGGTTGCAGGGAATTTATTTCACGGAGTTTCAGACGAAAATACATGTTGATGTGACCAACCTAGAAAAATTCAAGATGGCGCCTGATGTGTACCTTGTGTATTATTAGGTAGGGGGTATATATTTTTTTTTATTAAAAGAAAAATAAGTAACGTCAGGTGCCTGCATGTGGTTTTATCTTCTATTGTGGCCCTGCCCTTTTCCCGGGGGTTATGATTTAAAAAATCTTGAATCTATACTACCTGAGGATGCTTCTGAATTAATTAATCTGACTAATCATGGCTTTGCTATTCATGAAAGAAGATTTTAAAAGATTTTTCCTATGTAAACTTTGCTTGTTCATTGTGCCTCCACCCTATCCCCAGGGTCATAATTTAAACAAACTTGAATTTACACTACCAAAGGATTCTTCCATATAAATATGACCATCATGGCTTTGCTGTTCTGGAGAAAAAGATTTTTAAAGACTGGGTTGCAAATAACAATTTAAACCTTAGCATACTTTACCAACTTTCAAAGTTCATAAAGTGAAATATTTTTATCCCACAGTAGCAGCAAAAAGTCAGAAAACATCTTCAACACTCTTATTTCAGGAGGAAAATTAATGAATATAAAGCTGCTAATTGTGAATAATATACAATGTGCATCTTAGCAGGATATAGAGGATATATTTGATACGTAAAAAGAAAATTAAATAAATGTTGAAGGAATTTTCAAACTTTTAAGGAAATGTATCATGGATACCATTCTGGGTCTTGAAAATATTTTTTAGGAAGAAAACAGTGAAAATAAAAGTGCATTTGATGAGGCCAAATCTACTTTATTTCAGGGATCGACATTAATGGTTTTCCGATTCTCCAGGGCAAGTTAAATCTCAGTTCAGGCAAGTGAAACTGTGAACATACTTGTCCCATCAGGCAAGTGAATTTTCTGATATAAATGTAGATTACATTAGTTTATAAATAAAACAATTAATTAAAAAACTGATTTCCACCAGGTAAGTGTCTGACATTGTTTTTGCATTAGGAATCCCTCCTTAGCATTCTATATTATAGTTTAATTTAAAAGTCGGGTTCGTTATCGTTTTCTTTCATGGTAATTACACTCTATGTCTAACAACTCTGTTTCCTTCTTATTAGGAAATATTAAGATTACTTATTCACTCAAAGAATATAAGTAACACAAGGTATCCTGATCAAGACATGTATGTTTCGTAGCAAGTGTCTACCTTTAGTTATCTCAAAAATCAAAATTCAGAAAAGGATCTTCCAAAAAATAATTTTTAGAAATATGAATTTTATTAGTAAGGCCATACCAATTTCTAATATAGTTCGTCGGATTCGCCGCTTCTATTTACAACAAATCCAAATTATAATATTATAAAAAAAAAAATCCGCGCGCGCGTCCAAAAATATCCGTATACAATTTTTTTTTCTCGACTTTTTACACAAAACGCACAAAAGACTTGGAAACTTGTTTGACAGAAGCGCGGGATTTAGAATGTTTGTAACAGTTTGTGAAGTTTTGCACGATGCCTGTGTAACTGTTCGTATGTACCAGGGGTGAGCAATTAGCATCTCCCGACACCCGGGGCTACCATTTTTGCGGGTCGGGCTAGTGGTTTTCTGCAAGGAGGAATCCCGTCGGGCTAGTGAAAAATTTAACTACACACGCAATACATGACAAGCACAATCGGTATTTTCACTCATTTTTTTGCTATAAAATTCCCAACCAGTTAAAATTTTCCAGACAACATGCTCCGACTGTCAATAAATCTCCATAATCTTATTTGTTTTACAGTTCTATCTGACTATTTACTTCCAAAAACGATTGTTTTTTCCTAATCAGAATTTCCTCTATTCCTCCATTTATGGTAAATACATACAGATATCTCATTAAATTATTTACGATCACTCAATCAACTGAAAAATAAGTGTTTTGTGACTTACATAAAATATATTTCTAGTGTATTTAATGATTTAAGATGAAAACAAAATGAATTTAATTTCATTCTAAATGAGCTAGTGCAATGATCAGAAAAAGGAAAGATAATTTATTTAAATTCATTTTAATTTTCTTTCATAATAATTTATACATGATTTATATTGATAGTGAGAACTTTTAACTTAAATTTTAAAAAGAATGACCTCAGTACCCTGACTTTTTCAGCAATTAATTTCTTCTCAACATTAATTAGTATTTATTTTAATTTTTGCCCCTCTATTTGGGCTAGTAACTTTTTACTTGGGGCTAGTAACTTTGATTGACTTACTTGATTTTTTTTATTGCACACCCCTGTGTACTATAGTTAAAAACAATGGGTACAAAGTAGTTCCATACACAGCAATAGAAATGGAAGCATAGGAGACGTTTGAAGCTTTGTTTGATGAAACAATAAAGAGAATATCATCAACATATGAAAAATATACACAAGGTTAAGTAAATATTGACCATATTTGTTCAATAAAAATTAAAGAAAATTCAAGAAGCGATGCAATTGTGATTTTGAAACCTGACATGACCTTAACAATTTGCAAAGAATTAAACAGAAAATTTGTAGAAATGAAACTACGTCTAAATTGCAATGTTACGAGAAACAAAAGTAAGGCGCGTTTTCACATCTTATGAGTGCATAGAAAACGTTTTCTCTCCCAGAAAAAATAATTGGAAAAAGAGAACTTAGAAAATTTTGCCACCTGTATTAATTATATTTGCTCGCCTCATAATTTTGAAACCCGAAATGAAAAATAATATTTGTAAAATTATTTCGCTCGCTCGCCTCACTTTTTATTTTTGAAAATCCGAAGAACTATTTTACAAATTGGTGTGGCCTAAAGAAAACAAGAGGGGGTAAGGTTTTTGCTGGATGGCAGTGTGTGTTTCTAGGTTAGATTGACAAGAACAGTGGTAAACATAGAATTTCATGTACAAACATAGCATTGAATTGTTTTTCATGTAGCTCAACCTGCCAAATAGACATTTAATGTATCTGGTCATACTTTTTTCTAATCATAGACATTTCCAGCAATGATTAAATTATTTTCTTCTTTCTTAAATTTGGGCAACCAAGTTTTGCAGTTGGGCAAGTCAAAGTTTGAGATTACTTGTCCTTCGGGCAAGTGAATCTAAAACTTAATGTCTATCCCTGTATTTGCCCATACATTTTCATGCAGCGTTGTGTCAGACACGTCACAGAACCCTTGATTGCCGTCACAATTGAATACAATAACGTCACAGTTAAAATGACGTCAAATTGCGCTAAAATATTTCGCTATTCTTGCATTCCTGGTAGGTCTTGACTGTGCGTGTTAAAAGCTCACTCATTCTGACATTCCTATCCATTCTTATGTCTTAATAAATAAATGTTTGATTAAAAAACAACTTTGTAAACATAATTTATTTTGAGATATTGTGAATTTCTAATTAGATATTTATAAGTTTTATCTTATTTTATTTATAAATTTTTGAGTTTAACGAGGCCCAATTTAGTTGGAAATTATGAAAACGGACCGGCCAATATTTTCAAATTTTAGATATATATTCGTATGTACCATGCTTAAAAGAATTAGATTGAAAGTCAGTTACCTTGCCTTTATTGCAGTGGAATGGGGGCAATTTCAAAATATGGACCATTTTTGTGGTTTAACACACAATTAATTGCAAAAAAACTAAATGGTGAAATGTTTTGTTTTTCACATATATTATGCAATCGTTATTGTTTATACATATTGTGCACAGTAAATGCATAAACCACATTGACTGTACTGCATGTGGGATGAATTCTACCATTAAACCAGGTCCATAGGACAAGATTGTTTTAATGATAGAACATTCTTTCTTTGGTTGGTTGGCATATATAGCTAAATTTGGATATATTATTGGACCTCTTTTTAAAAAATATTTTAACGAGTGGTAGTGTCCTGAAGCAAATCTTATATATATATATATATATATATATATATATATATATATATATATATATATATATACTGGGAAAATTAACAAAGTTTCTCATAAAGCCAACAATTTACGACAAATTAAGGCATTATAGAAACCGAAAGCATTTAAGATTATTGACTTCACAGATATATGAATAGATTTAAAGGCGCTGGTTGTGAAAATAGTTTGATAACACACCATTCCATTCTAATTCTTGAAGGATGATAAACACCACATCCCCATCAACTTTTCCGTCAAACATATCTTGAACATGACGAAAAATCTGGTCGTTCACTTCCTGTTGTCTTTGAGAGCCGGTTAGAGGTGCTTGTGCTTTTACTTGATTTACTTCTCTGGTCAGATTTTGTCTCCTCATTTCAAACGCCACTGCTATGTTACGTCTGCATTCAAATACACCGTCATCTTTAACGACGATAACGTATGTTTACACTATCCTCCCTCAACGTGGTCTGAATCAATCTACACTGCGCAGATACCATGCGCATGGAGAAATCTCCAACTTACATATAAAACACGGCATCTGATTTGCTAACGTGTACAAAGTGAAAATTAATGAGTCACAATTCTGTTCTTACTTTCCAAGACCCATTGATAAAAAAATATCAGTTGTAAAAAAAATAACAGTGAACTGCTCTAAGGTTGAACAAGTTATGAAGTCAAACTGAAAAATTCAGTTATGTTTATACTAATCTTTCTTCTTTAAATTGACCAATCAAACGAGCTCTCTTGTTGAATGACGAAAAAATTATTTAACCTCTCATATGGAGGATATAGTTGGCGCCGTTTGGGAGAACTCTTTGTTGACATTCTTTATAGCTAGAGTTGTTTTGCAAAATAATAGGTAAAAGAATTTAAGTGATATCTCGTAGACTGTACACATTATTAAGATGCAGTCAATCATCCCATTGGAAAATATTCTCAAAGTATACCCAAGTTCATGGTAAAACTGTTGATTTAGCTTCCAAAATGGCCGAATAATTTTGATCTAAAGTATCGACTCAGGACCAAAATATGGAGAAGATTTGTCTTTTATGAAACATTTTAAAAATCTTTGTATTATATGTTTACATTTAAATACCTATTTAACAGATTTTGCATCTGTAAGTACAGAAATTTTAAAATGTAAATATTGAACAGATCACAGGCGACACTATTCTCTTTAGAGAAGTGGACAGACTTTCATCTACATCCACTTTTCTTCCCAAGCCTTCATGTTTCGATTCTGGAAAACGTTTAATTTTTGAACTGGTTCGAAAAGTCTCCAAAAAGATTTTTCCCCATAAAAGATTTGTACATTGAGGTGTTATTTGTGACGTAGTTAAAATATAAAATGTTTTGTCTCAGATCCTAGATTATGACTGTTATCTTGCCTTATTTTCATTTGGGCATTCAGTGCAAAGGCAACACTGTAAAACAATTCCCTTGTAGCAGCTGGACAGGTCTTTCTTTGTAGATTCTTTTCCTTTCAATTATAGTTGGCATATACATGCATGCAGCCACCAAAATCTGGTTGTAGAAAGTTGAGCTTTAATTACTTCTATAATTATTAGATTTCATATATGCATTTCTTGCAAAATATGCCAATGGGTCAATTTTTACATTTATGGTTTCACTGCATCCTGCTCAGTGCTGTAAGATAATGTAAGATGCAGGTTGGAGAATAGCAGCAAATAGATTTATTTTTCTGCAACCCATCCAGAGCATCTTCGACTGATAATAGCATATTATAACAGAATGAGATAAGAAAAAGACTTGTACCAGTTGGTCCAAAGGAATTACAGGTTTTCCATATGGAATCTTCCCTGCATGCAGATTGTCCTTTTAAAAAGCTTAAGAATTGGAGGAATGAAGAATCATTTTGTGTCTTACAGGTGTTCGTGTCTTTTAAAATAGATATTCCACTGATAGGTAAGCAGTAGAAGGTGACAGTTCATCTCGATTAAAAAAAAGTTTCCTCATTTTGAAACAATGGTCTTTACCAAGACTAATTTTGGATGGTGGCACTGCCATGCAGTTCACAATCCCCCACCAGACATAACACAATGCTGCTTCTCTTTCTCATTAGGCATAAGTTAATTTTGTGAAAACATTTTAAATAAAAAAAAATTCCTACAAATGTTATCAGGTATAAAGAACTTTGTATTAAACATTAAGTTTTGGCACATCAGGCCTTTAAAAATCTGTTGGTGACCAGTACTCTTACCGGGCTGAAATCATGATTGTACTTGCCATAATATTTGATGGAGAAAAATTTGATAACATTTTTAATTGAAATTGCTTCTACAAGGTACCTCCCATTTCTTTTTTGTAAAATTACCGCTTTTTATAATTTTTTTTCGAAAGCCCTATGTACATTATTTGTATGTACCTACTTTGATCACTACTGCCATAAGTATCTCAAGTGTGTTTGGTTGCATGCCTTGGATTCAACAAAGATCTTTTCCATATATTAAACACTCTCTTTGGAGAACCATGTTATGTAGATGTTTTTTGATATTATATTTTTTACACACATATATTGGGTGGAGTAATTAGTGGAACTTTTAATCTGGAATAAAAATTTTTGCAAGAGGAAAAGGTCATTATATATGTAGAAATATAATAAAGTTTGATATTGGTTAGAAATATCTTTTGAATATTTGTAAAACATGCTTTGATAAATTACTGCTGATTGTGTTTCTATTTACAGATTTCTTCAGTAAAATGCGACAATGACCAGTGTTGCAGGAAAAAAGGTGGTGTATCCATCTGGGTGCAAGGAAGTGAATGAAGAGCTTGGGAAAGATGAATTGGTTAGAAGACTCAAGGTACACTATGTCTTGATTACAGTTAGAGTTGAGAGCAGATGGCTATATGGCAATAGATTAGGGCTGTCACGGTTCCAAAATTTTTCGGGTCAGGTCGGTTCTGTAAATTTTCAGTTCGGTTTCGGGTTTTTCGGTTCGGTTATTTACATCTATTTTAAACCTTAATTTCATGAATTTAACTTGAAAATTTTTTTATTTGTTACATTAAATTTACATTGAAAACAAGTCTTAACCATGCGAACGTCTAGACTTCAGTGTGTAGAACTACTTGGCCTACTATTAGCCACAACCTGACCATTCCTGCTTGTTTTGATAATTATCTTATACTTCATTGACAAATGTTTTGTCATGGAATGAAGTAGATTTCAGTTGTGATGTTTATTTATCACTGTTACCGTCATCATTCCTTACCGAAACCGAACCAAACAACTTGGACCGCAGTTCTCGGTTATTTCGGGTAACCGTGACAGCCCTACAATAGCATCTTTGCTAGCCAAGGGTTTCTGATACGCTACTCTCCATATAAACCCTTGGCATACGGTGCTGACAAAAGACGGGATTGTTTTCGTTACGTGATCACGATTCTTACCAGGTACGCACAGATTGCTTCATCGACAGAAATAAAAAGCGTATTTAAAAAATAATGTTTTTAAAGAATAATTAACAAGAAGGTAATGATTTATGTAAATTTGTTATTTAAACATGTTAAAATGCAAATCTACACCTTCAGTATAGATTCTTAATCACATATTTTGCATGTAGATTAAGATATTGGATGACACCATATAACTATTCATAGAATGACATGTTATCTTACAGATCGTTGTTTACTTGCATTTTTCATTCCCGATATTAAAGAGTCAAGATATATCCCGAACCCAAATATTGTCATTTACAAAAAACAATTGCTGATTGGTCAAACGATGTCGTTCAACTCCAATCACAACTTGAGAAAAAAATCCCAACTTTTTTTAACACCGTATGCCAAGGGCTTATGAGGAGAGTAGCGTATCAGAAACCCTTGGCTAGCGAAGATGTACAATAGATGAGGAGAAATGACTGACTATAAAAAAATTATGGATTTTTTTCCCTGTAGCTCCTTGCCAGGGCTTTCCAAGATATGGGTCAGGATGACAATGAGCAGTACAGTGGCTTAGCTTTGTATCTAGCCTCGGATTATTTTATGGATCATCAGAGTAAAGATGTGCGTTTGCTTGTGGCATGTTGTATTGCAGATGTGTTCCGAATATTTGCTCCTGATGCACCATACACTGATGCTGCACAACTCAAGGTACAGATCCTACATGTAGTACATATTTATCTACAGTTGCCAATGTCTTATAAAGAATACCAAAGAAATCCAATTATAATTTTGTAACAATATTGCATCTTACAAAAGGTGTGACCTATTCCTTTGGTTGTAACAGAAGGCATAGCTTTTTGATCACTCCAAGTTATTATTTTTTTTTGTTAGGGAAACACTAGGAAGCATTTGATTGGTTGCTATGGCTTCATAATGGTCATATAATTCTCATATTGTGATGTCACATAGAGCTATAAATTGTTGGGTTGTAAGTGATTCACACAGCAGGGTTCTCATTAAGGATACACCAAAGGCTTTTTTCAAGGTTTTCAACAATTTTGAGATTTTTGTCTAAGAAAAAGAAGTTAATCACTGCTTTATAATGCATGTAAAATTTTTGGTAATTATGAAATGGTTTTCTAATTATTTAACAATAATGAAACATAAACACTACCACATGTGAATGTTCCGTTATTGAAGCTTCTGATTTGATCTGTGACTGCCTGCTCATGAAAGACGCAATAAATCACTGTGACCACTTGGGGAATTCTTCAGTAGCCACACAGAGGTTATCAGTAATTAAACTACAGGGACTCTAGATTTAGAGAAGAAGATCTAACAGATCACTGATGACCATAGAATAGGAGGTGGAGCTTAGCTCTTGCCATTTTGCCGGGAAATCTTTCTGATTCAGAATTGAACCTATTTTACTTAATTAAAAGCATCTAAATACAGAAAAGAACCTCCCATTTTTGTGAATATGCATGGAAAATATGGCTAAGTGACAGGTATCCAAAGCTGAATCTCCAAGGTGTCATATATTCCTAGCTTTGGCAGATTTTGTTGTGTAATGTGTTTTTGCCCTCTACTGTAAAGTAAGATCAGACAGTTTGTGGTATTATTTCAAAGGATTCAGCTCCCTTATTTATTGACCAATTTCTCTGAAAATTAGAGGGGATACTTCCCAAATGTGTGTTCACAAAACCGTATCTCAGATTTTTGATATCTAGCTTTGTTTTGGAATTGAGGGAAATGTTAAATTAGGCTAATAAATTGTTAACATTGAAGGACAAATGGCTGTAACTTTTGAATTAGAAGATTTATCAAAAATCTGAGGTACAGTTTTTAAGTTCAATCTTTAATCTACCTTGAGGCAAAATTACCACTTTGAGGGGTTAAATACAAAAAAGTTGATTTATAAAATATTTATGTACTAAAATTTACATTAATATTTAAATAATTTTTAAATAAGTTATTAATTAAAGTTTAAATTAGGATAATTAAATAGTAAATTTAACAAACTTTCAAATGATATATATATTTATTATGTTATCTTTGATAATGAAAGAATTACATGCAAATTAAATTCCGGCATTTGGAAACCTTTGGTGTATCCTTAAACGCAAGAATTTATGTAATAGATACAGCTAGATTATATGGGACTCATCTTTGTCAAAAACTGTGTTCAAGGACTTGCTGATGGACTCATTCCTGTTAGCAAGAATATTCGTGAGTTTTGAAAATTGAAGATTTCAGGAATAGTCCTAAACATATTGTATCAAAAGTATCTAATAGACACATTGTGAAAATATGATAAAAGTTCTAAAAATATGAAGGTCATAAATGCTTTTTGTAGTACCTATTTCATGATTATTAGTCCATTGTATCACATGGTGAACTAATTTTAAACTCTGATAGCTAATAAATATACACATGATAGTAGCAGTTTTACACACATAGGAATCCTGTATTTTTAGCTCTTCTGAGCCAAAGGCTCATAGAGCTAATGCTATGGCCATTTGTGTGATGTGTGTAAACTTTGTAGAATATAGGCCATAACTCAAGAACCCCTTGGCCAATTATTGTCAAATTTGTCACAGGGTATCCTTGGCCCAAGGGCTCCTGTTTATACTAAAACTATGGTTGTGACCCTTAAACAAGGAGAGATAATTAGGAAAATAGAAACAAAAGTACTGGTTGCTAAAAAATCTTCTCAAGAACCACTGGGCAGATTATCACCAAACTTTCACAAAAGGATGAGGATATGTTGTAGATTAAAATTTGAATGGGGATTTACCCTGGGGCAGAGGGCGTGGTCTCAAGGTCACTTCAAAGTTGACCAAAAATTACATTTGATTAAAATGTTGATATTTTGTTTACTATAAGGACAATGATCATAAAACTTTGTCAGTTGATGCATCTAAGGACCTCATATCATGTTGACTCAAAAATAGGTCATGGCGACCTACTTTTTTAATTTTGTGGCCATTCTTTTTCAAAATGATTTAGAGGCATCTTTTGAAGGCTTATGATCATAAAACTTTGTCAGTTTATGTATCTTGGGTCCTTGGAGTACTTCGACTAAAAAGTAGGTCACCTTGACCTACTTTTTTAATTTTTTGGCTAATCTTTTTCAAAACAATTAAGGTCATTAATTCGAATACTGAGAGGTTTAGAATCATTAAATCTTGTAAGATGATGCATCTTTGGGCCATAAAACATAGTTATTAAAAAGTAGGTCACAGTGACCTTCTTTTTGAACTTTGCAGGCATTCGATTTCAAAGCGTTTTAGAGGCATAATTTGGACATTTTAAGGCTTATGATCATAAAACTGTGTAAGTTGATGCATCTTGGGTCCTCAAAAAACATCAACTGAAAAGTAGGTCACCATGACCTACTATTCAATTTATATGACTTTAATTAAATATTTCAGGTACTAACTGGCTTAGAATCATTAAACTTTGTCAGTTGATGCATCTTGGGTCCTTGGAGTACAACAACTGAAAAGTAAGTCACCGTGACCTACTTTTGAAAATTTATGGCTTTAATTAAATATTTCAGGTACTAATTGGCTTAGAATCATCAAACTTTGTCAGTTGATGCATCTTGGGTCCTTGGATTAGGACAACTGAAAAGTAGGTCACCATGACCTACTTTTGAAATTTTATTGCTGTATTTAATATTTTTGGGTACTATTTGGCTTAGAATCATAAAACTTTTTCAGTTGATGCATCTTGGGTCCTCGGAGTAGGTTGACTGAAAAGTAGGTCACTGTGACCTTCTTTTCAATTTATATGACTATAATAAATATTTGAGGAACTAATTGGGTTAGAATCATCAACACTTTGTCAGTTGATGCATCTTGAGTCCGCAGAGTTAGTTGGCTGAAAAGGAGGTCACTGTGAGCTATTTTTGAAATTTTATGGCTTTATTTAAATATATCAGGTACTTACTGGCTTAGAATCATCAAACTTTGTCAGTTGATGCATCTTGGGTCCTCAAAGTATGCCATCTGAAAAGTAGGTCACTGTGACCTACTTTTGAAATTTTATGGTTATAATTTTAAAAATATTTTTAGGTATTAATTGGCTTAGAATCATCAAACTTAGTTGATACATCTTGGGTCCTCCGAGAATGACAAGTGATAAGTAGGTAACCATGACCAACTCTCAGGTACTAATTGGCTTAGAATCATCTTGGGTTCTCAGAGTGTTTCATCTAAAATGTAGGTCTTGATGACCTACCTTTGGAATTTCAAGGGTTTATCTAAATATACAGGATATTTAGAGGCTTCAAATAGAAGTGATAGGTTGTACAGTTCATCAGAAGAGCGATTCAAGGCCCTTGGGCCTCTTGTATTTAAAAACCATATGATTACTGGTTGTATACACACTGTGGCATGATCATCTCTATCAAATAAGGAATACATATGTATTCACACATACTGGTTTGATTGTGATTTTGAAACAAAGTTTTCAGCTTAAGTTTGGGATAGGAACAAGGTTTGTCTACAGATTCAGTTACCAGTAAAAGTAATTTGATTCAGGTTAGCATTGTTGACCATGGGTTTCATGTTTATCAAATGTATACAGTCTATCCCAAAAGCACTGGTCTGTCGGAAAAATCAAATGAAAATCGATTTGGTCCGATGATGAAGTTACAATATTTGGTCCGAATGTCCGACGGCCTCTTAATTGAAATTTCTTGGAAAACACCTAATAAAAATAAATGTCCTTGTTGATAAAAAGTTTCGGTCCACAAAAAATTCAGTTGGTCCTGTGAAATGCATCAGACTGTCGGTCCAAATGTCCAGTGTTAAAATATTTTTTTCGCAAACGCTGTGTATAAATTGTTTTTCAGCTCGCAAACTATTTTTTAAGTTTTATAATACTTATTTTCTGTTGAAAGGAAATCTTCATGTTCCTCATCAAGCAACTCAGAGGATTGGAAGACCCTGATGCACCTTCATTCAAAAGATATTTCTATTTGTTAGAGGTAAATTAAAAACAGTATCTAATTCATTTACATTTGTTTCATTCCAACTGTCAAATTTTAGTTAATGTTATGGTGTGTGACAATGCATTTCAAAGAGTGAAAATAGTTGTGCATTAGTGTTTTTCATGTCTGTCATAGTCCTTCTGTCTGTCTGTCACAATGGATTAGCTTGCTAAAAGAGACTGTTAAAATATTTTTAACAGACTTCAAAATATTGATACATTTTGGTGAGAGCAATTCAATTGTGTCATTTTTCTGACCTTCACCTACCCTCTGACTTTGACCTCACTATTCCTCATTATGCACTTACCTTAGTTGAAAGGAACTTTCAACGAACTTCATCTAGTGCTATGAATTGATGAAGACAATTCAAGCATGTCATAAACATGACCAAGACTTTCCCTATGACCTTTAACTTTTCATAATATTCTTTATCAAAGTTTCATTCAACAGTCAGGGGTGAGACTGAAATCCGTCATTTCTGAAAAATGATGGATAATTGTCATATTTACTAACTACGTATTTTCGTCATTTTTGTCAATATGACTTACTATCGTCATATTTTCTTTTTCAACTTAATTCTTCTATCCTGGTTACATAAAAGTGAAATTTGAATTCACTGCTGAAAGAAGAGTGTTTACGCAAGTTTCATTTCATCCGGGTCATTAATTACTGCCGACCAAGTGCGTTAGAACATCAACATGGAAGGTGAAAGTTGTTATTTAGCGGTAAATGTCGAATTTTGGTAAAACTAATTCGCCATTTTTACATGGCTTTTAGCCCTATAAAAACATATAGTACACTGTCTGGAAGAATACATACTTGTTAGGGGTGGGACGATATACCGATACACCGATACATATCGATATTTTCTGCTAAGATACGGTTTACGATACATGCCTTAAAATATCGGTACGAAACGATACACGAACAACCTATCCAAAAATTGAAAATGAAAGTACTCGTCCTTGAAAAATGGCGGCTTGTACGAAGCGAAGAGATGATGCGGCTTGTACGAAGCGAAGAGATGATATTGATATTGACAACACGCTTTAGAACTACAAGTCGGAGATAAGGGATAAAACATTTTCACTTTTAAGTATCCTCGGAAGATGGGACAAGAAAAGTTCCGTATGTAAAGCCGGTAAAACGTGTGATATACAGAAAGTATCGTTTCCACAACAGTTGATAATATCAATTGTTAGTCCATCTGGCTCGAACAGCTCATAACAAAGCATGGATTTTCTAATTTCAAGAATTTGAAATTTTGAAACAAATTGTGGATTAATATTTTTTTTTTGTAAACTCAGCTTGGTTGCAGACTTTCAGCAATTAATAATAATGTACATGTGATGTTTTTCTTTTTAATGAATTTTTAGTCAGTGTTCTTGATGAACTACCCAACTATTTATAAACAAGTTGTTTATGGACATTTGGCAATACGTACAAATAATTTTGTTTTTGTAAATATTTAGTCAATGAAATTGATGAACTTCAAGTATTAATTTCAAATATCAGATATGATTTGATATAGAATGATTTGTTGATTTATTGTCAAGACAAAAAATTAAAACAAATACTAAGTTTTTTAAATAGTTTTATAATTTATCATAATATCGAGATACGTATCGTATCGTGCTATATGTATCGAGATACGTATCGTATCGCAAGATCTGTGTATCGTCCCACCCCTAATACTTGTAGAGAAAAGTCTCGACAAAAAATTAAAGCCTTAAAAAAGTAGTGCGCCTCAAAACAAGCGAGATATTTCAGTGCGCCCAGACCCTCCATTTTGAAAAAAGATGGAATATCGTCATTTTCGTCTTCTTTCCTATTTAATGCAATAAATTGACAAATAACTCTTCCAATCTTATTTTTGCTTGGGAAATTTGTACTGTTTTTATTTTATGACTAAAAATCGTCAATTTATAAATGACGGATTTCAATCTCACCCCTGACTGTTCAAAGATATATATTGTTGAGAGCAATTCTACTGTTTCTTAATTTTTTTTTACCTTGACTTTCCCTGACCTTGAACTTCACTTTCAAGATCGTATCGAAAATTACAGTATTATTCAGCAACTTTTTTCTAACCATTGGGAATGGGTCAGGTACCAGTTCAATTGGGAAAACAGGAATTTATCAGTCTATTTTGGGAAACATCATTTTGGGGGAATTGGAAAAAAATTATAGGCTATTTGATGAAATTGGGAAAAATAAGATTTGCTTTCATTATGTATTCAGGTGTAATTCATTTAACTTTTCAGCATGAACTCTCAGGCCCGTAGAACGTGCAGGGGTCCAGGAGGGCCTGGCCCCTCCACTTTTTTCTGAGTATAGTATTTTGCTATAGTAAATTTTCCTTAGATACTGGTTGCCCCCCCCCCCCCTTTTTTTGATGTTGTAAGGCAAATACCAGGATTTGGACAGTAAATTAGCAATTAGCTTTTTTTTTCAATTGGGAATGGGGCTGAATTTTGGCCCCAAGAAGATACTGATAAATCCCCAAAAAAATAACATCAAAATAGAACAAAATGGAATTTTCTGTCTTGTTGTCAACAAGTGAAATTTATTTTGCTTTTATTCTAACCTCGTTACCTTTTTATCCATATTTTACAGAAAACACCACAAGTATTCATTGTTTTTTATATTAATGTCCCTTGTTTCTAATGTTTTCATGCTTTCAAGTTGTCAAAAATGTAAGACACTGACTGTCTACATGTGTACATGTACCACCATATTACAGCTGATCTCTACTTTCGATTTCAGAGGAAGTGAATAATTTCGCCAACTCATACAACGTTTCATATGAAAAGAATTACAATGTCAGCAATGTCTGTTTCTCTGCAGTTTATCTGGGAATTTTAAGTCTCAAAGTTGAAAAAAATTAACGTTTTTGGAATTGGGAATAGTGCCGTTTATGGGTACCAGTTATATGAGGGATTGATTGTATATTGTTTTACGTCCCATTTGAGAATTTTTCACTCATATAGAGACGTCACCATATATTGGTGAAAGGCTTCAAATTTAGACCTTTACTAGGCACTCAGGACCATTGAGCAGTGAGAGTTCTTTATCGTGCCAATGCCGACCGTCACACGAGGCCTTGGTTTTTAAGGTCTCATCAGAAGGACCTGCTACTTTCACTTCAAAGTGCCAAGCACTTGGTGAAGGAACAGTTGCTACCTGTCTTTTATCGACTTGGGTCAGTCACGGCCGTGATTCGAACACGACCTTCCGATCACAGAGTGAGCACTCTACTGACTGAGCTACTGTAGTGACAAGTATATAGGTATGGTGAGCAAGGGCACCTCTTCCAAATTTGTAAATATTTTGGCCCCTCGGTCAGGGATTCTGGTGTTAAGATAGGGCTCTTTTGATCATCTAGTGAAATTGCATAAATTCTTTTAAAATCTTCTTCTCTTCCCCTGTATGTAAAGCAGATAAAGTAGGCTCATGGTTATGATGATCAAGGGTGCCTTTTCCAAAATTGAGAAATTAATGGCCCCAGGTTGAGAGGTTCTGTAGGAAGAGGGGGCTCTATTGATTATTTAATGGAAGTGCATTATTTCTTTGAAAATCTTTTTCTCTACTAGTTAAGATGAGTAAGAGTGTTTCTTGGAAAATTGTGAATATCTTGGCCCCTGGGTCATGGTCTCTGGTGTTAAGGTGGGGTTCTATTGACTATATAGTGAAATTGCATTAATTCTTTGAAAATGTTCTTTTTGCCCCTGGGTATTTAGCAGATAAACTAAATGCATGGTTATGATCAAGGATGCCTCTTCCAAAATTGTGAAATTTGTGGCCCCAGGGTCAGGGGTTCATTTGGAGATGAGGGGTAGGTCAATTGAATATATAGTGGAAATGCATACCGTATAATCCCTATTAACGGCCCCGGGTGCTTAGAAAATTGCGAAAAGGGGGCGGTTGTTTTGGTATTCTAGTTATAATTTTTTTATGTCATGTTTTACCTGCAAAAAATCTTTTGAAAAAAAATTTAAATTTAGAGAACCACTAAAAGATTGTCTAACTTTCCTTTAAGTTAAGATAATCCATCGAAATTATGCTATATGATTCATTTTTCCACTGAGAAATTGGAGAATAAACAAGGAGAACAAATTTTTAGGTAACTTTCAATTTCAGGAATACTTTACGTACGAGTTACCCAATAACCAAGTTTCATTTTCACTTTCTTCAAATTATGGTGGACTTTTGATACGATTCTAGATGATTTTAATCACTGTACAGGGGGCCCTTATTTCCCAACAATTGAAAAAGACCTAGGGGGAGCTTATAGGAGCAGGAGCGGTTAATAGGGAATATACAGTATTTTTTTTTTCTTTGGAAAATCTTCTTCTCTACCCCTGGGTATTTAACAGAAAAACTAATTGCATGGTTATGATGAGCAAGGATGTCTTTCAAAAATATGAAATTCATAACCCTGGGGTCAGGGATTTTGGTGTTAGGGTGAGGCTCTTTTTGAATATATAGTAGAAATGCATTATTTCTTTGAAAATATTCTTCTCTGCCCTTTGTTATTAAGGAAACATACTAAGTTTCCATGATGAATCATATTAATGTGGAAGCATCCTCTGGTAATCTAGAGAATACATTGTATGTTGGAAAAAAAATCTGATGCAAAACAGCAGGGCCAAAGTGACTCAGGTGAGCATTGTGGCCCATGGGTCTCTTGTTTTAATTCTTTTTTTTTTAATTTTTTTTTTTTAGAATTTGGCCTGGGTGAAGTCTTTTAATATATGTATTGAATTAGAGGACAGCCAAGAAATATTTTGCAGTCTTTTTCAGTTAATGTTTTCAATAATCAGGTATGTGCCAATGATTTTCCTTGCTACTTTTGGTTTTATCTGTAAAATGGCGTAATAATATATATTTGCATTCTTTCTAACATCTGTTTTCTAAAATTCTTGCTAATTTTGTATTTTAATGACAGTGAGAAACACTCCACAAAGGTTAGGAATTTTATTCTGGATATGATGGCACCACTGATCACTGAAGCTGATGCAGTGTCACAGGAACTGTTGGATATCATCCTCATTAACATCATAGAACCCTACAAGGTAGGATTCAGTGGCTTTTTGGAATATCTAAAAAATTATGAGGTTTTAGCTCTACTGATCAGAAGAGTTTCATGCATTAGATGTTTGTGTCTGTAAACAATTTTTCATAATGCTTACTTTTTCTTCAGTGTTGGTCCAATATTAAGAAGACTTGGTATACAAGTGAATTATGCAGAGATACATAATTTTGTTAATTAGCTTTTGATTTTGACAATCAGTATTGCAATGGTTATGAGAAATGATAAGTTCCTCTGAAATTCTTTCAAAGTGCTGCTATTCCTTAAGTTTTTGTCCATTTTCAATATCACTTGTTGTACACAAGAAGACTTTACCAAGATCCATAATTTTATAAAAGTTTTTATGCCCTGCCATGAATATGGCTGAGCATATAGTGTTTGTCATATCTGTCTTCCATCCCTCCGTCCTTTTATCCTTCTGTCGGTCATTCTGTCACACTTTTTATTTAGCTCAGTTTCAAAGAAACTATTCTAGGTAAGTTCATCAAACTTTATATGCTGATGCATATTGATGAAATCTATTCAAGTGGATCAACATTTTTGACCTAGATCTTTCCTTTTACCTTGACCTCACTTTTTAGCTCACCTTAACGAAGTTGGGGGAGCTTATGAAATACCCTAGGCGTCTGTGTCAGCATCGGCGTCCCAAGTTAAAGTTTTTGGAGCAGTTTTCTTTTCAAGTACTTCTATGCCCTATATTAATTAGAGATGCATGGAGGATGCTTCTACTGTGTTTCATTGTACCAGTCAAGGTTTCTGATGCTGCAATTTCAGCTAAAGAATGACCAGGTTACTGTTTTTGAAGCAGGTTAAAGTTTTTGGAGCAGATCTCATTTCCAAGTACTGTAAATTCCTTATTTTACGCGAGTACTTAATATCGCAAAATGGCCCAAGGGCGTCAAATCGCGGGAACAATAATTCGCGAATCAGTGATTTATCTAGAGATTTTACATACATTAAAGCACCATAAAAATAAAAGCGAGTAATTTTGTTTAGCGAGTGGTGCTCCTCACCTAATTACGCAATAATTTATTCCTCGCATATATTTAAGAATCTACAGTAACTATAGGCCCTATATTGACCAAACTTCATGGATGATACATCTAAGGATGCACACTACTGGACTTGCTTCAGATGCTGGATCTGACATATTTTCCGGATGTGTGACCAGGTTAAAGTTTTTGGAGCAGATCTCGTTTCCAAGTAATTATAAGCCCTATATTGACAAAACTTGCATGGATGATAATCTAAGGATGCACACTACTGGACTTGCTTCGGATGCTGGATCTGACATACATTTTCCGGATGAGTTACCAGGTTTAAGTTTTTTGAGCAGATCTCATTTCCAAAAAACTTTAATTCCTATATTTACCAAACTTGCATGGTTGATACATCTAGTGATGTACACTACTAGGCTTGCTTTGGATGCTAGATCTGTCCTACATTTTCCAGAAAAGTGACCAGGTTAAAGTGTTTGGAGCAGGACTCATTTCCAAGTAACTATAAGCCCTATATTGACCAGACTTGCGTGGATGATGCATCTAAGGATGCACACTACTGCACATGCTTAAGATGCTGGATCTGACCTACATTTTAGGGATGAGTGACTAGGTTAAAGTTTTTGGAGCATTCTAAAGTTCATTGTAAAGTAACTGTTTACCTTACCTGGACCAAACTTGCATGGATGATACATCCAAGGATGCACAATACTGGACTTGCTTCCGATGCCAGATTTTACCTACATTTTCCAGTTGAGTTACCAGGTCAAAGTTTTTGGAGCAGTTTCTTTCGAAAGTGACTACAAGCTGTATGCTAACTATCTTTTCACTCATGATACATTTATTGATGCATACTACCAGAGTTGCTTCAGATGCTGGATCTGACCTACATTTTTCAGAAAAGTGACCAGGTTAAAGTTTTTGAGCAGGTCCATTCCAAGACAAAGTTTTTCAACATCTGAAATATGAAAAAGGACATGCAGCAAGAGGACAGTGGGTCAAATGTAAAATGCACACGAAAAATCTGTATATTTTATTAATAAATAGTTGAAATACACTTCTGAATTATTTAATACTAAACCAGTAGGTCTATAATGCAAATTTTATTGAGAACATTATTAAACTTATGATAATAAAAGTTAAGAAATCCAAACATTACACTAGGTGGTTTATATTTGATATTTATGTGTGACTGACTGGAAATAATTCTCCAAAATAACATCCATTTATGTATAAAATAATCGAAAGTAATCGAAAAAGTAATTATAATTACATTGAAAATTTTAGCTGTAATTGATTAAATTACGATTACAAGTAATCGAAAATCTCTTCGATTACAGATTACTTGAAAAAAAAGTAATCATTACAATCGATTACGATTACCCCATCCCTGTCCATTCCCAAGCAAATATAAGACCTACATGGACCAATCTTGCATGGATGATTTTTCTAGGGATGAACACTACCAGACTTGTTTCATGTGCTAGATCTGACCTACATTTTCCTGATGAATGACCAGAATAATTTGTCTAGAGCAGGTCCTATCCAAGTAACTCCAAGACCTACCTGAACTAATCTTGCATGGATGATGCATCTAGGGATGCACACTACTAGATTATTGGTTTAGTTTGGGACTTTGTCTTACTTAAAAACAACATTTGTTGAGGTGAGCTCTGTAAATATGATTACCTATGTTTATAAACATACTATCAAAAAAAAAAAAAAAGAAATCATCATTTGGGAAAAAAATGAAGTCTTTGTTAAATGTAGTGGTGAATATTTCAGACACAGAAAAGGGTAGCTTATCAGCTGGCCAAAGATTTGTTAATACGGACTAGCAATGCTATAGAACCTTTCATCCAAACAGTGAGTATTTTGTTTTTTGTTAAAATACATGAGGTATGCTATAGAACTTTTCATTCAAACAATAAGTACTGTATAAATGGAAATTTTAGTAAGCTGCAAATGTAGTGACTTGTCCTTAAAAATTGGTATATATTTTTTGTAAGAAGTAATTTTAGTGATTTTTTAATGCCAACAAAGAAGCTATTACAACTGATATATGCAATCAGTTGTTAGCAATATTCAATTTTAGCAACACAACACCCTTGCTAAAAATGCCAAAATTGAATCCTTGCTAAAAATTCAGCTAGTATGGTATTTTATTTTTGGTATTGTTGGCAATGCAGTGTTTGTTATAATTGAAAACAGTTGGAAATACATCTAAAATCAGTACTAATGCAAGTTATTTACGATGAAATTTTAGACATTTTATTCTGACAATGGTGCATATAATTCATGTGATTTGCTTGTAGTTCTTCAACAATGCCTTGATGTTGGGAAAATCTTCTGAGAGTGAAGTCTCCGACAGGCTTTATGATCTCATCTATGAATTGAACCAAATCTCTCCTAATGTTTTACTCTCAGTTTTACCACAACTGGAATTCAAATTAAAGGTATTGTAAAATAATGAGAGCACATTGAAGCAGTTGATATCCAACACCAGCTGTAAATAATAAATGAAGACAATATTTTTTCTCTAGTTTGTTAGTCCAAATTCTACATTTCTACTACCCTCTCCTGTCACTGGTTTAGCTTCTAGTATCAGTCACTAGACACAAGAGTGGACTCACTCCTGTTTACTAGGACCAAGTCCAGAAATTTTGAAAAAAACTGTCAACTGCTGCAATATGGTTGTATATTGGAGTAGTAAAAATACAGAATGATATTTGTAGTGTATGTGAATATAAGCCTATAGAAGTATCCCGCAGGGTAAGGCCATGTGACAATTGTTTATCTAGATTGATTTCTGTCAGTTTATACTCTTGGTGTCTTAGTACCCATTTATATATGGGTTTTGACTTCAATCAATGATTTAGTATAATATTTTTAACAGATTTCTGTTGTAGGAGGTAACTTCTATTTTTAAAAAACACTTTCAGAGCAATGTGGAGTCAGAAAGGAAGAAAGTAACAAAACTGCTTGCGAAAATGTTTTCCGACCCAGGATCAACTCTTGCTGACCAGAACAAAGCTCTCTGGAACTGTTTTCTCGGAAGGTACATTTAGGACCTTATTTCCTACAAGCGATTTTAAAATGTGGAAAGCTGTTGTTTTGTTCTGTTAAGTACCCTTATAGGTGAACATACTTACAGTGATTTTTCTACACCCAATTTAGATGCGAATGTCGGCCCTTTCCCCTCTCAAAATTTACCGATTTTTTCCCAATTTCTGTTGTTTTTTTCCCAAAACAAAACCATTGTTGTCTTTGTTATATTGAATTTTTTATGTATGACTTATCTACAATGAAACGCTTTTGTTCTCAGTCATTCAAACTCTTAAAATAATAGTAAGGAACAGCAGATTACCTCGTGCATTTACAAGACCTAGAAAAACACATGGGTCATGTCAAACTTGTGTGTAAATACATCATAAGAAAGTGTAAGATGCTTGTGAACCGGCGAAACATAGCTTTACTTGTAAATCCAAGTACTAGTAGTTCTACAACAAGCATCCCTGATTTCATGAAAATCAAACTGTTTCTACACCCGGCAGATTTAAAAAAAAAACTAGTATTGCAGAGAAATTGCAGCAATATGAATAGCTAGGGTAACTAGAAAGCTTTAATAATTAGTTTGAAAAATAAATGATTTGTCATAAATCATGTCAGATTATTCTATCTTCAATGGCTATTACGAGAAGGATTTTCTCTTATGTCTACCATTATGGCAATTAAAACAAAAAAAGGAAATATAGGTTGGTCACAATTAATGACAACTTTCACAGATTAAAACAAAGGGTTAAAAAAAGGTTAAAAATTTAGAACTGTGTCTAATTTGATATTTTGTAGCAAATAAATTGAATAAAGGATGTAAAGTTAAATTACAATCTTACTGATTTTTCCCAATTTGACACAAATGTCAATGATTTTTCCCAATTGTAAAGGACCAGGCCCCTTTTAAAAAATGTAGAAAAATCACTGACTTAAACAACGGAATATATGCATACTTTTCATTTTTTTGAAAACGAGTGTGTCTATGTCTAATGACCACATTTATACAAAATGGCTACCAAAAACTAAAAGAGTATGCAAAACTAGAAAATGAGTAGAATTTTTCTCCCTGAATTGGTCTCTGCATTTTTATTGAAAATAGATAAAAATTGCAATGTGTATACCTCCAAACAGATGTATGGGGCCAGAGAAGCGTAATTTCAAATTTGTATAGCCTAAAGTAGGGTTAAGTATGTTGAATGTCGCATTGATATCTGTGTCGTTTGTTTCATTGATAATGAGCCACTACTCAAGAACTTGCTAACCAGCATTAAAATATTGATAAATTATAATGGTTTTCTGGATGGAAATAAAGGAGATACATTTCAGTGGATATAAAGATATTATTTTCTGTTCACAGATTTAATGATATTAGCATTTTGGTGCGTCAATGCTGTGTTTCACACTCCCAATTTCTTCTTCAATACCACCCTGAGCTTTTCAAAGACATTGTGGAACAGTTAAAAGTTCGCCAGCATGATCCTGAAGAAACAGTCAGGATGGAAGTTGTTAATGTCATTTTGACTGTTGCTAAGAATGACTTCTCAGTATGCACAGAGGAATTGCTCAGTTTTATCAAAGAAAGGACTTTGGACAAGAAGGTTAGTTTTGATTAATGTTTTATAGTCAATAAGGTCAATATATTTTGCGTTTTTTTAAATGGGTGGATGCTGTGTATATTTTGACCAGTCGTTTTCACAGCAGTATCTTTAGATCCCTTTGTTTATTAAGAAGAGATCTCATGGGATAGTTGGTTATGAGCAGCAAATGACTCCTGATGATTTCAGGTCAAAATTTACCTATTATACCCAATCACAGATGATTTATGACCATAGTCATCAAATTTTAAGTATAGATTGGCTGTTTTAAATTGATGCCCCTCTCCCCTTTCCATTGTTTTCTGCCAGACAATAAAAAACAATTGTGCTTTACACACAGGGTGGCCACAATGTTGTGGGTCTTGATTTTCCAAAGCCAGCAGGTTTTTTACTTTACTGTATCTACAAAAGATTTCTGATCAGTATTTTAGAAACTACTGGCGCAAATAAATTTTAGTGCTTGTGCTTGTCATCAAAATATATAAATGTTATATTCTTTAACTTTTTCAACACTGAGAAACTTTTATCAAACAAGCCCTGGTACACTGAGTAACTTGGGCCATCACTGAACATTTCACCTTCCATTACAAAAAATACAATAACTTCTTTATTTCTTTGAACATTTTAATAAATGACACATTATTAGAAAGGTGAGACATTTCTCTTTTAAATGATATCAAATTTATATATATTCAAAATTATTTAGCATGTCAAAAGCACTAATAAAAATCATAATTATTTTATAACTCATCTTATGTAATATTTTAATAAATTTACTGCTATTAAGTTTCAAAATCGCTTATGTTCTTTACAAGTTTAAAAGAGAAATTATTTCCAAGTAAAATGATATGCAATATGTCAGAATTTATTGAAAAATAAGTCCATAATAATAAATAAGTAAAACGTGGTGTTTCGAGACTTCAGGAGAAAGCATGCTCTGTTTTGGAGCCTTCAAAGTCCGATTCTGAGTTGTTTCTCCGACTAAATTTCTCAATATTGTGAAAAACTCGTATTTTTGTTGTCTAGAGACATCTTTAATGTCTAATTTCCCGATTTATTAAAGTTTTCATCGTCAGAAAGATCGGACATTTTGTTGTTAACCGCCATTTTGCTTTCTTCGTCGTTTTCTTTGAGATTCATCTAATTTTCCTTATTTTTCCGCGATTTTCACTATGTGGTCGGCCATATTTATTAACAAGTGTTTATATCCATCTACCCGTAATTCATAGCGTAAGTTCTTGAACAGAGAATACCTTCTATTTCTAAGAATAAACGTTTACTTTCAGTTTTGTGTCTGAAACCGATGAATCGGTCTACCGTGTTCCAAGACGAAATTTTATCAGACTGATGTATCGGTCTACAGTGTTGAAAGGGTTAATTGATCCATGCCCGTATTTGATTTTGCAGTCACTCGAGCACGCAAACACAATAGCATTGATTTCTTACTCACATACACAGGTAAACAATCATTCACTTTTCCGTGGTGTTGCAAGCACATGGACATGGCACAATGTCGATTTTAAATTTTTTTAATAAAAAAAAAAAAACATGAGGAATTTCTTCTTTAAACCATGCATGCATAGAAGGAACTGATAAACATAATTAGGTATTGTCTGCAAGGTCTATCTCCATGCTTGATCACCTTGTTCACCTCGAGGCAATAGATGATTGACACAATGAGAAGCCCAACTTTGAAGGTGGTAATGAAAAGTACCGGGTAACAACTAACAATAGTTTTATTAACTGATTAATTTATGATTTGGTGTTCACCAGTGCAAGTGTGTTTACAAAAAAAATTACAGCTACCCTACAACATTACGTAATCGCGCGGTCCAGTTTACATGTACTTAAATGATTGATTTGAACACAAAAAAGTCTAATATTTAGAAATCCATTAGCACCAGGGATTTATCAGTACCTTCTCAGGGGCCGAAAGTCGGCCCCATTCCCAATTGAAAATGAGTTCAGTTTTTCCCAATTTGGCAGTATTTTTTCCCAATTGGTGAACAATGCTTTTATATTTAATTATCTTGGAAAAACACAAAGTAAAATTGTCAGAATGTCTGTAATTTTCATCAATTCAACTCATTTAGCAAAGCTACAGTCATAACACGTTTAAAAACACTGTAAAAAACATCGCTAACTTTTAATCCGAATTTCCTCCGTTTTTCTGAAAATAGTGATATCGTTGTAATTATATAGATTTATTAAGTTATTATCTACCTACTCAGTTGATCTAAAAGTGAATGGTAATGGCTGTAGGCATTATTTCAAATAGAAAAATATATTTTCAATGCATTAATACATATTAAAAGAGGACTTTGAGAAAATGTTTACTTGTATATTTTTTTGCAGGAGGTTTATAATCTCCAGAAACAGATTCTATAATGACCTAAATTGGAATCTCATACACACATGTACTACCATAAGTTGTATAAACACTTTATACTCATTGAAGTCAATTTTACTTTTATTAGAAGTTGGATCATATTTAATTGTCTAGCTGTTTGGTTGCCCAAATTAAGAGTTAATGCTGAAATGGTAAATGAATTTTGCACCTGAATACATGATTTAAGCAACATTTGTAATTTTTCCCAATTTCATCAAAAAGCCGATATTTTTTTTCCCAATTCTCCAAAAATGGTGTTTCCCAAAATAGGCTGATAAATCCCTGAGCACACAATAAATTTTAGCGCTCAGGAGCCCTTGCACCAAAGGAGCTTAAATTAGTAGTGCGCCATATTTTCTCGATTTACAGTATTTGATTGATAGTCATTTGGCTTCATACATTGGTTAGCCATGTCACAATTAGGCCATTCTAAATTAAGTAATAGGATAAGGGGACTTCTATGTTAAACCAAAAAATTGTTGTTTAGCAGAATTGTCTATTATTGTCATTTTAGTTTCAAATCCGTCAAGCTGCACTACTGGGCCTTGGACAGCTGTACAAAAGATTTGTTTTAGCTGAAGAATATGACAAGGCAAATGTTGAAAAAATATCTTGGGTTAAAGACAAAGTCTTTCATGCCTACTACCAGAGTAACAATGAGGACAGGTCAGGCTCTAGAATTCTGTAAATGTGCTTCTGTTTAGATGTTTGTGTTTAGAATTACATTTCTTACTTGCATTATTTCAGACTGCTAGTTGAGCGTGTTTTCAATACATGCTTAGTGCCCTATAATGCTGAAGTGTCTGAAAGAATGAAGAGGCTGTATTTGTTGTATGCTACAATAGATGATCATGCTGTGAGGTAATTCATATTGGGAGGCACTTTTTCAACACTTACTACTCACTGGGTTTTTAGCTCACCTGAGCCGAAGGCTCAAGCGAGCTTTTCTGATGAAAGAGTGTCCGTCTGGCGTCTATGAACTTTTCGCATTTTCCACTTCTTCTCAAGAACCACTAGGCCAATTTCAACCAAACTTGCCAAAAATCATCCTTGGGTGAAGTGGAATAAGTTTGTTCACAGGAAGTGCCACACCCTCTTTCAAGGGGAGATAATTAAGAATTTGTGAAAATTTGGTGGCATCTTTTAAAAATTTCCTCAAGAACCACTAGGCAAGAAAAGATGAAACTTAGAAGAAAGCTTCATTACATACTCTAGATTAAAGTTTGTTCATATCAAAACCCCCGGGGTTAGGGCAGGGTCACAGGAGGGGGTTGAAGTTTTACATAAGAATATATTGGAAATGTCTTTAAAAATCTTCTTCTCAAGAACAGCGAAGCCATGATTAGTCATATTATAATAGAAGTATCCTCAGGTAGTGTAGATTCAAGTTTGTTCCAATCAATTTGACCCCAGGGGTAGGGCAGGGCCACAACAGGAGGTCAAAGTTTACCAAAGTAATATATAGGAAATATCTTTGAATAATCTTCTCAAGAACAGCTAAACCATTAATAGTTATATTAATACAGAAGTATCCCCAGGTAGTGTAGATTCAAGTTTGTTCAAATCAGGACCCCCTTGGGTAATGCTAATGTGTAATGGTAATTCATTGTAATCATCACATTTTTTCAAAGTAATTCTTTCAGTTACAAGTAATTGTAATGCATTACTTAAAAAAAATGTCAGTAATGACCATTACTTTTCAATTACATTTTGTATTTTAATCTCTTTTTAGCTCACCTGAGCTGAAAGCTCAAGTGTGCTTTTCTGATCACCTGTTGTCCATCTGTCTGTCCGTCCGTCACTGTAAACTTTAAATTCACATTTTCAACTTCTTCTCGAGAACCACTTGGCCAATTTTAATCAAACTTGGTACAAAGTATCCTTGGGTGAATGGGAGTTTAAATTGTTAAAATAAAAGGCGAAGTCCCCATACAAGGGGAAATAATCAAGAAAAGGCAAAAATAGGGTGGGGTCATTAAAAAATCTTCTTCTCAAGAACCACTGGGCCAGAAAAGCTGAAACTTATATGGAAGCATCCTGGGATAGTGTAGATTCTAAATTATTCAAATCGTGACCCCCGGGGTAGGGCAGGGCCACAATAGGGAATCCAAGTTTTACATTGAAATATATAGGAAAAATCTTTAAAAATCTTCTTCTCAAGAACCATTGGGGAAATCTGGTAAACAACAGCATGGCCAAAGTTACTCAGGTGAGCGATGTGGCCCATTGGGCCTCTTGTTTTATTATTCAATCTGATACAAGTCAAGGTCACTGAGGGGTTTGTTTTTTTTAATCTATAATGTTGAAGTCTTAAAATTAAAATCTTTTATCTTACCATTTTTTTAAAAAAATATTTATTCAATGGTGATTGATAAACATATTAAATAATAGTTTTAATAGAAACTTCTTGACAATACAGTTATTAAATCAATTGAAAAGAGCAGGAAAAAATATTAAAAGAAGTCATTAGGTTTCAAAGAAAGCCACATAACAAGTGATAATACATGTTTACCGTGACTACCAATTAATATACAAACTATATTTTTCAACTAAATTTTTTTTTCACCTTTAACTTCAAATCTTTTATCTAGGTACCGGTAATTATCACCTTTGATTGGGTTAAGGACATACGCAATGTAGTTTGAACTTTATTGTCCATTTCCCTGGAGTTAAAGAGTTCAAATACTTTAAAAGAACTGTGTGCTAAACTTTAATGTCCATATTTTCTGTTGTACACTTCTTCTTCAACAAGTTTGGGTAAACAAAACATCTAGAATATATGTTTAGTAATTTTTGTATATTTTTCTTTGCATTATACAAGAATTTTCATCATTTGATATCTTTTCAAAACCCCTGGTAATGCATGCTGATTTTTTGTCTATGAACATCTGATGGCACTATAATCTTAAATTAAGAATATCTTGAAAAATTATCAGTAGGTAAGGTACGTTGCGTATGTCCTTAAATTTATATCCCGATTAATTATGCCTGCCCAGCTAATTACAGGTGCTAATTCATTAAATTATTAATACATACTCATTTTTACCTTTATATTATCATTAGTTAATTAAATATGATCACTTTATGCAAGACATATAGTATAAAATGTTGATCATTTTATTTTAATAAAAAAAACAACAACAGAAAAACTAAAATTAGAGACTGAACAAAAACTACAACATTGAAAGTGTTCCTATCCACTTTCTTTGTTAACTGTAGATTTGTAAACCGCATGAACATAATAAATCAATCCAAAATGACTTAGAATCATCAAACTTAGTTGATGCATCTTGGGTCCTCCGAGAATGACAAGTGATAAGTAGGTCACCATGACCTACTCTCAGGTACTAATTGGCTAAGAATCATCCTGGGTTCTCAAGAGTGTTTTATCTAAAATGTAGGTCATGATGACCTTCCTTTGGAATTTCAAGGATTTATCTAAATAAACAGGATACTTAGAGGCTTCAAATAGAAGTGATAGGTTGTACAGTTTATCTGAAGAGCGATTCAAGGCCCTTGGGCCTCTTGTTAGTAATTGTGAATTTTCATAGTAAAATTCTAAGTCTTTTAACTTGTTAAATAATTTTCATTTTTACTACTTTTTTATGCCCCGTAATCAAAGATTCAAGGGCATATAGTTTTTGCCCTGTCCGTCTCTCTGTCTGTCTGTCCGCAAAAACTTTAATCTCGCCCATAACTTTTGACTGGTTGGAGCTATGACTTTCATATTTCACATGTGTATTCCTTGTGACAAGACCTTTCTTTGAGTACCATCATATTTGACCTTTTGACTTTGACCTTGGAGTTTGACCCACTTTTGCAAAATTTTATGAGACATTAACTTTGGCCATAACTTTTGAACAGTTGGTGCTTGGGCTTTCAAACTTTTCATGTGTTATCCTTGTGACACAATCTTTCTTTGGATGCCAACACCTTTGACCCCTTGACCTTGACCTTGGAGTTTGACCTACTTTTGAAAAAAAAACTTTAACCTTCACCATAACTTTTGACCAGTTGGTGCTATGGCTTTCATACTTCAGATGTGTATCCCTTGTGACAAGATCTTCCTTTGGATACCAAAAACTTTGACCTTATGACCTTGGAGTTTCACCTACTTTAATCTAAAAAAATTTTAACCTTGCCCATAACTTTTGATTGGTTGGATCTATGGCTTTGATATTTCACATGTGTATTCCTTGTGACAACACCTTTCTTAACTACCAACATCATATTTGACCTTTTGACCTTTACCTTGAAGTTTGACTCACTTTTGCAAAATTTTATGAGACTTTAACAATAGCCATAACTTTTGAACAATTGGTGCTTGGGCTTTCAAACTTCACATGTGTATTTCTTGTGATAAGACCTCTCTTTGGATACCAACAACTTTGACCCTTTAACCTTGACCTTGGAGTTTGACCTACTTTTGGAAAAAACTTTAACCTTGGCCATAACTTTTGAACAGTTAGAGCTAGGGCTTTCATACTTCACATGTGTATGATTTTTGAAAAGACCTTCCCTTGGATACCAACAACTTTGACCTTGACCTTAGAGTTTGACCTACTTTAATTTTGAAAAAACTTTAACCTTGGCCATAACTTTTTAACAGTTAGTGCTAGGTTTTTATACTTCACGTGTATTCCTTGTGACAAGACCTTCCTTGGATACCAACATCTTTGACCCTTTGAACTTTGAGTTTGGTCTACTTTTGAAAACCTTTAACCTTGACCATAACTTTTAAACAGTTGGTGCAAGGCTTTCATACTCTTTCATACCAAAAACCTTGATCCTTTGACCTTGACCTTGGAGTTAGACCTACTTTGGAAAAACTTTAACCTTGGCCATAACATTTGAATGTTTGGTTTTAGGGCTTTCACATTTCATGAACATGTGTATCACTTGTGACAAGACCTTCCCTTGGGCACCAATTGACCTTGACTTTGACATTTTACTTACGTTTGAAATACTTAAACCTTCGCCATAACTTTTCAACAGTTGGTCCTAGGGCTTTCATATTTCACAAGTATATTCCTTGAGACAAGACCTTTCTTTCGTTACCAACATTTTTGATCTCTTGACCTGGAGTTTGACTTGCATTTGAGAAACTTTAACCTCTGCCATAAGCTGCCATACGGGGGCATCAGTGTTTCACAAACACATCTTGTTTTTCAGAGCATTCCATGAAATGTTGAAGAACAAAAATCTGTAAGTATATGCATTTGAAGTCATACAGTATTTGTTAGCATATACAGCTGTACTTGTTATTTGTACAGTTTATTTGTTTTGTATGTTCATTAAACTTTTTGTGTCCCTGTCATGAAATTGCTGGGGCATATATAGAGGATATTCAGTGTTTTGCAGTTGGATATGGAATTTATTTCGCAAGTGGGACAGGAAGATTTTTATTTCATATTTTCATGAGTGCAAAGAAAGAGTGAAAATATTGAAAAAAATCCTTAATAAATCATATTAAGGTACATGTGATTCATCTTAAATAGGAACTGATCAGATTCTGGTCCATGATGTAGAGTCAAATTCTTTATTTAAAATTAAAGAGAGATTATAAAAAAAATACTGCTGATTAAGAACAGCAGGGCCAAAGTGACTCAGGTGAGTGTTCTGACCCATGGGGTTCTTGTTTTCATATAGTGTGAAAGTTATGGTGTCCCAGTTGGTGGAAGTTATAGAAGTCAACTTGGAAGGAGAAAAAAACATTCCACTAAATCGCAGGCTCGCAGCAATATCAAGTAAATGCCAAGTGATTTGATTTCAGTATAGAAGATAAAAGCATCAGATTGAGATCCTAGCTTTGATTTAATTGTTATTGGAGAATAATGTTTTATTAGATAAATACATAAAGATTTTTGAGTCCTTGCCACAAGTTATTTAATGTTTGATGGTCAAGTATAAAAACTGTTGAGCATTATAGATGTATAAAATATATTTACTTGGGAAAATTGGAAAATAGCAGTACTTCTCTTTCAATGTAGAAACACTGCCAGAAGCACACAAAGCAACTGACCACATGAAGAAATTTGCCATGCTATTAAAGGAAGACAAAAGAATGCGTCAATTTTTGAAGACTTTACTTGGACCAGATTGCACCTCTCAGAAAGCTCAAGATTTAGTAGTATGTCTTTCAAATCAGATTAGTACTAACTTCAGCATTTAGAGAAAACATACTTACTAATAAGAGTTGGAGGAACTGTACTGAAAACAATCATTGTTTCCTGTAATCAAACCTGAAACTGTGTAGGTGACCTTGTAGAGGCCAGGGCTGTGTGTACAGGACTCAGGACTGTGAAGTTCATTATTTAAAGCTGAACACTACTCGTAAAAGGCATTGTCGGCATATTTCTCTTTTATCAACGCTATGCCTACAACTCCTATATATAATCCACAGATCTTTTAATAGTTCAAAGTATTTCACTGTAGAGGTCTCACCTGTATGATGTACATCTTACATTGCCTTGTTACTAGGTCATGATGAAAATATCAAATTTTACAAGCTTTTTCTGAGCCAGGATAAAAGTAACATCAAATATACATGTACAAGTCAATGCATACCGTAATTACAAACGGAAAATGCACATAAAACAAGGAATAAATACACAAAATCTAAGACCACAAAAGGAATACTACACAGTGGCCAGCACGAGTTTCAAGTGTACAATTGGGTGTAACGAAATCGAAGGGTTTATATACATGTGTGACAGTGCCTATTTATGAGTCATGTTCAGCTTTTAAGAACATCCCCCATGCTCATTATGCCATATTTGTCTGTCAAACCCATGAGCAGAGGAAGATTTTTGAAGAATTAATGCTTGCCTGATATAGGAGTATATTACACCGAAAATACATCAATTCTTCGAGATTCTTCTTCTCTGCTCCTAGGTATTAGACAAACTAATTGCTTGGTTGTAATGAGGAAGAGTGCCTCTTCCAAAATTTTAAAATTTATGGCTCATATCTCAGAGGTTTTGGAGTAAGGGCAGGGTTCTGTTGATCATATAGTGCAAGTGCATAAATCCTTTGAAAATATCTGCTCCTGGGTATTAAACTAAGTGCATGGTTATGAAAAGCAAGGATGCCTTTTCCAAATAATAGAATTAATGGTCGTTTGATCAGGGTTCTGGAGATAAGGTAGGGTTCTATGGATTACATGCTAGCAATGTGTCAATTCTGAAAATCTTTTTTAGCTCACCTAAGCTGAAACCTCAAGTGAGCTTTTCTGATCACATTTTGTCTGGCATCTGTCCGTCTGTTAACTTAATTCTATTTATTTGTTCAAATCAAGACCTCTGGGTGTAGGATGGGGCCACAATGGGGAACCTAAGTTTTACATAGGAATATATAGGAAAAATCTTTAAAATTTTTTTAAAAAACAAGAAAGCTATGATTAGTTATGTTGATATGGAACCATCCCCAGGTAGTGTAGATTCAAGTTTGTTCAAATCATGACCCCCCACCCCCCAGGGTAGGGTGGCAGTAGGGCTGTCACGGTTCCAAAATTTTTCGGGTTGGGTCGGTTCTGTGAATTTTTGGTTCGGTTTCGGGTTTTTCGGTTGTTATTTACATCTATTTTAAACCTTAATTTCATGAATTTAACTTGAAAAATCTGTATTTGTTACATTAAATATACATTGAAAACAAGTCTTAACCATGTGAACGTCTAGACATTGGTGTGTAGAACTACGTGGCCTACTGTTAGCCACAACCTGACCATTCCTGCTCGTTTTGATAATTGACAAGTGTTTTGTCATGGAATGAAGTAGATTTCAGTTGTGATGTTTATTATGACGTCGAGCTCTTGGAGCTCGAAAGTCATCTAGCAAGCGCCCAGTTGAAATCGCGACCGGATATGTACGCGACCGAATGTGTCAGTCGATGCATCCGCAATAGAAAATAGCAATAGCTATAAACCAATTTCTTTGAAAACGCTCAAAATGAATAATAGCTTGAAAATAAAATTGCATCAATTATATCTGCAATTAATTCTATTGCAAAACAACAACATTATGTTTTATTCTCACACAAGAAAAACGTGATGGTTGTTGCGGATGAATTTCTACAGAAAGGGTGCGTTGAATGACATGAATAACATTTCGGAATGATAACCGTGTAATATAAACAACACAACAGGAGGTAAAATAATTACAAAATTACATAAACGCGAATACTACAAGACTAAAAAGATGGGATTTCTAAATCTTAGCTTTACTTATACAATCTTCTAACCAACTCTATCCTAAAAACCGATGAAATTGACCAGTATTGCTGTATTTCTCCATTTCCTCCATTTCCCAGTATACCATATACCACGCCCGATCGTAACTCGATCGTAATTGTAACAGAACAGAGTCTTGGTTGTAGTTTAGAATCACTAATACAATGCTTTGACATTGGCAATTAGAAAAAATATTATATAAATTCATGAAATCCTTCATAGTTCTTCAACTTACTGAAAAGAATTTAGCATGAACATGTTCGACGGTGTCTGGTCAATTCGAACCCTGCTCCATTCGGACCATGACATAAGGCCCCAGACTGTAATTGGGATATTTTATTTAAACTATTTTTTTCTTATGTCTCCTGAGTCACTCACTTGACTTATTGCTATCTTCAAATTCAAAATGATCTTTTGTCTTTCTTCTTCGACGTCATTGAAGCCTTTCAGGCTTTTGATTTATCACTGTTATCGTCATCATTCCTTTGATTTCGATGCCATTTTTTGTATTGAACAGACTCTAATATATAAACCAGACCCGAACTGAAATCTGGAAAAATGGAACCGAAACCGAACCGAACAACTTGGACCGCGGTTTCTCAGTTATTTCGGGTAACCGTGACAGCCCTAGGTGGCAGACATCTTTAAAATTGTTTTCAAGAACAGCAAAGCCATGATTAGTCATATGAATATAGAAGCATCCTTAGATAGTCAGATTCAATTTCATTCAAAACATGGCACCTGGGGTTAGGGTGTGGCTAGAACAGACGATAAAAAATAAATACATATGAATATATAGGAGAAGAAATCTGATGAAGAACAGCAGGGCCCTATTGACTTAGGTGAGCGTTGTGGCCCATGGGCCTCTTGTTAAATATTTGTAATCAAGTAAAATTCTCATTCTCTATGCTTCATCCTTATATTTCTAGCCCATAACTGGGCCCATGCTGACTGGTCAGTTTTCTAGTTATGACTCTTTCCATCCACATAATGTAAATTATAGCAGGGCTTAGCTTTCTGTTAAGTTTTCAATGCACACAATTTTTCATTGTCATTGTTCTCTTCCAAATAGAAAGAGGTATTGAAGAAACTTGGTGGCCCCGGTCCTGGACAACATAATTTGTTCTACAACTCCATCAAGTCTCTTTTGGAGCGAATAGCACCTGTCATGTTTGATGCTGCCGCCATTGAAATGTTGGTTAAACATGTGGATGAGACTGTTAGGGGACTTGGCATAATTACAGACGGAATAGATGCTGCTGCAGAAAAGGGAGTGAGGCTCCTTGTGGTTAGTTAACTGGAACCAGTTTTATGTTTGAATTCAAACTATTTTCTTGTTATGGAATGTGAAAGTAATCTTAGAAATTTTGCATTTAAGTTATGATTCTCACACATAAATCAGTGTGCTATCTTTTATCTTCTGTATCATAATTCTGGTAGTCATACATTCAACAAATTTAGAAGAAAAACAAAATATTATATGCCCCTGCAAAAATATAGCTGGAGCATATAGTGTTTGTTGTGTACATCTGTCCTTCCATCCTGTCTTCTTCCTTCCATCGATCCTTCAAAGAAACTATACAAGAAATTTTTAGAAGACCTCATATGCTTATACATATTGGTGAAAGTCATTCGACTGCTTGAATTTTTTTTACCTTGACCTCTCTTTTGGTGAATTTGTGTTTAGCTCAATTTTGAAGAAACATTTAAAAATATTTTCATCAAAAGAGAACAATACAACTTTTTCATAAATTACTTACATTCTCTGTCACTATTCCCTCTCTACCCTAATCTTAAACAAAGAAGCAATGTACATTTCTTTTCATGTTTCATTATTAATGAACCCTGAGCAGGGGTTTTTTGTCCTATAGACATATTTCTTTATTTTCACATCTTACAAAAATTAAAAGTAGCAAATTCTTGTGGCATCAAAATGATCAATAAACTTTGTTTGGGTATTGAAAAAATCTTTCCAATTACAATTCTTCAGAAGTCCATTGTACATATACAAAAAGTTGGGCTGTTTGACATGGTCACCATTTCAATGATACATTATTTAGTTTCCTTTTTAATATGACATTGAACAGATACTGTACATGTATATTCAAGTTACAGGAAACTTTGTTATGTAATACTCTATACAGGGTTATTTTAGCCCTTTCACATGTGCATACTAATTTGCCCATTTTAATTTCTCCCAGTCACACTTCTGTCTAAGAAGTTATACTGTTTTCTGTGAATTCGCCCTGTCTTAAACTCCCCACTTGTGTCTAGGGCGAAAGGGGTGAAAATTTCCCTCTATACAGTATACATGTACATGTTAATCAGTTGACAATGTTTTAACTTTCTTTTAAATGGAATGTTTTAGGCATTGTCCAGTGTTTACCCACATTATTTCAAAACAGAAGAGACATTTGAATTGCTGTTGTCTTTCTTGAAACATGACGATGAAGCAGTGGGTAAGTTCAACGAAACAGAAATTATGAAACTTTACTTATAGAGACAGAGACAGCTGTATTTCTGGGAATGATTGACAATGCTGTCAATTTCCAGCATTTGTAGTATATATGGTGAAAGTTAAAAGGTAAAAAGGTAAAAATAATTAAATAAACATGAATTGAATATCTTGATAATTTAATTTAAGTTAATGGGGCAGAAGGGAAATTCTTGTTCATTTTCCCATAGGGCTGTTCAGTGCACTGAAAACTTCAGTGCATCGTGGTTCATACTGTTTGATTTGGTGCACGGATCCAGAATTCAGTTTGATTCAAAATTTACATAACATGTATAAACAAAAATGGATGCCAATAGGAGATTGGAAGTGTGGGGGCAATTTAAGTTTCTTTTAAAAATGGAAAGGAAGACAAACACCTTTTACAATATTTTTTTTCATAAATTTTATGTTATCTTTAAGTAAAGGAGATTACAAAGCAGAGATTATTATTTTTCACTTATGATGAGAAATATTTAGACTGTTTTAGGTTAAATCAAATCTAATCGTAAAAAAAACCAACCATATCATTCTGAACCGAAACCGAACCAGATCAATTAAACCCTGAATTGTCCCAGCCCTATTTTCCAGACTTGTGATATCCTGTTGTTGAAAATTAATTTTCTTTCAGCAATAACATTTGAAGTGAAGGTTCATTATATGACACTTTTGAAAGAAAGCTTGCAGTGATTCATTTTGGTGTGCGTCCTGCGTAAATTACGCACATATTTTGCTCAGGACGCATTATTTCAATAAATGTGCATCCCAATGGATGCATTGAATTTATAAAATGAAAGGTATTATTTTAAATTATTTCATTATAATCTGCTTCAAAACTTGGCAGATTGCATCATATCCACGTGCTAAGCGATATTCTTGAGCGATTTTAACAGGTATAAGGTTGTCAACAACAGCTAGGCCAGATTTCACACTTCACTGTTAAATTGCAGTTAATAATGAGACAATTATCAGAAAAAGAAAGTTCAATTTTGGCTGCTGTGGAACATTTCTGAAGCGTATACTGTATTACATTTGTATTTTAACTGTAACCTGAATCACTTTAATTTTTTCCTTAGAAGCTAGTAAGTATTTGATCATTCTTCTTTCAGGCTATTTTTCTTTTTTTAAAGAAAACTTTCTTTACTTCATTTAATAAAACAACTGGTCTGCTTCTGTGCATTTTGTGACAGATGCAAATGTGTGAAATCATATGTACGATCTAAAAATAGAACCAAAGTGCATAGTTGACAGTATATTATTTACATGCCATAAAATCATTTATTCTTACTTCCAAATGATAGTAATTATAGTATAAACCACTCACAAATTCAATAAAACTTTCGGACAAAACCTTTTTCTATTTCACCAGAATTTCCTTTGTAATATTTAATATACGGTACCATTGAGTACCTCTGGATTTGGACGCATTGGTTTTGGCATGGGACTCATTGTTGTCAGTAAAAGGGGTCTTTTGGACCCATGATAACCATTTTCAAAATGAATCACTGAGCTTGGTTACATTGTTATCCTGGTTTGTCCTTCTGTCGCTCTTTCTTTTTCCTGTAATTCCTCTCACAATTTAAGAAGAAAACAATTTATCTTTTGGAATATAATAGGTGGTGTCCTGTAGATGTGCAATAAGGTTTCATTTCAAATGATTTTTCATTTTCATCATGGGGCCAAATGGGAAAAACAATGTTTTACCTACAAAAACCTGGTTTCCAAAACCTCTCTTAAATTTTACACCATAGACAAATCATCTTTTGGACTATTATTGGTGATGTCCTGTAGATGTGTAAGAAGGCTTCAGATTTTTCATTTTCACCCTAAGGTCAAATGGGGGTGGGAAAACATTTTCACTTTACAGAAATCTGGTTTCCAGAACTCATATATTTTACATAATAGCAATCTCATCTATTGCAAGTTGATTAAGGGTGCTCTGAGGATGTACAATTAGGTTTTGAAATTCGCATATTAACTTTGGGGACTAAAAGGAGTTTGAAAATGATGTTTTTTATTTTTATAAAAAACCTGGTTCTCGGTACCCATTTCATATTTTCGAGATGATTGGAGTTGTCCTACAGACAGAAATGCAATAAGGTTTTGGAATTTTCATTTTCAAAATGATCGCAAAATTGGGGTTAGAAAACATTTTCAAGTTCTAATATGGGCTGATTTTTTTCTTCTTTGTTTCTATATGGAATTTTTTTTTCAGAAACTCCCTTTTTTAAGTTCAGAATTTTCTTGACCACAATCTTTCATGTCAGATCCAGTAATGAATTTATTTGGTCACAAGAGTTAACTGCGCTAACATTTAAACATTTTCAGCTTCTTCTCTGGAACCACTGAACCAATTTCAACCAATTTTGGCATAAAGCATCAATGGGTGAAGGGGAGAAAAATTTTTGAAATTTATGGCCCCTGCCCCCCTCCCCCGGGGCCTGAGGGGTGGGGCTAACACCATCAAAATTAATGCAATCTTTAAAATTTTCTTTACTCTTGGACATCAAGCAGTCAAACTGCTGGCATGATTGTAATGAGCATTGAGCCCTCTACCGAAATTGTGAAATTCATGGCCCCAGGGTCAGGAGTTTTAGTGCCAGGGTGGGGTTCTGTTGAAAAATTGTGAAAATGCATTATTTATTAAAAAAATCTTCTCTGCTCCTGGGTATCAAGCAAACAAACTAAATGCATAGTTATGATGAGCAAGGATGCCTCTTCCAAAATTGTGAATTTCATGGCCCCTGGGTTAGGGGTTCTGATGTTGGGGCGGGGCTCTAATGATTATATAGTGAATTGCATTAATTCTTTGAAAATCTTTTTCTCTGCTCCTGGGTACAATGTATTAAGCCAATGAGTTAATGATTATGATGAACAAGGATGCCTCTACCAAAATTGTAAATTTCATGGCTCCTGGGTTAGGGGTTATGTGGGGGAGGGGGCTTATTTATGATGTACTAAAAATGAATTAATCCTTTGAAAATCTTCTCTTTTGCTTCTTGGTATTAAGCAAACAATCTAAATGCATGGTTATGATGAGCAAGGGTGCCTCTTCCAAAATTGTGAACTTCAAGGCCCCTGGGTATGGGGGTTTTGGTGATTGGGCAGGTCTCTATTTATGCTCTAAAAATCATGTTGTTTGGCCCTGAGTATTAAGCAAACAAAACTAAGTGCAATAATATAAATGTAACTGTATAAATATAAATAAATGTGCCTCCTCTCTCCTCCTTGATATCTAGGAGGCAAATCGATTACAAAATTATAATTGAAGTGAATGAATTACTCCCCTTTGCTAAATTGTATTAATTAGAAAATCCTTGTATATAAAATTAGATTAACATTATTTGATTGAATAAGAATGCAAGAAAGAATGTTTTACATATACAGTGGCGCCAATAATCCGGACGCTTCACCTTCCGGACGATATATTTTGGGAACCGATTTTTTCCACGTTATTCTGTCTCATTAATCTGGAAATTCGCGTTCCAGATCCGGACGGTCAATTTCTACTACAAAACGTAATATTTCATTGAAAAATGACTCGTTTATCCGGACGGTAATTTTTCGAGGAACGACTTTTCACACCTTCTTTGCAGTAGTGATAATTGTTGTAAAAACATTGTCCGTGGAGTCAGTTTGAAGGCGGTTACCTGTGACCTCCAAACAATAGCGGCTATAATTAGCGTGTGTTTACCTCAGGGTAAACACACGTCCTGTATATTATACAGCTCAAAGAATTTAACTTTTACTATGCATTAATTAAATTTTATATAATCCGTTCAGAATAGAATTAATTGCTAACGGTATATAAATTTATGAGAATTTTGGAGAGTTCTAAAAAAAATTTTACTGAATAATAAATCATGAGGTTTCGTTGTGGTATTTAGTCACGTAAGTTTGTCAGAATACGATTTTCCATTTCTCAAAACGTACATTATTTGAAATTTATTTTATTTTCATAAGACAATTTACGCGGATACATAATTCAAGAAATTATAATTCTTTTTAATGCACTAAGAAATACGTAACTGGTGTAAGTTATATAATTATGCCGATCACGTTTTTTAAGGTATATAACAAGAATTTATAGAAAAAATATTGATAATCCTGAATATGGCTTGCGTTTACGTTGAATGTTTACAATATACACTGATTACAGTATTCAGTTACTTACTTCCCTATGTAGTGAATATACGCGGTTAGTCATTTGAGCATTCTCAATGGTGGAAATGAACAGTATGAGCTTGAATAAATAAAAAAAATAATGTGCTAAAATAAAACAGTAGCAAATCAAAATTTGGTCAACCCATGTAACCACACTCAAATAGAAGGCGAGTTAAGTTTCCTGTGTTAAAAAAGGAAGTCTCAACATAAAACTGTCTATCCATTTTCCATCGTGTAAATTACATTTTAATTTTTTTCTTTTTCTTATATTAATTATTTCTTTTAAGACTATAAAACAAAATCAATAAATCAAGGTAAAATAAAGGTGTTTTCTTTGCCTTCACATTTGATATCATTATGTTCATATGCACATGCTTTGAGAAGGTACGTCTTTTAAGAAGTGATTCACCTATCCGGACGATTCATTTATCCGGACGATTTCGCTGGGGACGGAGGTGTCCAGATTAACGAGGCGCCACTATATATATAAAGAGAGAGAAACAAAATAAAAATGAATGTTTGGTTTGAATAAACAAAGCATGCTAGCAGTTGGATTCTTGTCTGTAAAGCAATATAAAAGATTGATATAAAGATTATATATTCAGCAAAATTGCTGGTTGTTTTGAGTGTGTACACTGTGGTGTCCTGTTTGATACTTGATAGTTATTGTCGGGTAAAGGTATGGAGACCATAGTCTATATGGAAAGAGACTGCATAAAGTTGTTTTGTACTCAATCAAAGTGACCAGGTGATCACAGAGAGCAAGGGTGTCTGGGAGACGCTGTAAGTTGTGACAAGGGGCAAATAGCCACATTGTATAGCCAAGTGGCAAGAGCTGGTAAAAAGTACATGTATTACCATGTTTTTGTATGGCCAAGAGGCAAGTGTTGGTATCAAGTGTTACTAAGTGGCAAGCAGCTAAGTTGTTTGTCAAGGGGCATCACCTCAAGTAAATATACAGGCATTAGAGATTTGTCTTTGTATATTTTGCATTCATTGTCATCCCTGTAGGACTTGGGCAAACCAAGAAGATCCCTCAGGTCTCAGACATTACAATAAGCAAGGGTGCCCCATTTTTGAAATTCTTTGGCATCATAGCTTCATCTTTCAGCTAATTTTGTTTTATGTTTCTATGGATCGTTTACAGTGTTGTATTATACTCAGGTGACTGATAAGGCCCTTGGGCCTCTTGTTATTTAAATAACTGAGGTGATTATATGCTCACCTGTGCATTTTATGCTTGATTTTATACTGTATGTGTATTTTATGTAAATTATGTGTGGGCATTACTGTCTTATGACAGCACCTAATATGTAATTTTTAACTCACCTGAACTGAAAGCCAAAGTGAGCTTTTCTGATCATATTTTGTCTGGCATTTGTCTGTAAGCTCTTCACATTTTCAATTTCTTAAAAAATTCTTCAATATGAAGTAGAGAAATTTGAAGTGAATTTTCAACTTTATGTTTATGTTCATTTTCTTGTAGCTGATCTTACCATACAGATATTCATTAATGTTGGAAAACATCTACAATCAGAGCACCCAAATATTTACACGTAAGTTTTTATGCCTCTCAATGTATACATGTATATGCTTTATTACTTCATGAGGCTAGAATATATACATGATATAGGGAAAAGGTTTTTTTAATGTTTTTTTTTTTAAGAAAGCAAGGCCACAATTATCAGATATGTATTTATATGCAAGCATTCCCATATAGTGTAGAATGAAGTTCATTCAGAGCATGGCATCTAGGACTGTGATTACAGATGAGTTTGAATAAAAAAATATAGACATGTAGACATCCACAGGTATAAGATGACTAAAATATATATATTATTGTAGTCGTCTTATTTTTGTGGATGTCTATATATTATATAGACATCCACAAACATAAGAAAACTACAATGTGTGTATAGACATCCACAAATATAAGAAGACTATATACAGTCATGTATATAGACATCCACAAATATAAGAAGACTATAATGTATATATAGACATCCACAAACATAAGAAGACTAGAAGTGTATAGAGATATCCACAAGTATAACATATAAGAAGACTATAATATATATACCCTAAAACCTTGAAAATTAGCCGGATTTAATAATAAGCCGGTTTTGAAAATAAGCCACCTATTTCTTGCATTGAAAATTACTCGAAAATAAGCCTGATTTGAAAATAAGCCGGTAATGATAGTTCCATTTAGAACACAGTTATTTTTAATTACAATATATTTTATTATAAACATTCTATGACATTAATAATTTATTCAACAAAGCACATGATATTAAAGCACTATTATTTTCTTTTTAGCGCACAGAAATCTTGACATTCATTACATGTTGTCTTTACCCTCGCAGAAATAATTTTATTTCAACAATGCACGAGAAACTGTTGAACTTCAGTTTTATAAAATCGACTTAAATCTTTATTAGGGCCCCGCAAGGATTTGCGGGTGCCCTATAGTAATCACTCTGTCTGTCTGTCTGTCCGTCCGTCTGTCTGTCTGTCCGTCCGTCTGTCATTCTTCCGTCCACAAATTTTCTGATTTTTTCTAATAACTTTTTTTGTAGTTGACCAATTAAGTTCAAATTTGGTATGTTGGTTGAAGAGGCAGTAAGACATATTTTGATGCTAAGTTTGGTTCTCTATGTCATCCAGTTTGGAGCTGGGGTGGTGGGGTAGATTCCTTAACTTTACATTAGAATGAATGCCAGAGCAAAGAGAGATAACTGCTGAGAATGTTCCTATTGTAAACTATGAAAGCTGCAACTAGTCCCATGGGATTAATTAACTTTCCTCTTGAAGAAAATCCAAAGCATTATCTGTTTCTGTCAAATTGAGATTAATTAACACCTCTGTCTGCAAATGAAGTTTGTTTTGAAGTTAAGGTCAATTCTGAATGATGTTTACATTCTCTGAAATGTGGATTAAAATAATATTCATACTTTATTTTGGTAAAATACACAATGAGTTATGATTTCATTGCACTAAAAACAAGATCTACATAAAATATGGGGTTTTTTTAAAAAAAAATTTTGTTTTTATTTATTCATCTTTTCTTTTTTTTCTTTTTTTTCTTTTTTTGCTGTTGTATGTAAATTCAAGAATACTATTAATTTTATCACGTAGTCTGATAATAAACTCATTCTATCATTACTGAAAAAGTTCTTATAGTAAACTTGGAAGAAAAGGATGAGAGAGCAGTACAATTAATCCCCTGGGATTAATTATCTTGTTTGGGGCAGAAAATTTTCCAGGCTTATCTTTATTTGTCACTTTAAGATAAATTAACCTTTGTCTGCAACTGATGTTTGTTTTGAAGTTAAGGTCAAGCCTGGGTGATATTTGCATTCACTGAAGGCTGGCATTTTAAAAAACACATGCTTTATTCTTGTTTAAATATACATTTAATTGAGTTATTATAGATACATGTTACATTATGTATGATGTTTTTTACTGCCTTAATATGTAAATACAGGGATACTCTTTACAGGTTGTTGGATATTTAGGAATTATCTTGAAATTTTATAAATACAGTTGTTATTGCATATTCTTCTTCACATTTTTTTTAATTTTTGTAATCAAAATTCTCATTCTGTAAGCTGCACCCTTATATCTCTCACCCCTCGGCGGGGCCCTTGCTGACTGGTCAGTTTTCTAGTTTAGCAACGGTAATCATGACTGTGTGCATCGCGTTAATCTCTTATTTTCAACAGAGCTCGAGTTATTTTAATAATTAAGTTTTAACAAACTTGATATTTCTTTTTTTAAATTACTATAATGGACGAAGGTTATAAATCGACCCCAATTATTTCAATGAAAATAATCAAAGCCATTGATAATAGGGGTGATGAGAAAATTATTAAACAAACATGTACACTTCTTCACAACAATGGCTTGAATTGGGACGTATACGGGGGTGTTTACATGAAATTTCCACTGAGTTATTTAAAATCAAAATAAACTTATAAATTGCTTCTTTTTTTTTTTTGAAAACCGAGTGTCAGACTGATTTGATACATTACGCAAGCACGTGGCAAAGGAATGTGTAAACGTCTATAAATAACATCATGATATAGCGGCTTGAATATGCAGCTAAAATTAATTTTAACTCACTTTCCAATATAATTTAACCATCAACAGATTATAAATTTAACATTTTCAACAAGTTTATGTTCTTATCAAAATTTACTAAGGTTTTAAATATAGCGGTATACAACAAGAAATTGTTTATGTCTGTTGGTAATGCTACAGTATGTCCGATAGCCGTGCATATTATACTTGTTCAAAATCGATCGATTATAATTTATTGTCTAGATAATAATCTGTGATTATGCTCCTGTCGCTTACCGGTTTTTGGTTTTGATAATAAGCTGCGATTTGAAAATAAGACGGTTTTGGAAATAAGACCCCATTTTCTTACCAAAACTTAAAATAAGCCGCGGCTTATTTTCAAGGTTTTAGGATATAGACATCCACACGACTACAGTGGACATTGACTTCAAACCTTAATTTACTGTAAAAATTTAATATTAGGTATTAAAATCTTTACGAGGCCATATGAAGTTCTAGATCTATACAAATGTTCATTTTGTCAGGAAGAGAATATTTTCTAAAGTGAGCAAGTGGCCCATGTGCATCTTGTTAATTAAGAGCATTTTACTTAATTATTAGGGTTCTTTTACCAATTCTTCAACGATCTGCAAAACTCGGCAACCCAAAACAAAGCAAGCATGCCATCAAGTGTATTTCAATTGTGTGCCAAAAGAAAGAAGCCATCCTAAGCCAAGTATTTGAGGTAAAGCTCAAACTGGGAATTTCTTAAGGTTGTCCATTCCTCAGCCAGGAAACTAACTTATAATACTTTTGTACTTCAAAAACATCTCAAAATGAAGCTTAAAATTGAAATTTCTTTAGTGCAGCAATTTATTTTATGCATCTTAAAATTATTCAAGGTTCTATGAAGTCTTGGAAACAATTTAGAAAAAAATTAAGTATATTTTTAGAGAAATTAGATTCCCTTTAATATTGCCATAAATACCAATGCTTATTAGCATGAGGTGAAATTAGAAGTGATCTGTTATGCCTTGCAATGATATCAAATGCCTTTTACACTATGTATTTTATTACAATTGAAAATTATAGAAGTAAATACTACATTAAGTTAAAAAAAAAACTTTTAACTTCAACGGTGCATTTTTTTCTGAATGCCTGGATACTTATATTTTTTTTTTATCATAAAATGTACATTTATTTGTTAGTTTTCAATTAGAAATTGCATAATTATTAATAAGTGCTTTTATTCATGTTTTCTGAAGATATATTTCAGATTTGATAATTTTCCTAACTTAATATGATTTATCTATAATGATGAACTTTGTAGAAAGAACATGGGTAAATACACATAAATTTTGTGAATTCAGTGACATTTTTGAGAGTATTATCAATTACAGTACTTATAACTGCAGATTTTCAGAACCTGAGGTATGGACTCCTTTAAGTTGAGAACACAAATACAAATATACCGTAGTTAGTTTTTAATGCGTTAAGTATATTACAAGGCATATTAGATTCAATAATAATATGAATCTCAGCTATTCAATCTTATAAAGCAGTATTCATGTAAAAATTTAGATAATGTAAATTTACTAGTGATATTTCTTTTTCTAGTATGTCAAGAAATCTCTTAATCCCGAGTCAGCCAATTTTATCACCTCTATAGTTGCATTAGGACACATTGCCAAGCTGTGTCCTTCAGACTTTGCAGCTGATATCAAGGCCATTGTGTCCAAAACCATAGTTAAAGACCTCCTGATGATGGACAGGGCAAGTTTTCTTTTTCTTTTAACAAATATCACTATGTTATGTAAAGATAAATTTTAAGGTGAAAATTTCAGAAGCTTTGAATTTAATATGTACGAAGAGAAGACTTAGATAATCATGATAATGATTTGATATTTCAATTAGTAGTCGTCGGGACCAGATATTAATTTGATATTTCAATTAGTAGTCATCAGGACCAGATATTAATTTGATATTTTAATTTGTAGTCATCAAGACTAGATATTAATCTGATATTTTAATTTGTAGTCATCAAGACTAGATATTAATCTGATATTTTAATTTGTAGTCATCAGGACTAGATATTAATCTGATATTTTAATTTGTAGTCATCAGGACTAGATATTAATCTGATATTTTAATTTGTAGTCATCAGGACCAGATACAACAGAAAGCTGGTACTCTGAGCATCATGTCACAGAGGAAACTATGGCCAAGGTAATGTCTTTTCTATCAATCAATGGAATATCTAAGATACTAACGCTCATCTTACATGAGATGTTTGTTTGTTTATTGTTTAACGTCCCTCTTGAAAATTTTTCACTCATATGGAGACGCCACCACTTGTCGGTGGAGAGCTGCAAATTTTGACCTATACTCGGCACTCAGGGCCATTGAGTAGTGAGGGAACTTTTTCGTGCCAGCATCTACTGTGACACGGAACCTCTGTTTATAAGGTCTCATCCAAAGGACCGGTGTAGCATAATATTTTGATACCGCGTTGAACCCGCAACATAAGGATCAAATCCTTACTCTGCGACTCTAGGGTGAATGCTCTAACCACTGTGCCATTTGGGCAACTACATGAGAGATAAGGGAGTCTTAAGAATGTATGGGAATGGAATAAATGGAAAGTTTTATTGAAATCCATTACTGGTCTGCTGCTAAGATTTCATTACAAATTCTCATGGGAAATCTCTTTTTAATTTTTTTTTCTCACTGTCTTTAAAAGTACACGATACCATGACACAGTGATATGTGCATTGCATTGTAACACTTTAGGACAAAAATTGAAATTATTGCGAACATAATCAGTTTGATTTCACTTAATATTTATTTTCATTAATTATATACTGATTTGTGTTATAGCTGCAGGCAATGAAGATGCTTGTGAGATGGTTAGAGGGTTTACAAAGCAATGCCAACAATTCTGGAACCTCCACATTAAGACTTCTCTACACAGTTATTATTCATGAAGGAGACCTGATGGAAAAGGGCATGATCAAGTAAACAGAAAATTTAGAATCACTCTGAAAGTTCATTTTTATGAAGTTGGGTTTTTTTTGTAAGTTCACTTGAGATGAAACACAAGTGAGATTTTCTCTGCTGTCTGTCTGTAAACTTTAACATTGTGAGATCATTTGAAACTCGGGTGATTTATTGCTATCTGTTTTTGTCCATTGTGCATTAATACTCAGACATTTTCAGCTTTTTCTTTAGAACCTCAAACCAATTAGTTTAAAGCCTCTATTGGTAAAGGGAAACAAAAATTATGAATTTCATGCTCCTCCCCCCCCCCCCCCCCCCCCCCATTTAGTTAGCATCTACCAGATATCTGAAATTTGTAACCTCAGGGGTTCTGGAGCTAGTGTGAGGCTCTATTGGTCAAATATAGTGAAAATGCAAAATGTTTTTTAATTTAAAAAATGTTCATCTCTCCACCTTTATGTTAAGTATGGTTGTTTAACAAGAGCAAGGGTGGTCTTTCACAGTTCTGAAATTTATGGCCTCTGGATCAAGAGTTCTGGTGTTAAGACGGGGCTCTACTCATTATATTGAGAAAGTGCATTATTTCTTTAAAAATATCTTTTCTGCCCCTAGGTATTCAGCATAGAGACTAATAGCATAGTTATGTCTCTTCCAAAATTATGAAATTTGTAGCACTGGGTTCTGGGCCGTGTCCAAGAGCGTAGCGGCTACGTAGCATCTACGTAAAACTACGCTCTTGAATAGAGAGCTCGCCTAGCTGCTAGGTATGGAGAAATAATTTGAAGATAAGTACCTAATCCAAAATGTTCATAATTTTCTACTATTGTTCAAATAATGTAATCAAATAATTGACTAAGGAAAATAAATATTTTGACATCCCTAAAATTTACATATATATATTTTACCTTGAAATAATTTTTTTTTTTGCTCCAAAAATAAGTTTTTACTAATATATTTTTATCCGAAATCTAACACTTAGCAGGTAGGCTAGCTGTCCATTTAATAGAGATAGATATCTACCACAACTGTTAGGTTAGCTGCTACAATCTTGAATGCAGCCCTGGCCCAGGGATCATGAAACATCTTAAGCTTAAGTCAAAATCTTTATTTTGTACTTAATGTCTGTAGAAGTCAAGCAGAACAAAGTTTTTACTAAAAATATTTTTCAAAATTGCTTTGCAAAAGTGTTATTATCTGCAAATTTAGAGATTAATTCAATAATTAATAAAACATTTTACAGGCGATTAAAAATTTGACTTAAGTGTAAGTCTGTTTTGTGATCCTGGGGCCTGGTGTTAGAGTGGGACTCTATTGATTATTTTGTAAAAAAAAAAAAAAAAACAAAAAAACAAAAAAAAAAAACAACAACAACAACAAAAAAAAAACAGGGGAACATATTTTTTACCTAGCAAAAGTCTTTAAACAATCCTCTTCCGGAACAGTTTGGCCATGATAAGTCATACTTTAACACACTCAGGGTGGAGATTCAATTCTATTCAAGTGATGGTCCTTGAGGGTAGAGTGTTGCCAAAACTGGATGAAAGTTTTCAATGGGAATTATTTAAGTTGGAGAAAATCTTTATGAATCTTCTGATAAAGAAAAGCAGAGCTGAGTTGGCTCAAGTGAGCATGTGGCATTTGTTAAAATGTAAGTTCTGTTGTTATAGTAAACCAGAGTTGGCCAGATTGAGACTCCAGGCAGGATGTTGTATGTTGAAGCTAGCAGAATACAAATGTTATGGAGATCTAATCACAAGGGAACAGTTTCAGGCCTTAGCTCTACTAATGAATGTAAGATCTTTCAAAAGTTATTAAGTGTTTATGTTCTGCAAGCATATGTACAAAATTCCTAACATTTCTGCATTGGTTTGTAAAACCTGTTAAAACTGATTGCTTTTCTCTCAATGTAGAAAATTGATATAGCTGATTTCTTTGCTTTAATATAGAAAATTTGATTCACAGGATAGCTGTTACCGTGTGAGACTCAACTTTGCCTTAAAATTGAACAAAGGGTTGCTTGTGCTCCGACTTCCATTGGAGTATATGAGTATATTTAGTCTTGCTGCAAATGATCCACTGAAGGAAAGAAAATTACAAATCAAGAACTTCCTACAGGCAAATATATCAAAAAGGAGGGATTATATCAAACAGAATCCATCTATTGGGGGTATGTTTAACACCTTTCAGAATTAAAGAATTTGAATTTACTGTCTGTTCTACTTTTGTTATGTTCAGTTTTTTATAATGGACTTAAGGGTAAGAGATTGGCCTCTGTGTAAATCGGCGTTTCACTTGTATGTTTATTTGCAATTTCAGCTCGACTGTTCCATTTCATGCCTGAGTATTCCATACCTTACACAATTCATCTGCTAGCACATGATCCAGATCTTCAGTCTCATGAGCATGTAGAAGTCCTCAAAAACATCAAGGAGTAAGTTACAGATATAACAAAGTACCTGACTTTTCATTTAGTAAGCTGAGTGATAACTGGGGCTGTTCCAGAATTGTACATGCTGGGATTTCAGAGAGCATTTACTACACACCGTTTTTTGTAACAACATTTCTGTGTAATTTGAAATCTCTCTGCTACTACAAATTTTTGCAACATAGAAAATATTCATTTATAAAAACACAATGAATTAAATATGACAGGAAATATTCAGGATTTAAGAAAGTTTGTAATACTCACTGCATTTTTTGGACACAAAAAGTTAGTTTACAGTATGATGGATGATCGAAATGTTAGTGGTTGGGTTATTTTACTAATTGATCACATCATTAATGCCAATTTAGTGTCTTTAGTTGCCAATTTCTTAAAAAGAATTCTGGAAGGGGGAGGCAGTGTTTTATATAGTTGTCTGGAATTAACATGTACATACATGTATTACTGTTTATTAGGTAATGCAAATACGGTACATGTAGGTGATGGGAGCTGGAAAAAAAAATGGATAATATTGATAATTACTGTCTCCCAACACCTTCCTCTCATTGAATTATGGAACGTCATTACAAGTTCTTTACAATGTTCATATTAAATCTTATATTTGTTACTGCTAGTTTTAAAGATTTTCATAGTAAAGCATGTACAACATGATTTTGTTTTTGTGCAAAGTGTTGCTTATAGTGTCAACTTTTTATTCTTTCATTAGGTGCCTATGGTTTATAATGGACCCTCTTATCAGTAAGAGTGAAGACTGCAATTATTCATTCTTTAGAAAAATGTTGGAAAACATTAAACAATGTAAGGATGCTCAGGATCCAGAGGATGAAGCCACAAACAAGGTCAGAAGCCACAGTAGCAATGATCCTATCAGTATAAAGCAGCAAATTGCATGTCTGTATTCAAATGAATGATACTTAATTTACATGTATGTTATTGGATATTCATTTGATAGTAGACATTTGTTTTAAGTTTTACAATATTTGAATATTAGGATGATATGCTTCCTTTCAGAAACTGTATGCAGTCTGTGATCTTGCATTAGGTCTGCTTGTGAGTAAGGCCACACACATCACTTTGAAAGATACCAATCTGGAACCAGTTCTACCTGCCAAGTGTTTTATCAAACAATCAAAGGTTTGTGTCACTTATCAAGCAGAGAAAATATATGTCTGAAAGTGTCTATAAAGACTTTTATATTTTCAACAGTGAAATACTGTGATTTATTTATTGGATAAAAGTGATATTCTGTCACTGTGTGAATACCAAAGTGATATTCTGTCACAGTGTAAAAGGATATCAAAGTAAGTAAAAAATAATTTCTGGCCTGTCATAAGATAGAGATAGTAACTAAAGCATCTTGATAGAGACTTAAACTTACAATTTTTTTCCAAATATGTTGCTAAAATCCACGTTACAGTGTTTTCAATATCACATTTGCTAAGTTATGACATCTCAACCGCTCAAGTATGACATCATGGCCTATGACACTGTGTTAAAGCTGAACACGACTCATAAATAGGCATATGCCATTTTCAATAAGACTATCTAGGAAATCAGCACCAGGTATACTCTTAGCATTTGTTACACCTGACTGCTTTATTGTCACAGGTATCCACCTGGGATGGCGACCTGTGTTCGTGCTGGTTATCTTGCATTACCTTTGTTTACATTTTATTGCAGTTACGTGTATTTGTGTTTGTATACTGCACTGACCTGTGCAACTGTTGTAAGTTTCTTTGGTATCTTACTCTCCTGCATTAGAAGAAGTACACAGTTATTTTTTGTCGCTACTGAGTGCTGTAAAGCATACGTCCATCTAAACCGTTGACGATTGAATACACTGAATAGTGACTAAGTGAGCGGCTTTATATAGGGGTCCTCAGATATAGTGAGAGACGAATCGAATATGGCAGACAAATTCCTTTTACAAATTGTGTTCAGCTTTAAAAAAAGACAGTGGCAAAGGGAAATCAAGAAAATGTAATAATTAACAGAAAATTTAATGTTTTGTAGTTGGATATGGATTTTGTTTCACTCGTGAGACGGATTTTTTTTATATTTTCACTCGTGCTTTGCACTCATGAAAATATAAAAAAAAAATCCTGTCCCAGTCACGAAATACATGTAAATTCCATATCCAACTGCAAAACATTGAATATCCTCTATATACCTACTGTAGGTGATTCTTGAAAGCTCTAACTTTGATCTCAAAGTTCTTCTTGTCTGGAAGTTAGATGTGGTCCAGATATGTTGAGCCAAGCAAATTTACTCTTATCTTAAAACCCTAATAAGTATAATCTTTTTAATTCATGAAGATTTTGTTTTCACATTAAAATTAGTGTCATGAGAACCTTAATTTGAAATTAAATGGCTTTTATAGAAGGTACATGTATGTCTTGTTATTGTTTTGCTTCTAAGATCTGAGGACTGTTTACTGCAGTGTTTTTCAATTAGTTGTGATTATCAATAGTGTAATGCTCTCAAAGAAACACAATTTTGAGAAAGGTCAGATCATTCATACTTATTAAGAAAAGATGTTATTTTTTCACCATTGTCAAAATGTGAAGTATTTCAAAATTTAAAAAAATTCACACGAGAGGGCAAACCTGTGGAATCGTGATTGTTTGTGGAGGACGCGTACCCACAAATTTACATCCCCCACGAACAATAACATTGTGAACATACATGTATCAGGTAATTGAATCTTGTGTACAAACGAGTTATCATAAAATTACACGCCAAAAAATTAGTAAAACTATTGATTGGTTGTCCATGAATGTTAACACTTGTAAAATAAAATGAATCCACAGTATGTGTAAAGAGTCACCTGCAAGTTTTTTTTTACAGGGATATATGAATACCAGAATTTATGTTCCTAAAGAACTGGTGATGGAAGGTCACAAGGTGAGTGTATCACTGTATATTTTGTCATAAGAAGTTCCAGGATCGACTGAATCCTAGGTCATTGACATTTTCTTCAGGGCCAAATTATACATACAGGAATAGTAATATATTGTAAAACACTTTTTAGGTCACCAGAACCACTCAGGAAACCTATTGCTATCTGTTTCTGTGTGGCAACGTTGTAAAAACCTTTACCTTTAACTTGGCACACAGGTAGACTACACTAAGATACAATATGATTTAGTGCGTCGGTTTTTGATTTCAATGAATGGTGTTGCCATGGTTACTAAAAATAGAAATTTCTGTGAAATTCCTTTAAAATGCTACTCCTCCTACAGTTTTGTCTGATTTCAGTATAACTTGATACACAAGTAGACTACACTAAGATACGTAATTTTGTGCATCAGTTTTTGATTTTGATGAATGGTGTTACCATGGTTACTAAAAATAGAAATTTCTGTGAAATTCCTTTAAAACGCTACTCCTCCTACAATTCTTGTCTGATTTCAATATAACTTGATACACAAGAAGACTACACTAAGATACGTAATTTTGTGCATCGGTTTTTGATTTTGATGAATGTTGTTACCATGGTTACTAAAAATAGAAATTTATGTGAAATTCCTTTAAAATGCTACTGCTCCTATAGTTTTGGTCTGATTTCAAAAGTACTTGGCACACAAGTAGACTACACTGAGATACATAATTCTGTTCATCGGTTTTTGATTTTAGTGAAGTGTTGCCATGGTTACTAAAAATACAGATTTCTGTGAAATACATTCAAAATGCTGCTCCTTCTATAATTTTGCTTTGATTTCATTGTAACTTGGTATGCAAATAGACTACACTGAGATACATAATTGTCTTGTCAGTTTTTTTGATTTTGTTGAATGATGTTGCCATGGATACTAAAATCAAAATTTCTTTTAAAATCTTTTAAAAGGTTACTCTTCATACAGTTTTAATCTGATTGCAATAAATCTTGCCACAAAGAGACTTAACCAAGGATCATTACTCTATTTATTGCTGTTGCAAAGTTTCAAGTCCAAGTGCTACTTTTCTTTTCCCTTGTTATAAGTACGAACCAGTAGAGCCACAGTCTCGTCAGAGAGTTCTGGTTATTTACTTCAGAAGATAGAGTTTACATTTGATCAAGGTTGTGGGCATCGTCGCAAACCACGGCCAAAATGTACAATCTTCTCCCATTCTGGCCATGGTTGAATGAGAAGAGAATATTTTGTTGCTCATTAAAATATTGACTAATGCAAGTAAAGCATAGTCAGATAATGAACTTTGATGCGACCTTTCAATACCCAATCACAGTATATGAAACATTTCTTGTATACTGTTGATGTCAATTGTTGATTTCAATTGCGATATAAACAAATATTGTCATTGGCTGAACATTACTTCACAATATAGAGGCATAAATATTCAAGATTACAACTCTTTTTGTGATCAAGCAGCCACGGGTAGGAGAGAGCTATATGCGGACTCCGGACCGTGGCTTAAGACGATGGGTTATGGGCTGAAATAGGAATGTTTTAAGAATGCAATACAAATTTTCCATCAAAGAAATATGCCACGGCTGGGACATTGTTATACCCCCTGCAAACGAAGTTTAGGGGGGGGGTATATTGGAATCAGCTTGTCCGTCTGTCTGTCTGTCCGTCTGTCTGTAGACGAGATTTTGTCCGGACCATTTCTTGGAAACTGTTGCAAGGATTTGTCTGAAAATTTGTACACTTATTCTTTGCCATATGAAGGTGTGCACCTGGTATTTTCATCATGATTGGATAATTTTTTTGCATTTTACAGGTGTTTTTTCATTTTTATTATGTGGTTTTGTCTGGATCTGTTCCCAGAGACTATTGCATAGATTTGCATGAAAATTTGTACACTTATCATTTACCATATGAAGATGTGCACCTGGTATTTTCAACATTATTTGATAATTTTTCTGCATTTTACAGGTGTTTTTTCTTTTCATTTTTATTGACTTAGTCATTTCAGGTTCATGTCTAAGGTTTGAGACATAGAATCTAGAACATCTGTACAAAAATGTGAACTACAGCTTAAAACTACTCGTTAGAACTAAAAAAAAAAATCACAAAGTATCAAAAACAGTTTTTACATTACACAGCAGATAGTGTAAATCCATTTGTCCCTTGGGAGTAATGAGTGGACATCATCCAGTTAAAGATTAATTAATGAGCTCAGGGCTGTTGGGGCATCTCTGATCAAGCAGGTCTTATCTATATCTCCTGGGAAATGGGCAGAAAGAAATAAAGATCTCTGTTGTTTAAGTCTCTTAATTGTAATTTATGTCTGTCAAAATACATAGTTACTGGAACCAGCCTTTTATTTTAAAATGAGTTTGATATAAAGGTATTAAGATCAATTTGATTTTGTGTAATTAATTATGATATTTTTTTTGCAACAATCAATTTGCAGAGTGTCATGTCTCACAAAGATGACAGATAGTTGCAAACTATTTTTTCAATGTAATATAAAACACTGTAGTTACTAGTATTGATGTTTTATTAGGCTGCACCTTAGTTTCATTCATTAAAAAAAAATATGAGTAATTAAATTTTCACTCTAAATGTTTAAGCAAATTGTGAACACCTCTCACATCTAGAAAACATTAGTGATTTGGTACCTTCTCTGAAAAACCCAGCGGGGGGTATTTGTCCCTTTTGGACAGGTCTAGTTTTTGTTTTGTTTTTTTTTTAATTGTTTGGAGGAAATGAAATGATAGATAAAAATTTAAAGTTTCAAGAATTAGGAGGCTTTAATAAACTTAAAACTGGACATTGTAGAGGAAAGGTGTTCATGACTCCATATTGGCCTCAAGTGAACCAGAGATAGTGGCATGTCCAGGACCAGTGGTTAACCCCCTACCTTACACCCCCAGAGAAAAAACGTCTAAACCAGCAAAGACCAAGAAACTCAAAAAAGAGCAAAGGTAGGGATCTTTTATGTTTTTTATTTTGGTAATTTTGGTAATTCAAACGATCTGTAACCAGTGTTTGAAACTCACAGCAAAATTAGCCATACATGCAGGGCTGACTGCTAGTAAAAGTTGTCAGCCCTGCCAAAGATCTACTCGCCCGAGAAAATAATTGTCTTTCATAAATTTGTTTTTAATGATTATGTGACTGGAACCAGGTCACCATAACTTCAAACCAGATTCTTTAGACTGATGAATTCTTCCTCTTGGCTTGTTACACTTTGCTACAGATACTATTAGTTGATATGAAAGAAATTTATCAAATATATGAATTTTAATAATCGAAAATTTTAACAGGTCCAGCCGGGCATAAATACATGCAAATTTGTTCGCAAGCTGCAAATCTGTGCGTCTCAGGCGGTTGGGCCAAGGGTTATTTCAAACAGTGCTGTAACCTATTAACATACACTCACATACCAATAAGCAGCTCAATATCTGCAAATAAACAAGAAAAAAGTGTGGAAAACCAAGTGAGACAGACAGACGAACAGACATGGAGGAAGCCTATAATCCCCTCCGGTTTCCCTGATAGGGGACTAAGAATGAGGACCATTATATAGTCAATTCAATCAAATCTAAGCTATACAGTACAATTCGTTTATTATCATAGTTTATTTGTCAGGCCAAAACTTTATAATAAGCGACTTTTATAATAACCATAGTCGGCTGAAATTCATGTCGGACGGCTGACGTACGACGTTTGTGTAAATTATTGGATGTATTATACATCTTACTTTACATATAATTTCGATTTTTTAGGTTTATTTGAAATACAAGTTAACTAACATATCATTTCACAATATTTACTTACTGTTTCAACTTTTTATTATAAATAAATTCACTTAAATAAAGCTTAATACTCTTCAAACTCAATCTTCTAGATCCCTTGGCATCCATCTTGTTTATTTTGATCTACTTTCATTTTCAATTTATGGTCAATTCAAATTACCAATGTTTTGTTTTTTGTTTGTTTTTTTTTTAGTCACATATTAAATAAATTAACACAGCAACAAAGCATGCATTCAAATTGTTTCTTTTATTCATCCAAAGTAGACATAAAAAAATTTAGCTATTTACACTTAATGTCGCCATATAATTAAAATTAATTGATACACTGATGAGCATATGCATTCAAAGCCGCTTGGACAGACTGGTGAAAGAGTTAATTTCACTTAATTATTTCTTAATTAATCGGGTAGTTTTGTAAATGTAATTAACTATGAACATTGATGCAGAACACCAAGCGTAAGAAAGCTTGGGTTAATATTGACACTTAATTTACTTTCAACACATTTGGTAAAACGTATTTATTTCGAACGTACAATTCAGGATTAACATAAGAAGAAAATATGTTATGAAAAAAAAGAGTTCGTGTTATCCTGTCATGTACTTCATGAAATAAACAGACTCCCTGTCAATCGCTCAGGTAAGTGCACTGAAGTGTGACTAATCTCCCCAGTCTTTCACTATCGGCAAATTTCAAAGTGAAAATCAAGCCATTGTGTATAGACAAGCGACAGTGCATGAACCACAGGTGTAGATAGGTGTTATCTTTTGTTTTGTTGATTGTCCCAAGAGTGAAAAGGTGTGAAAAAAATATTACAGACAGAAATTTTCTATTTTAGTAAGCGAAGTGTATACTTTTACCTATGATAATAACAGACGAAATTTATAATGAATTATTAAGAAATGGTTTTGTGTTTCAGATATCTATGATAAAAAAAGAAGTATGATATAAAACCGGTATGATAAAAAACGAATTGTACTGTATTGCAATTTTTAGCTCACCTGAGCCAAAGGCTCAAGTGAGCTTTTCTGATCACATTTTGTCCGTCGTCCATCCGTCTGTCTAGCTGTCTGTCTGTCCGTCCGTCTGTAAACTTTTCACATTTTTGACTTCTTTTCAAGAACCACTGGGCCAATTTTGACCAAACTTGGAACAAAGCATCCTTGGGTGAAGGGGAATTTAAATTGTTCAAATGAAGGGCCAAGTCCCCTCACAAGGGGAGATAATCAAGAGAAGACAAAAATAGGGTGGGGTCAGTAAAAAATCTTCTTCTCAAGAACCACAGGGCCAGTAAAGCTGAAACTTATATGGAAGCATCCTGGGGTAGTGTAGATTCTAAATTGTTCAAATCATGACCCCCGGGGGTAGGGTGGGGCCACAATGGGGAATCAATGTTTTACATAGAAATATATAGGAAAAATCTTTAAAAATCTTCTTCTCAAGAACCACAGGGCCAGAAAAGCTGAAACTAATGTGGAAGCATCCTGGGGTAGTGTAGATTCTAAATTTTTAAAATCATGACCCCCGGGGGTAGGGCGGGGCCACAATAGGGAATCCAAGTTTTACATTGAAATATATAGAAAAAATCTTTAAAAATCTTCTCAAGAACCATTGGGCCAGAAAAGCTGAAACTAATGCCGAACTATCTTGGGGTAGTGTAGATTCTAAATTGTTAAAACCATGACCCCAGGGGGTAGGGCGGGGCCACAATGGGGAATCCAAGTTTTACATTGAAATATGTAGAAAAGAATCTTTAAAAATCTTCTTCTCAAGACCCACTGGGCCAGAAAAGCTGAAACTAATGTGGAAGCATCTTGGGGTAGTGTAGATTCTAAATTGTTAAAATCATGACCCCCGGGGGTAGGGCGGGGCCACAATAGGGAATCCAAGTTTTACATTGAAATATATAGAAAAAATCTTCTCAAGAACCACTGGGCCAGAAAAGCTGAAACTAATGTAGAAGTATCCTGGGGTAGTGTAGATTCTAGTATTGTTAAAATCATGACCCCTGGGATAGGATGGGACCACAATAGGTGTATTACATGGGGGAAAGTCTGGTGAAGAACAGCAGGGCCAAAGTTACTCAGGTGAGCGTTGTGGCCCATGGTGCTCTTGTTTTATTTTTATTTTCTATTGGCAATATTTTTATTAATTACTTAAAATAATTTACCTAAAACATTTATACTCAGTTCTTTTAAACTGTTTTGATTGAGGTATTTCTATCTCTTAACATATAGTTTTTTTAATTGATACAGAAATTTAAAAACTTTTATAATCAATGTAATTAATATTTTTTCTCTTAAAAAAATATTTTGAAGAAAGATACTGTATGTGTATACATAAATTGGCGTATTCAAAATTTAGCGCAATCACTGGGTATGGAGTTGTTGGAGAAATCATGAATTAGCGCTATACATGTATACATGTCCGTGCCATATATTGTATTTATAAAAGATTTCTTAGCGGTATTCATGAATTAGCACATAGTTGTCTGCACCAAAGCCGCTAAAGTATGAAGCCTACACTTTTAAGTACACATACAGTAACTCCTGTAGATGGAACAATAGCTCTTGTAGATGGATGCATTTTTAGCTCACCTGAGGTGAAAGCTCAAGTGAGCTTTTCTGATCACCCATTGTCCGTCATCCGTCTGTCTGTCCGTCCGTCTGTAAACTTTTCACATTTTCAACTTCTTCTCAAGAACCACTGGGCCAATTTTAACCAAACTTGGTACAAAGCATCCTTGGGTGAAGGGGAGTTTAAATTGTTCAAATGAAGGGCCAAGCCCCCTTCAAAGGGGAAATAATAAAGAAAAGACAAAAACTGGTTAGGGTCATTAAAAAATCTTCTCAAGAACCACTGGGCCAGAAAAGCTGAAACTTACGTGGAAGCATCCTGGGGAAGTGTAGATTGTAAATTCAAATCATGACCCCTGGGGGTAGGGCTGGGCCACAATAGGGAATCCAAGTTTTACATTGAAATACGTAGAAAATATCTTTAAAAATCTTCTTCTCAAGAACCACTGGGCCAGAAAAGCTGAAACTTACAGTACCTGGCCATAAGTCTGTCATAAAATGGCTGACGTAAGGTAACGTGAACAACATAAACGCAATATTCAAAAATGAAAAAAAATCCATAAATATTAAGTACCTACCCTTTTATCTCTAGTATTTAGTTGCATGACCCTTAGATTTACTAACTTGTCGAATTCGCCTTGGAATTGAAGCGTACAGGCTCTGAATATAGTGCTGAGGCAGTGACCGCCATATTTCCTTTACTTTCATGATGAGGTCTTCACGATTTTGAATATTGTGTACCTGTCTCTGAAGACAAATTTTTATGGTTCTCCACACATTTTCAATTACATTGATATCTGGAGATTGTCATGGCCAAGTTAGACATTTAATTTCATTTACGGTTTTCCATAATTTTGTGGCGTTAGAGGAGTGAACCGGTGCATTATCGTCCTGGAATACCTAGTCACATTTTGGGAAATGACGCATAATAACAGGCCATAAATTTGTATCCAAAATGTTTATGTATTTTTGGCAATTAATATTCCCGTCTTCTTCTGTAAATGTTCTGACTCCTTCATGAGTAATGCATCCCCAAAACATCACCGAGTACTTTCCATTTCCACGGATGCCAAAACACTCAGGTACTTCGTTCGGTCTTCTCCAGATGTAAACTCTCTTATTCTGATCAATCACAACCTGAGTTTCATTGCCAAGTGTAATTTAACTCGACACCAATTTACACGGAGTGTGCAGTTTACAGACCGAATTGTCAGTCTCCCTTGTTTTTTTTCCTTCTTGTAAAGTTAATAAATCGCAATCGTCTTCTTACCATCCATGAAGAAATGGAACTTAGTAATTTTGAGTTCACTTCATCAGTTATTTCCGACAAAATTTGCTGTCTGTTGAGTTTCACACATCGAAGTAGTTACGATCACCTCATACATCAGTTTTCTAGGGCGTCCGCTTCGATGCTTATTTTCACTGGATCCAAGCATCTTGTATCGCTTAAGAAACTTGGAAATCCCAGACTGGCTTACAGAAAGAATAGTAGCAATGTCCTGTTGGGTATATCCACTCTCAGACATAGTTATTATTGCATTTTTCATTGGGGTAGACTTTTGTTTACCTTTAGTGCCATCTTGTCAATTGCTAACTATTTGACAGATAATACGTCACTTTTGTAAAATGACATCATTAAATTATTGTATACACTCTATAGAAAGAAACTATCCAACAGCGGCTTGTTTAGAGTGATTTATATACCAACGCTAAAGAAAAAAAATTGGGTTTCTGAATTTTGATATTTTGGCAGCCATTTTTATGACAGACTTATGGCCAGGTACTGTATATGGAAGCATCCTGGGGTATTGTAGATTTTAAATTGTTCAAATCATGACCCCTGGGAGTAGGGTGGGGCCACAATAGGGAATCCAAGTTTTACATTGAAATATGTAGAAAATATCTTTAAAAATCTCCTTCTCAAGACCCACTGGGCCAGAAAAGCTGAAACTTACATGGAAGCATCCTGGGGTAGTGTAGATTCTAAATTATTCAAATTATGATCCTTGGTAGGGCAGGGCTACGATAGGGAATCCAATTTTCATTGAGATATAAAGGAAAAATCTTTTAAAATCTTCTTCTCAAGAACCACTTGGCTAGAAAAGCTGAAACTTATGTGGAAGCATTCTGGGGCAGTGTAGATTCTAAATTGTTCAAAGGGTAGGGTGGGGCCAAATTAGGGAATCAACGTTTTACATTGAAATATATAGGCAAAATCTTTAAAAATCTTCTTCTCAAGAACCACTCAGGGGTCGAAATTAACTTTTTTGACCACTAGCAAATTTTAGCTTGTGGAATTTTTTTTTACTAGCAATATTGAACTTTTACTAGCATTTTTCTTCTCATAGTAATTAACATAGGAATTATTTGAATAATTTCATAGAAAACTAATTTACACCTTGTGAGTATTTAGGTTGTTTTATTCAAGACCTTTTGCACAGGAAGAAATTAGCTTAAGCTTCAAAATATGAATGGATAGAGAGATGTGCAATTAAAAAATTCCAGCACTAGCCCACTACTGGCAGCAATAAAATCACTATAGCCCCAAGTAAAAAAGTTACTAACCGAAATGTAGAGGGAAAAAGTAAATTGGAATTAACCAACATTGAAAGAAATGTAAAATAGGTTAGTGTTGAAAAAGTGAGGGTCATTCTTTTAAACTTAAAGTTTAATTTTCACAAGTAAAATTGAATCGTATATATATAAATCAATAATTATGATTAAAAATTTTAAAAAATGAATCTGAATAAATTATCCTTTTTTCTGGTCATTGGACTAGCTTATTTAAATTGAGGAGATTATTTATTTTCATCTCAAATCATTAAATACACTGGAAATATATTTTTTTAAATCACACAACGCTTTTCCTCTAGTTGATTGAGTGACCATAAATAATTTAATGGGATATCAAAATGTATTTACCATAAACAAAGATATGGAGGAAATTCGGATTGGGAAAAAAACGATTGTTTTTGGAAGTAAACTAGTCAGGTAGAACTGCAAAATTGATAAGAATATGGAGATTTACGAACTATAGGAGCATGCTGCCTGGAAATTTTTCATTGTTTGGGAACTTAATAGCAAAAAAAAAAAAAGAAAAAGAAAAAAAGAAAATACCTGTAGTGCCTTTCATTACATGGGTAATTTTAATTTGTACTAGACCGAGGGATTTACCGACCGAGGGCTACCTCCGTTCAGAAAATCACTAGCACAAACCAAAAAGCGGTAGCCCCTGGTGTGGGGCTAATTGCACATCCCTGGAATACAAAAAAAAAATCTTAAAAGACCAGGTGTTTTTATTTTTTGACTCACAAAAGTTATTGTCCATAGGAGGCCTTTAACTCACAATTTCTGTTTTTAATTGGCATTTAGCGAGTATTTCCCATTAATTTCGACCCCTGCCACTGGGCCAGAAAAGCTGAAACTTAAGTGGAAGCATCCTTGGGTTGTGTAGATTCAAAATTAGTCAAATTATGACCTCTGGGGGTAGGACGGGGCCACAATAGATATTATAAGGGGGGAGATCAGGTGAAGAACAGCAGGGCCAGAGTTACTCAGGTGAGCATTGTGGCCCATGGGCCTTTTGTCTTTATAGTCAAATGCTTTTTGATAATCGATGAAACAGCAGGATAAACACTTTTTCTTTTTTTGCTTAGATACTTGTTAATAAGTGACTATAATACAAATATCGCGTCAACATTTGATAACCCTTTTCTAAAAGCAAATTGTGCATCTGACAGTTTTTCCCACAAGATTCTATTATTTAGAATTGTAGTAAATAATTTTCCAAAACAGCTCAAAATAGTTATTCCTGTATAATTATTATTAAAAGATTAAAATTCATAGTTAAGGAATGTCAAACTAATATTCATTTAAATAATTGTCTAACTATATATATATTATAATAACTTGTTTTCATTTCTTTTGCTTGCTTTTCATAATTAAGTTTTCAGCTTTTTAGAAAGCAGACTTTCCTTTGAAATACAAAGAATTATACATTACCCCAAACTTCAAGACCAGGTCATCTGAAGGAGCAGTACGAAAGATACATTTTAGTCTAAAAGATTTCAGAATTTAAAAAAATTCAGTATACTTAAAGAAAAAAAAAAAACATGTATCAGTAAACAAGGACACATCACTTCACTGATTCATATCTCAACCAGGGAGATGTACATCTTCTGCAGAACATTGTACCAGTGCATTTTGCCAAAAAAAAATGAAATTGCTTGTTTTCTGAATGATCTAAATTTTTTTTGCACTTTTTAATTCATTTAAAAAATAAAAGAAGTAAAAATTCCAAGCAATTGTTTGCCTATAAATTTGTTGCAATTTACAGCAATAAATGTATGGATAATATAGAGGGTAGCTCATAATACTTGTGTAGATATTTCAGATGGAAGATTACAAAAAAGTGTATTGATATAAAAGGGGCGTTGGTGACAAGATATGGGTAGATTGAATGTTATTTGTGTGTTCTTCAGTGAATCTGATGTTGACATGGAATCTCCTGTTAAAAGTCCCAAAGAAAAAACAAAAAGACCTCGTTCTAAGAAGGAAAATATAGATTCTCAGGAAGAAAACCAAGTCTCAGGTGTTCCAAAGAAGCGAGGCAGAAAAAGTGCAAAGAAAGAGAATCTGACTGAAAATAAAAAGACAGATTCTGAATTAGATTCTTCCAAAGAATCTCAGGATTTCAATGTTCAGTGTAGTTCTTCAGATGTAGAGGAAAACTCGGAACAAGAACAAACTGTGAATCATCCAAAAAGACCAGGAAGACCTAAGCAGACAAACTCCAACTCATCTTCTGCAAATTCCTCCCCACGCAGGGGGAGAAATAGTGATAATAAAGTGACAAAACTGAAACAAATCAACGGTGCTTCAAAAAAGACCTCTCATTCTTCAGTTAAAGACAGTCCCAAAGGGAAAACACAGAAGAGACCTGCGCCATCTTCCTCTGAAGAATCATCTCCAGTCAAAAAAACTCGCCGTACAAGGTATGTTTCTCAATCTCAAGCAAAGATTTTTTTTTCAAATTATGGAATCTATGGTTAAGATGGGATTGATCAACCCAATATATTTCTGTAGACAGCCAGTAACAAACCTTATAAAATTTATGATATTGACAAACAATGTTGCCTTAATTAGGTATAATGAGAAAAAAATTTAAATTCTTTTGAAATGTTACTCCTTCACTTTTGGTCCAATTTCAATAAATTTGTTACACAAGTAGATTATATTATACCTAATGATTTATATATGGGTTTTTGATTTTGACAAAAAAACATTCCCATGGTTACTAGAAATAGAAAAATCTTTGAATTCTTATAAAACACTACTCCTACAGTTTTGTTCTGATAAGACTTTTAACACAAGTGGACTATACTAAGATAATCTTATTTTTGAGCTCACCATTAGAGCTACAGTTTCTTCAGAAACTCCAGCTTCTATTTTCAAGAGGAAAAATACAAAAAAGTCGTAGTTTATATTGGTCTTTTATGCATGCAATCATATGTCAAAAGAGACAATTTAAACATCTATTAAATAATGTTTTTGGTATGGCATATATCCTAAATTACATGAGACATAGAATTTCCTTTCAACAAAATATTTTCCTGTTATCAAGGAAGGTTATGCTAAATTTGGTTGAAATTGAATTTGAAAAGTTAACAGAGCACAGGAAGACAAATAGAAGAACAATTGACTAACTTGATCAAAGATAAACCATCTGAGCTAAATAAAAAGGAGTTACTATAATAGTTAATTTTCTCTGGTTGATGCTGAACTCTTTAAGAATAGAAGTTGATTAGACAATTTGTTGTTGAACATTTATTATTCAATTGTGTAATATGTTCAGCCATGTCAATAGTACTCAAGCTAATATTTCATGACCAGGGCAGCACCAGTCAAAAAAGACAGCTCAGAAAGTGATCCCTCATCACCTATAAGTATGGAGAGTGAACCATCACCTGTAAAACATTCACCATCCAAAAAATCAACCTCATCACCTGCAGCATCAAGGTAACTCACAATTACATAGTCATTCAATAGCAGTTTTGTTGGTAAACCCAGCTTCTTGTGCTCGCCTTTTGTGAATAGTGCAATCAGTGCAGTGGTTTTCATCATCCTCTATACTTTATATTGTTACAAAACTTGGCATGGAATTGGTATTTTAAATAATTTTTCCATGTTATGTAACTTGAGATATCAGATGACGAAAACGCTCAGATGTTAAATTGACTGAACTCACACTAAGCATTAAATTCACATGTTCAAATACAATGACAAAATAATAGAAAACAACCAGTTTTTGAATATTTAATTGCCATGTGCTTGATATTAAGAGCACAGAATTTATTGTTGAATGGTTTTAAGAATTTTTTTTCACATATAGACAATTTTACTTGTGTGAATTATTTTATATTATATTTGTAGGAAAACCCTAACACGAAGTAAACTCCACTCAGAGTCAGAAGGAAATAGCTCACCAGTTAAGGGCAGGAAAAGAGCAGCAACTAAACAACTTAAAATAGACCAGTTCAGCACCAAACCATCAAATGTGTAAGAACACCGTCTTCTGCTTGTTTTCACTTTTTACTTGTTCTTCAATATCGTTATGTATCTGTATCTCAACCTGCCTTTTTATACTATAGGCTTTTCTGTCTGACTACTTGTTAGCTTTATTGTGCCAGTAATATATTGTGTACACTGTGAGGTCTAGACTGTCTATCCTTGCCTGTTGATGTGTCTTGGGAGGGAAAACAAGGAAAAAAGTTTAACTTCACCTCATTTGATAGAGGGGCTCATTTCTCATGAAGGAAAAAGTTTAACTTAAACTCATTTAATCGAGGGCCTCATTTCTCATAGAGCAATAGTTGGCTATTATCAGCTTGTTCAAACTTGATGTTGTCTGCACATCAATTGGATTAAGTTTATGTGTGAAATGAAGGACTTACTTTCCACTTCTGCTGAGATAATACAAATGTGAAATAAAGGAAATAAGAACAAAATGAACATTTTGTAAAGAAATAAACATCCATGGTAATCATGATCAGTTGATGGTTCTGGGGGAAATGTATAGCAACCCATAAGTAGGTATTTACATGTATTTATAAAAGTACTTAAGGACATATGCAACATAGTTTGAACTTAATTTGTTTTTTTTCCCGAGAGTTGATGAGTTCCAATATTAGAAGGAATATATTTATAAAAGTACTTAAGGACATATGCAACATAGTTTGAACTTGATTTGGTTTTTTTCCCGAGAGTTGATGAGTTCCAATATTAGAAGGAATATATTTATAAAAGTACTTAAGGACATATGCAACATAGTTTGAACTTAATTTGTTTTTTTTCCCGAGAGTTGATGAGTTCCAATATTAGAAGGAATATATTTATAAAAGTACTTAAGGACATACACAACATAGTTTGAACTTAAGAGGGCTGGGTGGTTGTGGCCATTTTCAGACTGTATTGATCTCCTTTAGAAGAAGAGCTCCATATAAAGATATACAAAAATGATCAAATTTTTAAAACTAAAATGTATGAAATTTTTGTTTGCCAAATGATAGTTGACAGCTTAAGATATCATACCTAAAAAATTAAGTTATATCTGATGGTTAATTTGTTGACCCCTCAGCCTCCTTAATTGTTTTTTTCTCCCTAGAGTTGAAGAGTTCCAAAATGAGAAGGACCTGTATGCTAATCTTTTAATGTCTATATTTGGTGCTGTAAACCTCCTCTAAAGCAAATGTGGATGAAAAAACATCTAGAGTACATGTTTAGTAATTTTTGTATATTTTTCTTTAAATAATTCAAGAATTTTCATCATTTGATATCTATTCAAAACCCCCGGCAATGCATGCTGATTTTTTTTCTGAATGTCTAATGATACTATAATTTTACATCAAGAATATCTTGAACAAGATGTGTTTGTGAAACACTGATGCCCCCGTATGGCAGCTTATGGCGAAGGTTAAAGTTTCTTCAAATGCAAGTCAAAATCCAGGCCAAAAGATAAAAAATGTTGATACCCAAAGAAAGGTCTTGTCTCGAGGAATACACCTGTGAAATTTGAAAGACCTAGATACAACTGTTCAAAAGTTATGGCGAAGGTTAAAGTTTTTAAAATAAAAGTCAAACGTCAAGGTCAAGGTCAAAGTGGTTGGTATCCAAAGGAAGATCTTGTCACAAGGATTACATATGTGAGGTATGAAAGCCCTAGCACCAACCATTCAAAAGTTATGGCCAAGGTTAAAGTTTTTCAAAAGTAGGTCAAACTCCTAGGTCAAGGTCAAAGGATCAAAGTGGTTGATATCCAGAGGAAGGTCTTGTCACAAGGAATACACATGTGAAGTTTGAAACCCTAAGCACCAGCCGTTCAAAAGTTATGGCCAAGGTTAAAGTTTTTCAAAAGTAGGTCAAACTCCAAGGTCAAGGTCAAAAGGTCAAAGTTGTTGGTATCCAAAGGAAGGCCTTGTCACAAAGAATACACATGTGAAGTTTGAAACCCAAGCACCAACTCATAAGTTATGGCCAAGGTTAAAGTCTCATAAAATTTTGCAAAAGTGGGTCAAACTCCAAGGTCAAGGTCAAAAGGTCAAATATGATGGTACCCAAAGAAAGGTCTTGTCACAAGGAATACACATGTGAAATATGAAAGTCATAGCTCTAACCAATCAAAAGTTATGGGCAAGGTTAAAGTTGACAACAGACAGACAGACAAACAGAAAACAGATAAACAGACAGACAGGACAAAAACAATACACCCCCGGGATCTTTCGATCCGGGGGCATAAAAATTATCAGTAGGTAAGGTACGTTGCGTATGTCCTTAAAGGTTGTTTTGTGAGCTTGTACTCACCTCGAGTAACTTGAATGATATTTATTACTCTAATTTTAGGAGGAGAGCTAAAACTCTGGCCAATGGAAGCTTAGATGGAGACAACCAAGAATCACCATTATCAGCATCAAAAAGAGGAAGAGGAAAGCGAAAATGATACTTTGTTCTTAGGATCTCTTAGTTATAAATGGCAGCTCTTGTTTTTATCTTGATGACTCCTGTGGTTGTAAGAGAGTTCATTCTCTGAGGTTTTAACAATGTGAAAACTATTGAAGGTTTTTGCATTTCCTAGCATTGTTCCTCTACATCAAGTGTACCAGAATGACTTCAGTGGATATATACTTTGAATGAGTCATGATCTTGTTCTGGAATCAAATCTTTTAATAAGATATTATACAAGTCAAAAGGTTCTAGTTACCTTATTAGATCTGATGGTCACTTAAAGCAATGTCACTAAGTAGGGCAACTGTTTTATGAGAAAACCCTTGAATTGATCCCACAAGACATGCATGTAAGACTGTCACTCTTCTCTAAGAGTATTTGTGTTATTTATTTGTGATAGTATGAGATTGTAATTTACAAATTACACAGATCATGTGTGGAAATATTAAATTGTATTTTATTTCAATTCATACATGCATTTAATATGAAATAAAATTTTGAGAAAAACTGGAGTGAAAATGTGTTGGCTTGCAATGTGTACATCACTGTAGGGAAATAACAGGTAATCTCTTTACTACAATCTCAGATTACCAAACATTTTCATAAACTGACACCATGGCTTTAGAAAGATTCTTATTAAGTGCCAGATCAATTTTTTTAAAAAAAAGGTACATCGTTTATGATTTCAAAGTCAGATGTGATTATAACCTATGGAAAATTGTTGTACAATTTCTGTATGATAGCTATGGGAGATTGAACATAGGCTCAACTTACAGTCCTGATTTTTTTTTTATGCCCTGAAGATTCGGGGGTATATAGTTTTTGCCCTGTTCGTCCATCTGTCTGTCTGTTTGTCCGCAAAAACTTTAACCTTGCCTATAACTTTTGATTGGTTGGAGCTATGGCTTTCATATTTCATGTTTACTCTTTGTGACAAGACCTTTCTTTGGATACCAACCACTTTGACCTTGACCTTGGAGTTTGACCTACTTTTGAAAAAACTTTAACCTTGGTCATAACTTTTGAACGATTGGTACTAGGGCTTTCATCCTTCACATGTGTATTCCTTGTGACAAGACCTTCCTTTGGATACCAACCACTTTGACCTTGACCTTGGAGTTTGACCTACTTTTGAAAAACTTTAATCTTGGCCATACCTTTTAAACATGGTGCTACGGCTTTCATACTTCACATGAGCATTCCTTTGGACAAGAATTTCCTTTGGATACCAACAATTTTGGCAATGACCTTGACCTTGGAGTTTGACATACAGTGGCGCCGCGTTTATCCGGACGCTTAACCATCCGGACGATATTTATTGGGAACCGATTTTTTTCCACGTTATTTTGTCTCATTAATCCGGAAATTCGCGTTCCGTATCCGGACGGTCGATTTCCACTACAAAACGTTATAGTTCATTGAAAAATGACTCGTTTATCCGGACGGTAATTTTTCAAGAAACGACTTTTTCACACTTATCTTGCGGTAGTGTTAATTGTTGTAAAAACATTGGCCATGCAGTTTGAAGGCGGTTACCCGTGACCTACAAACAACAGCGTCTATAATTAGCGTATGTTTACCATGTGTTTTAACTTTACCCCAATTAAATCACACGTCTATTATGAAGCTCGAAGAATTTAGCTTACACTATGCATTAATTAAATAATAATCCGTTCAAAATCATATTGCTAGCCGTATATACATCGGTGAATTCATGAGAATTTGGGAGAGTTTTAAATGAAATGAACAATGATTAACGAGCGATTTCTTATGCTCTTTATCATGTTTATCATGTTGATTACGTTAGTTTAAAATACGATTTTCCATTTCTTAAAACGAAAACGTATTTGAAACGCTTTTTTTCCACAAGACAGTTTAGAAGGGTACATAATTGAAGAAATATCTTTCTATTTAATGTACTACCGTCTCGCTTTAAACCTACACTACTTTAGGAAAAAAAATATATGAAACTGGCGATTACGTTTTTCGTGATATTTTAATGATCGAAATTCAAACTTAGAGTCTAGAAAAAAAAAATATTGATAATCATAAGATGACTTGTGTTTACGTTGAATGTTTTAGTACTTCCACTGATTGCTCGTGATTGAATTAGTTTGCAGTGTTCAGTTAATTTTATAGTAACACTGTGCAATGAATATACGGAGAATATACGGGGTTAATTTAAATTTGAACATTTGCCAATGATGATGCTGAACAGTTCTGTCACATCATATGAGCTTCAATAATTAAAATATATGGCGAAATAAAACAACAGTAGATCACAATTTACTTAGCCCATGAAGTCACATGCCAAAGAGAAGGCGAATAGAAAAAGGTCTCAGCATAAAAATTGCTTATCCATTTTTTTGTGTCTTATTGTGTAAATTACATTTTAATGTATATTTTCTTTAATTAATTATTTCTTTTTTAAAAAAGTATAAAATAAAAACAATAAGCCAAAATAATAATTTAAAAGTTTCTTTTCTACTCCCACATTTGATACAAGAATGTGCATATATACATGCTTGGAGAGTGTTTTTTGAGAAGTGATTCAATTATCCGGACGATTCATTTATCCGGACGATTTCGTTAGGGACAGAGGCGTCCGGATAAATGAGGCGCCACTGTACTTTTAAAAAAAACTTTAACCTTAGCCATAACGTGAACGTTTGGTTCTAGGGCTTTCACATTTCATGAACATGTGTATCACTTGCGACAAGACCTTCCCTTGGCCCATTTGACCTTGGAGTTTGACATACTTTTTAAAAAAAACTTTAACCTTCGCCATAAATTTAGAACAGTTGGAGCTAGGGCTTTCAAATTTCTCAGACAAGATCTTTCTTTGGGTATCAACATTTATGATCTCTTGACCTGGAGTTTGACTTGCATTTGAGAAACTTTAACCTTCGCCATAAGTTGTCACATGGGGGCATCAGTATTTCACAAATACGTCTTGTTTTTATGTGCAGGTGTAAAGCCATAGAAGGTGAAAAGATTGACATCAATGTACCTGTAACAATAGCGGCTGAATAGGGAAGTACGAGAGGCATTTGAAAAGTTCTGAGAACTGTCTGATAAAATATTAACCGTTTAATGTAAATTACTGAATTTGACATCATTGGACAGATCACAAAAATGTACACATATCGTGACGTCACTTTTTAATATTTATGACGTAATAACTCCGAAAATGACGTCAGAATCTCGAATGTCTAGCATAAAATTTTGACGTCAACTTTTGTTCATTATTCGGATGCACGCGAACGGACACAACTGCCAGTTGGAAGAATGTTTACATAGAGTTCAGTCTATCATATGGAGATAAGAGTGTGTCAAACATAGCATGATATTATCGAATTTCGTGCAAAATAGTGGATAAAAATGACGCTGCTTTGAGAAAGTCACGAAGAACAGGAGAATAGTAGACGGTGTTTCAGAATTTGCTGGCATTAATTCGTCAGGTGTTTCAACTAATTTTGCGGGAACGAATAAAGATCAAGAGAGGTTAAGCTAAGGGTGTCCTATATTTTCTCGTAAAAACCAAAATGGCGCCGGTGTAGTTCTAACCCCACCGTTACTTGATATGTTCGAAAAAATTAAATCATGGAAAATAAATAAGATAATACATAGCAATGAAACTCGGATTTATTTTTTAAGTCAAAAGCAATAGTGAGTTTTGGATTGCCGAAGTTGAAATAATATGAAAAAATACGCACAGAAACAAGTTTTGGGGAAGACTTTTGTAAGTTTCATTCGTAAACGGTAAGAGTCCTGATACTCAAAATACATTTGTGGAAAACTGCATTGTTACACTTCAGTTTTATATAGAATATCTGTTATTTATTATAGTGGAGAGCTATATAATAGACCGAAAATCCAGCTATATCATATAAATAAAAATCTTTTATGAAAGCCTAAGGTAACATTACTGTGCTTATTAACCAAGTCAAAAAAAATGGAATTGCTGATTTACCATACTATTTTTTACAGTGTTACTCAACCTTCATGCACTATTTCGATGTTCTCAAGTGGACAAAAAATGCGACTTTTCAGTATGCCTAAGCATTCGAGATTCTGGCGTCATTTTTGGAGTTATTACATCATAAATATTAGAAAATGACGTTAATATAAGTGCACATTTTCCAGCTCTTTTCAATGATATCAAACTTATTAACTTACTAACTTCCGTGGAATGGTTAATATTTTAGCAATCAGATCTTAGAATATTCAAATGCCCCTCGTAAAAAAAAAAAAAAAATTAATGTCGGAAAAATTAAGGCTTTGTCAAATTTTAATAGACAATTGTTTTTGTTCCAATTTTGCGTGGGTGCCTTTAAGCTTTTCTGAGCCAAAGGCTCAAAGAGCTAATGCTATGGTAACGTGTGTGGTGTGCGTAAACTTTGTAGAATATGGGCCATATCTCGAGAACCCCTTGGCCAATTTTTGTCAAAGGAGTATTCTACTTAAGTATAGTAGTGTGGTTCCTTTTTACATCCTTGGTTTACCGGTTAAATATTAGCATACGGTATTTAGTTTGTTTTCATTGTGTATAACGAAGTATTTCTAATTAAAACATTGTGTATTTATAATGAATAATCAAACATATCAAAAAATACAAGCTTATTTTTAACACCTATCGCACTAAAAAATGCCGGAACATTTTCCCCCGATCAGACTACGGTTTCTCTATTACATGGAAATGGGCGGAGACATTTATATTAGATACTATAAAAAGAATATCTTGGTATGATTTTTTTTTTTTCAAAGACGAATAATATGTTCAAGATTCACATTCAACTACATATACAATTTTCTATTAACAGAACTTTGGCAAAAAAAGCTATAACAAGATTAACCAAACAAGTTCATGCTGATCGATATAAAACTGAGTACGTTTCAACTGAGAACTAACACGATTACTGGGGGCATTTACCCGTAACGATACAAATCCACGTGGCTTGTTATGATTCTAAACAGGTCATAAAGAGGTTAATCGCATGTAAATGAAGTCAGCGAAGAGATTCAAAATCACAATACTTTTAATTAAAAAACATAGAGCACAAGGTTGTTCAGCAAAGATATTTTCACTCAACCTTTACACATGTAATATGCACATTATATTTCAAACTCGACTCTGAACAAACCTGTGCTCGGTGTTTACGAAAGCTTTGAAGTGTGTACCTGTCACTGATTTCTTTTGATATTCATGAAAATCAAAGGACCTTACCTTCAACGCGCAGCTTCGTATGCTGCCTATATCTATTGTTTGACATTTTTAGATGATGATTCAAATAATGAAGACATTAGTTAATAATAAAATTTAATTTTTAAAAATGTTAATAAATGTTCGAAATTTGACGAGTAACCGGGGACCACAGATAAGCCTTACTGAGACTTGTTCTTTGTTACAGAGTATTCTTGGCCAAGGGGCTTTTGTTTATACTAAAACTAGGAATTTGACCCTTAAACAAGGGGAGATAATTAGGGAAATAAAAACAAAAGTACTGGTTGC